GGGGAAGGCGGGCCAGCTGTTCATGCAGCGGCAGTCTTTTACTTACAGACGCCCTGAGTCGCAAGGAAGGCTGTCACTGTGAGATTGAGAAGCTCCACAGACTCTCCAAAGGCTTCAGATAGTTTGGGAATAGCGGGAAGATAGATGTTTGCTGGCAGAGGGCTGCCCCAAGCATTAATTCCGATTTAGGCAGGTCCGGGTTCTGGAAACGGGTTCCTTACCTATAGAAACCTGCGACGGCGACCATTGCAACGATGAACCACTTCTCTTTGCGAGTAAAGATGCTGTAGGGCTCTGCCGGAGCGGTCTCCCGCAGCGGGAGGACGAGATTCTCGTGTCCGGGTAGGGGCACCGGGGCAGGTGCCGCGCCGGCCCCGGGATCCGGGACCTCGCTTTTAGGTTCAGCCATCGAGGGGCACGGTTCAGAGTGCGGAGTTCCGGGGGTAGGGGGGGAGGAGCAGGGGCCGTGATGGGCCGTACAGACGGGTCTATGGAGTTCTTCGCCTTACAGAGGGAAAAAAAGAGAGAAGGAAAGGAGATTGCACCTTGGCGAAACCCCGGCTGGCAAAATACCCAAATGATCTCGCCCTACGAAAAGAAATTGCCTGAGGTCATTCTAAGCTCCACGCAGACCCAGAAATCGGCCAAAAGATTCGGCGCCGGTTTCGGAGAAGGCGAAGTGCGAAGGGCCCCTCCGGCAGCGCCATCCGAGAAGGGGGAAGGGCCCGTCCCGTTTCTTAGTACGCTTTGTATTTGTTAGCCTGAATCGGTGTTGGCACATTACGATGATCGATAAGCAGACACGCAGACTGGCAGAGAGGCTCATGGATGGTGGAGCTGTGTGAATTCGGCTTGTGGGGTTTTTGAGCCGGCTGCGATGATGTATCCGGCGCATATCCGGGTTACCGAGTTCTAGGTTTAGTGATTGACTGTGCAATCACGGGCCAATGGCTACCAGGAGGTCCGATGGATCGGAGGCCAAAACTTTGAGATCCTGCAATCTCTTTTGCCTGCCTCTTATCTCACTGAAAATGCGGTTGCGATGGGTAGGCAGGTGGCAACCGCAGTCAATATTGCATAACTCAACTCCTTGGCGTATGACGCACTTATCATCAACTTCCCGAGCGTTCGCCTCCGGGCCATGTGCAAGATGATGGATTAAGAAGCTTGGTTTCCAATGAGGCCAACCAAAGGAAGCCTAGTTCTAGTTGTTCCAAATAGCCAATAAATCACTGTTCAATTACTTATAAGAGCTCGCCTTGCATGAACACCGGAGCCTATTGACCTCAACCGCACGGAGATGTGGCCTCGTTTTCACAGCGTTAACCCACCAGCGATGTAGACTAGACCCTTTTGCCGCATTTTCTCGAAACAGAGCCGCAACAAGGACGTGCGAGTATGAATGACTTCTCGGGGAAAGGCAGGCTCAATGAACCCGCCCTTGAGGGAGCAGCCTACACAAAAAAAGAGGAGCATGATGTCGAGGGCGCAAGGTCCGTCCAGGATGCGCCAGCAGAGGAAGTGGAGGGCTGGAAAGCCTTGCTCCATCGCTTAATGACATTCGATCGGGTTGAAGTTTGAGGTATCGCCCCGATTCCTGTCGAGAAGCGCGTGGTCGCCAAGACGCTCACCGTCTTCACGTTGTGGTGGTGCATGAACGCGAACATGCTCCCGTAAGTACTTGTATAAAAGGTTGAAAGAAAAGGGGCGCTCTCGAATAGAGGCTGCAAGGGGCCAAGGTATTATCACTGACAGGAGAACAGAATCACTGTCGGGATGCTGGGCGCAACATACGGGCTTGCTCTGGTAGACTCGGCGCTCGTCATCATCTTCTTCACTCTTCTGACGACAATGTTGCCGGCGTACCTGTCGGCCTTGGGACCAAAGACGGGTATGAGGCAGATGATACAGGCGCGATTTAGCTTCGGGTTCGTCTCGCCCACCCGCCGACAAGTAGAACTTTGAGCATTGCAACTGACGTACAAGCAGTCGGTATCTAATCGGAGTTCCCGTTCTGCTCAACCTTGCTACGCTGGTGGGGTTTTGCGTCGTCCTGGCCGTCATCGGGGGACAGTGCCGATCAGCGGTCGGCAGAAGCAACGTTAGTCCTGCAGTGGGCATCGTCATCGTAGCGTTTCTCGCCTTGGTGATCTCCTTTTGCGGCTTCACCGTCCTTCACCTATACGAGAGGTTCGCGTGAATACCGGCTGCTATGGCCATTATCATTGCGACAGGCTGTGGGGGCTCACACTTGAAAGATCAACCGCTGACTGAGCCAGAAACCGCACAGGCTATCATCTCCTTTGGGATGAATGAGGCTTCGTACATGATCCCTTGGGCGTGTCTGGCTTCAGACTTCACAACATATTTGGAGCCGTCGACTTCCTCGTGAGTCAATTCTTCGAATAAGTTGAGAGACCGAGGCAGGCCAAAGCTAACGCATCGGGCTAGGAAGAAAATCTTCTGGTACACCGATGAGCTACTTCGTGACCCTCAACTTCCAGCTCCTCCCCACGCCCTTCTCCCATAAGGCCACACTCAGTCCGCGCTACGTCTATGCGCTTCTCGTGACAGCGGCGGTGATTCCCGTCGGCATACGTGCAGCCACCGACTTCTTTGCGAGCTTGGAAAACTTCATCGCTCTCATAGTGTACTGGTCCGCCGCCTTCCTCGGCGTGATCCTCGTCGAGCACCTCTGGTTCCGCGGCGCCGACTGCGCGAGGTACGTCCCCGACGCCTGGGACGATGCTGCGAGGCTGCTGCCTGGCGTGGCTGCGTTTACGGCGTGCGTGCTCTGCTTCAGTATTGTCGTCCCCAGCATGGCGCAGGTGTGGTGGATCGGCCCGATCGCCGAGACGAACCGGGGATATCGGGTTCGAGCTGGCGGTTGCGGTGTCTGGGTTGCTGTATTGGTTTTTAGGTCGTTTGAAAGGAGGATTTCAGGGCAGTGAGAGAGAGAGAGAGAGAGAGAGTCCTCGAAAGACGAATGAGAATCGAACCGTGGCGGCGAGGCGTCTTCTTTGCGCATCCAACGGCTCTGCTGTCCGAATTGCACCGCTTGGCACGCTGGGGGAAATTGCAAGGATGGCAATTATATTCAAGACATATACTGTGCAGAGGAAAATGTTCAAGCCGAACATGTATCAAGTGCTTATGGGATCTAATCCGTACTGTTTGCTTGCAATACCTAGGCATGGAACGACGGGTGGAAGCATTCTATGCGCGGCAATAGACATATTCGCGTGGGTGCCTGCATCACCGTTCTTCACACGAGCCACTTGGCGCATGGATGCTCCCGAGTTTGATGGTTCGAGAACATCGAATCCGATGGCTCATTTGTATTTACCTGCACTTGCTGCCAAGGGCCATGCCTCTCTAGACGTGCCACGCGTCTTGAGCTTGATCCAAACAAAGCGATATTCGGGCCGGTGTCATACTCCCCTGCGAGCTGCGGTAAAGTGGCAGCTGTAAAATAATGCGTTCTTTGCTGGCACGTTCTCATTAAAGGAGTCGATGCTTCCACGGTGTGGTGTTCTCCTTGAGGCCTCTCGGGCTCATCGTTGCCGGTCGAATAAGGATTCATGTAAACGAACGGGGCCACGACAACACAGTGGGCGGCGGTGCTGCATATGCAAGAAGACGAAGAAGCAAACACCACGTTTTCGGCGGCAAGCCATCTCGCACAGGATTGCTCATGTTGGAATAACGCCCGAGAAGGGGCCCTGCAGAGAGGTCGCGGACCAACCAACTGGGACGACCTCAAACCCCCTTCCCGAAAATCTAGTACTCGCGTATTGTGGCCTGCCTCCTGTTTCTCACTGCGGCAATTGCGGAATAAGATCCGGGAGGAAACTTAGGGATGACTGGAAGAATGAGGCGAGAAAAGAAAGGGACTTGTTTGCTTTTCGCTGCATGCTGCATGCAGGCCATGGAGCCCCAAGGCCCCGGGAATGAAACCTTACCGCCTCTTGGTCTGTGTCGCCTGCTCGAACGGACGAGGTTTGGTTGGGACGAAGAGATGGGAGATTGGGAATACTGAAGGGAACGCGCGCGCGCGCGAGAGAGAGAGAGAGAGGAGGGAGGACGAGTAGGATGGGGAGGAAATGCATGTTCTCTCGTACAAAAGCAGGCGAGACATGCGAGAGTGTTTGACCGACAGGTGGCCATCATCTTCCCACTCTCAGTCAGTCAGTCTCAGTCATTTACTCTTGCTTAACCTTGCCCACTCTCAATGCCCTGCATCCACATTGCCGGTATCTATTTGCAGATTTCCCTTGGCCATGACTGACCAGCAAACAGCCACACTCGCCGGTTTCAACTAAAGCATGTGACGGCTCGGACTCTGATTGATCTGCCTCTCTCATGATCCGGCGCACCAGCAAAACGTTGAGAATTCATTTTATCGCCGCCCCTTCACATCCCTTCAACCGTGATGCCGGGAGTCGTTTGTGGTGGTTGCTAACCAAACCGTAAGCCACGGGAACGGGACCGGCGCGAGAGATGATCTGGCACGAAAACCAAACCCAAGGAAACACGAAATCAGGATGTCGTGAAACCACGGCACCCGTCCCATCCAGATGGCTCTGTAGTCTGTTGCAATCTTGCCGATACTACTACACCCGGGCACCCGGCGAACGGATTTGGAACTTTCCAGCCAATATCTGCCGGCGGTGGCCGTTCAAAGAAGGGTTTTGCCTCGTCGAGTGTGCTCTCGGGATGTGATTGGGCCATTTCATTACCCGGATGGGCGTTCGTCGCGTGGTTTCCCACATGGTTTATGCGGATGAGAGAGGTGTAAACGGGTAACGCCCGCGCCAGCGAGTGTTGTTGGGACCAAGGGGTGTGGTCTGTCTGTTGCCAAGTGCGTCAATTGTTGAACCTATTCTCTAACCTTGCGTTGATCTTGACGGCTGTCCGTCGTGAGCTATCATACTTTAGGTAGTGACTCTACATAGAACTTGCACATCGACCACATGAGCTATTGATCCTCTGGACCGACCGCCGCTTTACTATTACTGATTGGTGCAGGGAAACACAAAACGTGGTAACTCCGCCTCCTCCGGTGTGGGTGCTATGATTTCAGTCTGGGATGGGCTGATGTTGTCCAGGAAATCCGGGGAAGAGATACCATGACACATTGAGACTTAGATCCCCTCGTCCCCGCCAAAGTTGAAAGACCAACGAAAAAGCGCGCATTGTTTCGTTTTGGAGCCTGTAATGCGGAGGTAGGTCTCTAGTCCGGGTATGACTTCAGCCAAGTTTCAACCCCAAGCTGCCCCAGCTGCCAACACCACCAGGTCGAGGACCACAGTTTGTGTCAACGTCGGTCTCAATGGCGGCAAAGTTTATTTCGTCGTCCGCTTCCCCAGCTGTCTTTCTATCCCTCGCGGTACCATGGACGGCGGCTCTTCTCAACATGAAGCCATGGCCTGGGAACCGGGCTCGTCAGTCGCCAAGGCCTCGCCGGTCCTCCGTTTTGCCCCGAGCTTTCTGTGTGTGAGGGAGTTGTGGCTTGCACAATTCATGACGGTGCACCTGCGTAGTGCAAGTCTGCAACCCTCTATTGGCCTCCGGCGGTCTGGGCAGCTCGTGTTGCTCAACTCTCACTGCTCACCAAGAGCGTGTAGCTAGCTCGGGCGCCCGCCAAGTTCCAACCAATTGTCCCGGTATGCTGCCCAGTCTCGGCTTCATTGGGGGGGGGGGGGAGGGACGGCTGATGATAGCGGGAAGAAGCCCGTGTCCCCCACCTCATGTCGCTGAGGAAAATGAGCCCGGCTGGGCTGGGCAAAATCCACCCCAATGGAACAGGACATGATCGCACATGACAGAGCGACAGAAGTCAAAAGCACGCGATACCCCATTAGCCTCCCTCCTAGCAAGGTCTTGGCAGCTAGGAAATAGGCCCCCCAAGGGCCCAGAGCCCAGAGGATCACAGACGTCGGTAAGAATTCCCCTAGTTTGGCAATGAACAGGAGCTTGATTAGCTCGCCTCCACTGCCGGCCCCTCCCCAAGACTTCCAAGACTTTGACTAAATGTAATCAATGTGCTGTCGTCGACTCAGCGACGCTCTCTGTGCGGGGAAAATTGCCTAGGAAAAAGAATTGCGGGGGGATGGAGAGGAAGAGGGGCAACATGGGGGTTCGTGAGAAGGCGGGTTCCCTGTCTTTGGCCAACTATCTCGCTCAATGTCCGAACTCTGTCTACTTCTTATGCTTATTTCGTCCGGGGGTCTCCACGGGTATCGGTGGGTGAGTGGAGAGAGTCGTGAGGGGAAGACAGGGACACGATGATGGCAGATGGATGACGGCGGCACCGACGAGAGAAATGATGTTGTTGTTGGAGGGGGGGATTCTGTCGTAAATTGTCATGTTCTCACCCCTGTCCTCATCTCGTCCACTAGCACCTCCATCGGGTCACCCATTCTCTTTCCCGTTTCCTCCACCGCGCTACGACGTCCATCATGGAGAGAAATGGCCTGTGAGAGATTTGGGAGAGGACGTCTAAACCTTAGACTTAGTGCGGTACCCGTCCAGATGGGCTCATATACTTCGGAGACAAGGAAGCTAACGAGAGCGATCGAACATTCTATGCACTCAGTTTAAACTTCTCATCCGTCTAGCGTTTCTCTAAGTGTTCGCGAACCAACCAACATTCCTTAGCTTGCAGGCTAATACAGTCTCTTCAGAGGTAGTACAAACGACACCCTTGTGTCACACATTGGGGCGCGCAGACAATGTGCTGCCAGCACGGAGGAATGTTCCAATAACTCCAATAGGCCAACTTGCAATATCCTTAGGGCAACGCTGCCTGTCGTGTTTGTGTCTGGTGTCAGCATAAGCGCCTGCGTCCAGGGCTGGGCAGAAAAAGAAGTCGAGGCGCTGTGCGAGTCATGGACTCACGGATGCTGCTCTACAACCTTGGCATTGTCGACGCCAGCAAGCCTGTTCTTTCCCACCACTTCCCATTCACCTTTCATCGTGGCATTTGAAATGGATCATACACTAGTCTGGCTAACTCTTGCAGGTGATGCTCCGCGTTGATTTTCCGCCTTCTCCTCTCTTCCCATCATGGCGTCTCCATCATCTACTCTGCCCATAGCCTACCTTCGTGACTAGCCCCAGACTCACCAGTCTGCCAGCCAATCACTGGTAACAAACTCGTCCGGGGTTGGCTCATGAAAAGTGCCAAGAGCTCTGGGCATGCACCGGCGGGGGCAATGCATCGGTCGTACGGACGAGGACTTCTCGAGACACAAGCAACAAGCCCAAAAGTCTTGAATCTGAGCCAGAGCCATAGCCAGAGCCAGCCACACACATCTCCCAACCAAGGTCCCCCTGTCATTTTGTTCGTCTCGAGATGCATTTCAGCGCCAGCAATCTGCATGCTGCATGGCTACGTAGTACGTACCGGAAGCCCAAAGCACCAAGCCCTGCAAGCCCTGCCTGGAGACCGGCTGAGGCACTCTCCTCAGTTCTGGATGTTCTACTAGAGCCAGAGCTGCCAGCCTGACTTTATAGTCCCAGTTCATGTCCTGGGCAGTGCGGCGGCGAAGCTATGACTGACAGACAGGGTCCGGTACCCGTTCTGAGTACCCAGTTTCCCTCCGGTAGGAAGGCCACACGGTGATGTCTGTTGACTTCCGAAGAGGGTAGGGGGGGAAGGGGAGGGGCGTGTCAAACGTCGAAACCATTCAGATTGAAAGCAAATATCGTCCTTCCCACTAGGGTATGTGATGTATAAATTGTGAGTGTGAGTGGATCGGGGGTAGCACTCGGCGGTCACGGAGGGTCCCAGGCATGGCAGGAGTCTCTGTCAATAAGAGAGAAATGAGACGGCCGCCTACATCTCATCTCGTCGTCGAATTTATAAGAAGCAGCGCTCAAGGTTTCATCCCACCTTCGATTCGGATCTACCCCTCAAGCTCGTCCAGGTGTTTTTTTTGGAACTGCGCACATCCTCTCTCTGTTTCTTTCTCTCTCTCTCTGTCCGTCTCTCCGTCTCTCCCCTCTCGTCTCTGACGTCTCCCGTCCACCGCGTTCCACCACATCTCGAGTCCTCCTAAATCTCTCTCCTAACCCTTCCTTGCCGTGCTTCTTGGTTACCTACCTATGAATACACTTGAATAACCCGACTATTTGACCGAAAGACGCACCAGATTTGTGCGCCTACCTTTCCGCTGGATCCTACCTCTTGAATGAGAATTTTCCATTCATCTGAAAGAAAAGAGAAGCAAACAAACTTTTTTGCGGGATACCACAAACAAACCGCGGAAAGCAACGCGCCCGATTTGAACGCGCGCGCGCATACAAAGATCTCATCGCACATTAACCATTTACCGCTGGCAAATAACCCGTTCCAATACCGCAGCTATGGATCCCTACGGAAAGCATGATCCCGAGGTCAACGAGAGCTCGGACGAGAAGCCCATCGACTCCCAGTTCGAGCAGGCACAGATGCTCGCCGATCTGCCCGACCCCGATGCCGGAAAGTCTGCAGAGGAGCGTGCCGCCATCGTACGTGTGCTCCCTACCCGTTGATGGTTGATGAGAGGCCTTGGCGCCCTCACTTATAAGAGAACCTGACTTGCTGAGATTTTCGAATTCTAGGACAAGAAGCTCATGTGGAAGGTCGACCTGTGGCTGGTCCCCTGGCTCTCCCTCCTTGTAAGACACAACGCCTCCCGCCCCCCCGATCCTGCGCGTGAACGGCTGCGCGCGCGAAACGCAGTTGACGGCATACTGACTTTGAGTTCTCTTAGTATCTCCTCTCTTTCCTCGACCGAACCAACATCGGCAATGCGCGTCTCGCAGGCATGGAGGATGACCTCCACATGAACGGCACCGACTACAACATGTCTCTCACCATCTTCTTCATCAGCTACGCCGTCTTCGAACCCGCCACCAACGCCCTGCTGAAGCGCCTGACGCCGCGCATCTTCTTTACCGGAATCATCATCGTTTGGGGCATGATTATGACCCTAATGGGATTGTGCACCAACTTCTCTGGCCTGCTTGCTGCCCGTTGGTTCCTTGGTATCGCTGAGGCTGGTCTCTTCCCCGGTAAGCCTTTCTTACATGGCTGAATACCAAAAGCTGGTAGGTTGAATTATGACACTGATGCAAAGTCCAGGCGTCAACTACTACCTTTCCTGCTGGTACAAGGGATCCGAGATCGGCGTCCGCTCCGCCGTCTTCTTCTCCGCCGCCGCCCTCGCTGGCTCCTTCGGCGGTCTCCTCGCCGCGGCTATCGCCAAGATGGACGGCATCGGGGGCAAGCCCGGCTGGGCCTGGATCTTCATCATAGAGGGTCTAGCGACCATCTTCGTCGGCATCTTCTGCTGGTGGATGGTCTTTGACTGGCCCGAGGGCGCCCGCTTCCTGACCCCCGACGAGCGTATCCGCGTCCAGCGCCGCCTCATCGCCGACAAGCAGGGCCGCACCGCCGAGGACTTTGATAAGCGCCACATTTACGCCGCCATGAAGGACTGGAAGACGTACGGCTACATGGTCATCTACATGGGCTGCCTCGTGCCCCTCTACGCCTTCTCCCTCTTCCTGCCCACGATCCTCCGCGCGATGGGCCACACTGGCACCAAGGCCCAGCTGCTCTCCGTCCCGCCTTACGCCGTCGCCGCCGCTCTCACCGTCACCGTCGGTGTCATTGCAGACAAGACCCGCTGGCGTGGATACTGCAACGTCGCGACTGTCACTATTGGTATAGTCGGATTCGCCATGCTCATCGCCTCAACCAACCCCCAGATCCAGTACGCCGGCACGTTCCTCGGAGCCGCTGGTATCTACCCGACCATCTCAAATACCCTCTCCTGGGTCATCAACAACACCGAGGGCTCTCTTAAGCGCGCCTTCGTACTTGGCATGGTTGTTGGCTGGGGTAACCTCAACGGCGTCGTCTCCTCCAACATCTACATCAAGACCGAGTCCCCACGCTATCTGACCGGCCACGGCGTTGTCTTGGGCTACCAGGTGCTCTTCTTGCTTGGCGGATCCATCTTCATGCACTTTGCGCTCCGGGTCGCCAACGACCGCCGCAAATCCGGCAAGATGGATGCCCAGTGGGCCGGCATGACGGACGAGCAGAGATGGGTGGCTGGAGACAAGCGTCCTGACTTCATGTATACGCTATAGGTGCTACATGGTGCTTCCGGTTACTTTTATGGATTAGAATTCAGGCCAGGAGGCGTAAACTCTCTGTTCAAATATTTGAGTACACATGTCTGGGTCACGTAATGCCTTTGGAGCGCTCTTTTTGTGCATTCCTTCTCTCTGTGATGTCACATGCAATGATACCATCAACACGTTGGAACTTTTCTTTGCTTGTTAGTATGTGCTACCCATAACGATTTACCTGTGGCGTGACTTACTGTCCGCATACCTTAGCATGAGCCTGTGTGATTGATTTTCTTGACGCTCTTACTTCAATTGACAGAGGCACATATCAAAGCATTGCGGTCTGTTGTTCTAATCACGTTCTCCGAGTTTGAAATGCTCCCTAGAAACCTAGTTCTCACTATCTGAACTAAATTCAACAAACCTTGCCTCTGTTGTTGGGCAAGGCGAACACTGAGGTTCGGTACTGGGCATATTCCCACCTTCGTGCGACCATATGGAATCCGTTCTTTTCTTCACCTTGTCAGCCCAAAACTGCTCAACCTCGTCTGTAAGAGCGACAAATGTCCCCTCTGGCGCCAATCCAAGTCCGCGATGCAAGTCCTCGAGTTCTCGATCAGGCCGAACTAGAAATAGCGTAGCGCTGTCGATCGACTGAAAAACACTTTCAGTTCAATCCTCTCGTGTGTCGCACATCTGTCAACCATGCGTCTCTCAAATATCAGGTGCTCATGCAAAGGACTCTGTCCCTTTGAAAGAGAGAGCCTAAATTGCCAATGCCCCGGAGGAGGCATGAACAGGTCAAGAAAGTCATAGGTGCGCGTACCGCAATCCAGGTATCGCCGTAATCCCGTGTGTGGCTCCGGCTCGGATTGGGGAACCCGGAAGGGGTCACAGACTATCCTGAACCTATTTGTTCCGTCCGTGGTGAATGTATGGTATCTCGAATGCATCGATCGCTGGCCCTGTAATTTCCTTTTGTTAGCAAAGTCGCTGTATAAGGTGCAGGCAGAGCATTGGCCTGACTTACGGTGTTGGCCAGAAGTATCGTAGCAATTTCGTCCCACTCTGCATCGCCGCCGCCACCGCGGCCTCTCTGCACTTGCATTCCGAAAGCAGCACCGTTTTTGATGTAGGTTGCGATTGTTTGGTGGGCTTTGGCTGTTGCTATTGCTGCTCCTTTGGCAGTGTTGAATGATCTGTTTGTACCCATGTATGAGTTCATCCATCCAGTCTCGGGCCTGCCGCAGTACAGAAAAGCTAACGAAATGGAGGCCACCTTACTCGTACGGGGTTTCTGGTTCCTTGTCCAGGTAGACTATAGGGGGAGATGCTCCGCCTTGGGAAATCTTCTCGACAACCTCGTACAAGTAGTACTTGACCCTTTGGTTCTTAGCACCGCCCCCAGAAACAACAATTCGACCTCTGATGCCTGCCTGAGTTGACGCGATTTTAGCTTTCAAGTCTCTGATGCCCTTTTCAGCTTCAAGCAGTGGCCGTAAAAAGGCTTTTCGGAACATTGTGGTGAGGTCAAGGCGCGGGATAGTCACGTGAAAACGTTTGGAAGCTGAAGAATACCCACTCGGCCTCTCGATAGTCAGATTCATGTCTTCGAACTCCACCTTGAACTTGTCCGCGGCCTCTTCTCTGAACGGTTCCTTGTTTCCAAGAGCTATCAGGCGCGTACGGAACTCTTTCAGGAACTCGTTTCGAAGCAATTGCGTGAATTCATTGCTGCCGAGTTCGCCGGTGTCCGATTCAGCGTGACTGGTACAGAAATCGCCAACAGATGTCTCCAACAAGGCCGAGCCGCCAACCGTTGCTTTTGTTAGCCAAACAGTTAGCGTGCGGATTATCGATATCAAAATCTTAGGTGGTAGGATGCTTCATTTGATCATGAAACTTACCAATTGGATCGCTAGCTCTGAAAAGAGCTGTTTTACCTCTGGCCCTTCTCACGTAGTAGAGGCAGCCATTCTTCACACGTCAACATGGTAACCAGCTGTTTTAAGAAAGAAACGGAGAGAAATCACCATGCTGTGTCCGCCGAAGTCGAGAAAAAGAACATATTGGCTGTCATCCCTTCCTAGTCTTTTATCCGCGACGTATTCGTCTGAGCAGATGAAGTGAGCCATCGCCTCGGCTTCTGTGTGGAAATGGAGATGATCAAAGATATGGTCGAGGTCGAACGACCGACTGGTAAGCAATGTTGAATCCTTTTCTAAGGTGTCTTTGATAATAGCCTTGTATCTTTCGTGCTCTACGAGCGTCCAGTGAGCAGGAACTGACAGACCAAAGTCCACAATCCTCAGGGGCTTACTTCTCTTCTGGGATTCAGACTCCAGCCGAAGGAAGACAGCTTTGAGAATTTTCTTCAAACCCTTCGTTGCCCGATCTTCAAAGTCGGCGCTGTTGATATTTTTCAAGGCTTCCATTCGGAGAGAATTCTCTCCATTGGCAAAGTCCCTAAACGTGTCTAGGAAACCATCACCGAGGAAGAACTTGGCCGAGACCTGGGTGGTTGAGGGGCTTAGCTCATCACCAGTGTAGACCTCTTCAGTCCCTGAAATGTTGATATACCCGTTGAAAGCGCCCTTTTCGTAGCGGGTGCCATCTTGAGTTTCTAAGTTTCTCTGATTAAACAACACCTCTGGTTGCGAGACATAATCCTCGTCGTCGGAAGGCAAAGAGCAGACGACTAATCGAACAGAAGTACTACCCCAGTCCAAGCCCACGACGCTTCGGTTCTTGGTCAGATACAAAATTTGGGAATTTGACCGGCAGCGGAAAGGCTGGCTCACATGTCTTTGCGACGAGATACGGAAGCGTCGGACATCGCCTGGCTCCTGGAAACAGGCCCTCACCACGTCGTGCGATGGTATTCACCAAAGAATGCAGGAAATTAAATGATGAATTGGGTGGCTCTTCAAGAAGTGACGACGAGGGGTTCAAAGGAAATTCAAGAGTACGGGGGTAGATCGACTTCTCACAAAGCGAAAATCAAGCGAGAGACACGTACAACAGACAGTGCCTTGACTCAGCTAAGAAGACCTCCCACAAGGGGTAGTCTATATATAAGGTATATACACCTTACGGGGCGAGCCCACGGAACGGTCGCTCTGTGGGAAGCGGTCTTGCACGGCAGCATGCCGGGTTTCGCCACGTGTGGCGCTGCGACAAGACCCAGGTTGAAAACATAGTATTCATAGGAGGCCTTTCGGCTCCCGTCCGTTCCCAGTCGGCCACACCGCTTCGATAACTACACTAGGATTGAACAGGCACCAAATCTTTGTGGAAAATCCCTCACTGGGTGCCAGAGGCGTGTTCGCAATACTCTGGGTGTCCATCATCGTGCGCGTGGGTCTCAAGACACTCAAAGTGGATCTCCGTGGATGCTTCAGGGAACATTATATTGGCAAAAGACTTGAATCAAAAACAGGTCTTCGTGAGCTGATCACCAGGCGAAGATTCTGCACCAGGATGGTGAAGATACATGTCAGAATGCTGGCACGTGGTCCTGCGTGTAACGCAGTAGCCAGCTGGAGCAAATGCAAAAACCTCGGTAACTCTTGACTGTATGTAGGTACCAAGTCGTGACCCTGTAGGTACCAAATCGTGACTTTGATGTTTCATGAACTCTTTTCCTTATCTCTTCTGAGGCAATATTTTACCCAGCTGAGACGGTGCGGTCTTTTCCAGACCGATGCTGTTGGCTGCGTCATGGGTAATTTCCAGTGCGCAAGGGACAAATGATGTGGCGTTCTGAGGTACGAGCTGGCGGAAGGACAACCCGTTGACGAGCCATCGAGTCCAAAATCAATGAGGACATCGCGCCTCCATCCGGGCTTAGAATTATGTCGCCTAAGATGCAGTCGAGCAAAGCACGTTTGAAATCGAAAATTCTCCCCTATCCTCTTCAGAAAAGAGGATGATCTGAAGAGCTGGCCCACTAATACCGGCTCAAAAGTCTAGTTACACCATTAAGCCACATGCCCCACCTCCTCTATTATCTACCCCTTTTTTAACATCACGCCGCTAGGCCTAGGAATTGTATTCCAAATGTTCAAGTGATGCTTTCAAAGGTTGATTTTATATAGAAAATTTTCTATTTAGACGATAGTTCAAAAAGCTGTGCTTCATTGAAATAAAAGGGGTATTGAGGGCATCTCGGGTTGTGGTGGTTTTGATAGTTTGTGGTGGGGTTACCCTTTATAGTGTAACCAGACTTTTGAGCCGGTATTATATGTGGGCAATGGTGGCAACCAGCACACCGACCACGTTGATTCACAAAGGGTACATATCGCGGGTCACAAAATACATGGTCCATTGCCCTCCTTGCTCGCATTCCCAGCAGCACGCTCAAAAATACCTCAAAATAGGCCTTAACGTTGTATAAAAAATTTACCTGAGCTATAAAGAAAAATCTGTAAAATTACCCTATTTAGCTTGAGGATAATTGGTTTTGTTTAGCTAGTATCGAGGAGGTAGTTTTGCTGAGGGCGCTTGTTAGAAAGGGGCCATGTGTCTTGTCACCCGCGTGGTAAGTAAAAGTCCCCGACTTGTACCTTGGTTGCCCGTAAGTTGCTGGGCTCTGGAGGTGCGCCTAGCCCGAATTAAGAGAAGAAATTTCAATCTTCCAAAACATCCACATGTCTGCTGCTTCTGTGCCACAAGGCGTTTGAGACCGGCACCAGGTTAAAGAGTGCCTCTCGACAGAATGCGGAGAACGTTCCGCGTTCATCAGCTCGGCCATGAAGACATCTTTCACAACAATGGCTACTCGACAGAGGCCGAGCTGGGTCTTCTCCCAAGGCCTCGGCAGTGGCGGATAATAATTTTATATCTTGAACTGCACCTGTGGCTGCAGCTATGCTTTTTTGAGCAATCTATTTCTGACCGGGTTGGCTTCTAAACCCTTTGAGAAATGTGGCATTGCTTTCCAGGATGACGCGGACTTACTTTGTCTCTTCGAACGCCGACGTAAGCAAGCCCGAATTCCTCATTCACACCCACCTACAAGCTAAATCATGTATATTATGACACTGAGGGATGTATTCGAGCAATAACGAAGTCCTCAGGTCATGGTTTCCGAGGACTAGATTGATAAATGCAATGAAAATGTGTCGAAGCAAAATTACCCAGTCTCTAGATTGTGAAGTCCAGGTACCGTGGTTTGGCCTTGAAGCAGAGTGTGTGATGAACATGTTGATCAAGTAGAGATGAATACATGTATCTTTGACCAGTAGCATATATAACGGAGTAGTTATTCTCTTCAGCAGGGAATTTCTGGGTCACAGTCATAAGCCTTGCGATGCAGTTCATCCTGGTGGTGTTCGTGAAAGACTACATGCGTGCTACCTCCTCTCTGTGAACTGAGGTCCAAGGGGGCCACCGATTGAAAGGATCCAACAGGGCTCATTTGAGTTTCCGTTGGATTTATTGACTGAGGTAATTACCCTATCCCTGTTTGGACGCTTCATGCGTGCAGAACGCACGGGGCCGCAGCAGCGGCGAGAAGACACACGGGGAAACACGCCAGGAGTACCAGAAGCAGGGTCCAGGCTGCATGGTGTAAAGGATGTGCCTCTAGTGATCAGCTACCGCTGCACTCTTTTCGCGTGCCTCTGCTGCTGATAGCTTGCGCAATTCTGCGAGTGTATGCCGGCCTGGACCTCGTTTACATTAGGTCAGTGGACGAGGAGAAGAAGGAAAGGGGGCTCATGATTGCGAATCCTAGCAGAGAGAGCAGGAGTCCAACATGCAAGAGACTGGATCAGAGTCAGCCAGGACTTTTGTCCGAGCCGGGTAAATGTATATGCAATGTTTCGGGGAGGGGTGTGAGAACAACCCTCATTCCTTCGGGTACATGGCGTAATCCACCGAGTCCTCCTGCCTATGCGAAGATCGAGTTCAACCGAGGATGAACGGGAAGAGCTCAGGGGATCATACATCAAATATTACGTTCAAAAGCTACATCGACTAAATAGTCCGGATAGCTATCTGATCATCACATAGTGACCCTGCATTCTTGACGATGAGCGCAATCTCTTTCAATATAATTGCCACATGGTGCCAAACTGCAGGGAAGACGTAATCGAAGTACGAATTTGCTCAAAACTATCAGGCTTACACGCGGGGTGAATTCAATGTAAACATTAAGCTATGTGGGGGTTGACGTGTGAGGTGGAAGGATCGGTTGCGATCGGTGCCGTCTTGCTTTCGATCTTCTGTCTTTTTTGTTTTGCCTTGCCACCATGAGCCACCACCTTCATTCGGATTCTGTTTGGGCTTCGATAATTGACGTGATCAATGATGTGTAGGAACGGAGCCTTCTGTATTTCCATCGTCTCACGTTCTTCTTTTCTATCAGTTGTGCAACCACCTCACCCTAGGAAGAAGGGCTTGCCGTAGAGGTATCTTTGCAACCCCCCTCCCCAATTAAAACTCATTATTAATGGTGCATAGGACTCTGAATTACCCTTGGCTACATCAGGGAGTTGCCCTGCCTGTACTGGTCCTTGCAGGCCCATGGCTACGGGATTCACCGGATACGTGTTGCACAGTCACCCCCCCACCCCCCCAGGATCCTACATGTAAGAACAGAGAAAATTTCTATAGGGTGAAGACATGTAGGGGCCTCTGAAATGATATCCATAGAAACAAAATTTTCCACGGGAATGCATGTTGGCCAACCGACAAGCTGCATGTACTAAACCATATTTGTCGCAGATGCCCGATAGATGAAGGAGTGAAGACGGCGTTCGAGTCGGACTGGGCGTCGTATCTATTGTTAATTTCGCCATCATTTGCTAGCAGGTATGAAATAACAGGCATATACTACAGCCCCCTGATACATTATTTGGCTAAGATTAACAGGTGGGAAATACCTGCGTTCCTCGGCCCTTGTAGTGTGTCTTCCCATCACTCTTGGCCTGCCACCCACCCTTTCCCTTCCGCTGTTTCGCGGCCTCTCCCTTGTTTTCACCTAAATCTCTCGCTTTCTTGCTATTTGAAGAGTGGAAAAGAGATAAATACGGAATGCCGGTAGTGTAGCAAAGGGGAAGCCAAGGCTGTTGCAGAGGTTCGCGGCGGGTTGCTGGCCGCAAAACGTGAAATGCGGGCATCGGGTATTTGCATCACCAACTTTAGCACCCACTATTTCTCGTTATCACTGGGGATCAATAGATCGGTAGCTTGGCAAGGTTCTGGAACGAACGGGTGCAGCATTGTTCCTCAGTGACTCATTTTAATCATAAGCAAACCTGATGCAAGGCTAGGTATTAGGGGCTAGAAGCCCATCCCCTGGGCCTGTGCTACAAATGGTGTCTCGTAGTTACGTGCCTTTTGTGTGAACATCAGGTTGGTCATATAGCCCAGTTTGTGCTTGTTGCCACTTTTGCCCAATTCGTGGGCAGAACTTTGTTACAATGGCCTCCGTGTTGTCAACTGAACGCAACATTCTCACTGACCCAAACCCGAGATTAGTGGGTTACTTCCCGGATAGCTAAAAAGCACTTTCAGGGTTGCAATTGAAGGCTCAAGTATATTGTAAATAACAATCTGGACGTGGGCATCTGTTCGGTGCGAGAACATGCTGCTTATATTCTTAAAGTACCTCTATGATGTCCTTGTCTTCCTCTTCTGAAATGGTGGAAGCAAGAAAAACTGTTCTGCGTAATCTATGTCCGGTCGCCGGAATCCACCAGTCGTGCAGTCCAAGCCAATCAAGCCACCCAAGCCAATCAAGCACTCTCAATCAGAGTATTTGTCCCCGTCTTCCATGGAGTCTGATCTTTCTTCCCTCTCGACCTCTAGGGACTCTTGAGTCGATCGAGGTATAGTTTCTCGGAGGTTCTTGTTGTGATTCGCTACCCATTCATCGTCAAGGGGCTGATGTCGAGCGTCGAGTCTATGCGGCACAACTTTGAAGGAAGCAAAAGTCAGCCATTCGCTTTGTGATTAGAAAATAGAGAGCAATGATAGAGCAATGATATATTTGCGTACCTTTCATGCCATACTTCCTGAGAATGGTCTTCGCATCTCCAGAACGGACCTTGCAACGTTTGAAGTGCGCTACTGCATCTCCACTGGCGATCGGGTCTCGGGAAAAGCTGCGGCTCTGGCAATTCTGCTTCGGACAGATCAAGATCCAGTGCGCCTTGATGCCATCAAGTTTATGAAAGAAGACAAAACTATCCGGGTGAACCCTTTTCAACGCGTTTGCGGTCAAAAATTTTGCTTTTCCCCCCTTCTTGCGCCGAATAGCATTGCGATGTGGAGTAGGCGGACTGTCCGGGAAAGGGAAGCCTAGAGATGGCGGAGACAGCCATGTAGGGGGTGTCAGAGCAGTGGGAGGGCCCATGGCAGCGAGGTCTGGTGGCATCGTGAAGGGCGCTGGCCTTCTTCTTGCGTGTTCGAAGGCAGAGAAAGATATTCCGGCGATATTGTCGTAATAGAAATTGTTGATTTCGCAGGGAAAGTCTGCCATGATTTGGTCGGAAATCCCAGGTCTCTCCTCAGATGCATGTCTGAGAGGAAGACCCGAGAGCATATTTCGCTGACAGTGACCCCTGAACTCCTGATACTTTTCTAGAACGCGTTTGATTTCCGTCGTGATCTCCCTGTGGAGATGATCTTCAAGTTTTCTAATGTATAGACTAACCTCCATTGCTGATTCTTCAGAGATGCTGCTTGTCGGAATCCCTGCGAAGCTCATCTTGCATCAGATTGCCGTGAGAACAAAGATTCCCTTCGTGACATCTAGTCGGTGGTACGTGTCGGCAGTTGTTTGCTCCTGAGTCCGGATATCGAAGCTGTGTACAAGCGGAAACTTAATGCGAGGAGGAGGCGGAAAGGGGGTCTCTTATCAACTCCAGGCAAGAGTCGCACATCGGTCATTCTACCAAAGACTGCAACCTTCAATGAAAGTTTCTTGTTCCTTAGACTGCCATTCCAAATTAAGGTATCCACCTGTAGGCATACCAGTGACACCTACGTCGAGTAATAACATGCCTGTGCCTCTGTTCTCACCGCCCGACACCTTCATCCGACCCAAGGTTCCGGTGGCTACACCCTAGTAGTGATAGCAGCAAGCAAGAAAACCCCCACTCCGTACCAATTTGGACCTCGCTTGCACATATTGGCCCGCCGCTGCTCTTCAAAGCGGTAGGTGCATGCCGAAAGAAGGGATGGAATCGTGCCGTTGGTCTTTTCCCTTAGTTCACGGCTGTCTTTTCATAACGAGACACCTGGTAAATTGATACCTACACCAAGCCTACCCTAGCTCTCGGTTGTATCAATTTCACGTTTCTATTGTCAGAGGGCATGCGTTTGAAGCTAACTACAATTCCATGTAGACCTCCCCTGTATATGATGACCAGCTAATTTTCTTTACGGGCAAGGTCTTCTCCTCGAATCCTCGAAATAGGGAAAATTCCCGCGCACCAAGTCAGTCTGTGGCGTTTCCCTGTGCTTGGACGGTAGAAACCCCGCTTCTGGTATCTTTGAAGTACATTCGGTGCACTAGACGAATCGATGGCTATGGTCTAATATTGGGGGAAAGAAAGAATAAATACACATGTTCTTCCCTCCCCCATCCCTATACTTTCATATGGCAGCAGAACGTATGTCCCGCCCTTTCTCTTGCTCGCATCTATCGACATTTCCCCAAAATTGCACGATGCTCAAGCCTATACGACAGGCTGTGTGAGTCTTCGATTCCATCCAAAACTTCCAGATTGATTGATCATCATGTGCTAACTCTAACATACTTATCCAGGATTTTAGGATTAGACTGGGGAAGCAGCTCGATCCGTGCGAGTATTCTAACCCGCGACACACGGCACCCAGAGAATGTCTATAACGAAGATTCAATACCTGCCCACGACGAACATTATCAGAAAGGCGCGTTCAACGCAGCATTATATCTGGATGGCATTGGCAAGGTCTACACAGGCGAAGCCATCGACGAGGATCGTGAACCAGTGCCGTCAAAGCCCTTCTTCTCCCAATCCCCACAGACTGGGATTAATGCAATTGATGCATTGTTGAATGGCTTGCGAGCGGATGCAACGTGGGCACTTGTTCATGAGGGTATGGAAGAGATTGCCAAGACAGTCTTTAAGAGCATTGGAGGTTTCTGTAACGGCAACAACGAGCTTGACGAACTCTACTGTATCGACGAAATAGGGCTGTCGTACCCTGCTCACTGGAGGCTAGGAGAACGAACAAAGTACGAGGAGCTCTTGAGAAAGGTTATACCCAAAGAGTCAGCCTGGGTCAAGCCAGATGTCGACATCAGCTTTCATGTTGAAAGCCTGGCATCGGCACACAGATTATTCTCCTCTCCACGGCTGATCGGCAAGATCATGCCTCCGTCAAAGACTCCAGTGCTTGTTGTCTTTCTAGACTTCGGTGGCTACACCATGGTAAGTAATCTCTTACACAGCCAACTTTCTGGGAGGAGTATCCAAAATGAATGACTATTTGTAGAATGGATGCATGTTCAATGTACAGAAAAGTAACGCTAACGACCTGAGCTACCACAGAGTGGGGGAAACCTTTTGTAAGTCCCGATACTCTGCTTTTGCCACGGAAGATCTGACAAATGTTATGAAGCGGCCTTTGGCGGTACTCAACTGTGGGAGCAGCAGGTTGGCATTTTCTGCCGAAAGTACGTCGAGGCGGAGACTAACAGGCCAAAACTATCGCCCCGACAACGAGCAGAATGTCTCGAGATGTTCCATCGCGAGATCAAGAAGTTTGAAACAAGTGAAATTGAGCCAATGCACCTAACTTACCGAATCCCTCTCAAGGAGGGGCACCTATCATACAGCGTGTGTCTACCCAAACACAGCGCCGAGAACTGTTTCTGGAATGCTTTGGCAGGGCCGATAAAACTCGCCGAGAAGAAGATCGCCGAAGCAGTGACTCTGAGCTCCCGTGTCAAAGTCGTCCTGTCTGGGGGCAGCGGCAAAAATACTGTTGTTCAAGCACGGCTGAGATCGGCTTGCGAGAGACTTGGGGTATCGCATCCGTACTGCATGAACCAAAAGCTCGCGAAGGAGGAGTAAGTAACCCCCGCTCGCTCTCATGACTACTAACTACTTTAATGACACCAAATTCTAACATTCACTGGCAGTTCATGGAATATCTCCCGAGGGGCAGCAATTGCAACGGCGAATACAATATCTGTACATGAGTCGATGGCGAACGGCGCGGCGTTTGGTTTCCAACGGGGAGGTTATGCCACTCTCAACAGCCCGGAGGGACTTAGAAGCTCATGGGAAGAAGAAATAGAAGTTTCGTTGGACTTGGTAAGTGTTTCTCGGTGCATCCTTTGTTGCTTTACGTCTCATTGTCCGATGTACTGACGAAACCTCGTGCAATCACAGAATGGGTCACGTTCCTGGAAAAGGTGGTGCGGCGATACAACGAGAATCAAGATCATTTGCGATCCCTTTCTTCAACTGCCCGACAGAAAAACACATCTCCGTTTCTCGTCGTGTTGCGATGTCGTGGAACTTCCTCAGCCTTCCAAAGGGTACTGGGAGTTCGAGCTTCGCTTTGCAGGCGATGGCGATGACCTACGTCTTGTCGTGGAACGAGGTTACATGGGGCACACCGGAAGAAAGATCTTCCGCCACATGCCAACGTTGGAGTTGCCACTCTACTACGACCCGTCTTCCTGCTGCTGTCTGATCAAAACAGATGTAGACGATGAAGGCTATGGTCTCTTGGTCACAGAAACAGGGGAGATCGTGGCTTGCCCAAGAGAGCCAACACGAAATCATCTGGAGCGAGGAGGCCGACCACGTCTTGGGGAGAGTGGGAACATTCGAAAGCGCAAGCGAATGGCACCAGCTAGGCGCGGTGGAGTCGGTGGCAGGCAGGGAAAGGCTGGCGTCAAACCAACAGGTCATCTTCCGGAACTCAAGCCACCCAATTACTTGCCAAAATCTACAAGGGCCCCGGTGATTTCTCAGTTCAACGGGTCCACCGATGGGCTTCCCTCTGCTCATCTGGTCAGGGAAACGAGAAGCATGGAAAGCAGTAGGCGTGAAAATTCTGTCATCCCGGTGGTGTCTGACACGGTGGTTGGTAGGCAGGCTTTATCTCCAGAATGTGGTGTGACGAATCATTCTTTCTGGGAACAGGCAACTGTTGCGGAATCGGGGCCCTGAGGGCGAAGTTTGGGTGCAAATAGAGGGACCGAACCTACCTGCTCTCCCGTCATTACTTTCTATACCTTTTTCACTCGCAAGAATAGATTCTCGGCTTCACAGAAGCCACTCAACATGATAACAACGTCCCGGAAGAACTTCATCAAGTGACCCGTTTACTTGGCGCACATGCAGTGATGAGAAAGAGTTTCTCCTCATATTCTGTGTGAAGATAAACTGAGTTCGGAAAGTGAGAAGAAGAACCTAGCAGCATAAGTCAACCTCACACGTTGTGGGCCATCCTGGGACTACTTAGTAGACTGTAGTTAGAGTCACCATTTAAGAATGTGGCAACTTCGGCATCGGAAAGGCCATCGAAGAACGACTCTATCTGAGGCATGTAATACTTCCCGGATCGCCACTCAGCCAGATTCCCATCGCCTTTTCCAAGTCCTTCGGTAGATAAAACATTTCTTGTTGGATTCTCGGCCGCCAGGATGGGCCCTTGGTCACGTAAAGTCAACACGGGCGCCTCCCCAGGATTATTCGTCGCGAAGGGAGACGCAAACACAGACAGGGGGCTCGCAAACAGCTGCAACCCTTGCTGCCATCTCGTGCTCGTCGACCACGCCTGATGCAGCTTGCTCAGGATCCTCAAAGAGGCCAACGCCATTTCCTCGGCCTCTGAAGGGGAGACGTGCGGAAACAGATAGGGATGCCGCCAGAGGTACGAGGATATCGAGCCATGAATGTAGACACAGAAGACAAGGATGGCGGGGAAGCCCTTGTCGCGAGTTCGTATGCTGAAGAACGCCTCAACTTGCTCGTATACTAACAACGTTGCCGAATAGTTCGTTAGACTCCTTGCTCCAAAAATCCTCTGGGACAGCCTGCTATTGTGTGTAAATATTTTCCTCTGCGCCTGCTGTGGTGGGCGAAAGCGCGGAGATTACGTGGCTGATGTACGCCCTCCTTAGAAGGATGTTACTGAGGCTATTGTATTCGCACTGTACGTAGAAGTAGACACTTTCAGACAGCCGACGTAGGCGCCCTTTACCCTTACGGGTGGAACCGGCGTTAAACAAACAAACAAACGAACGAACAAACAAAAAAATGTTAGTGAGGCGCAGTACCATGACCACAGAAAGGTACGCAAGGTGTAGGCACTCTTCCCCTCTATCCTCTCAGGTTCCAGACACTCCATCCGTCCCTCGGTGGCATGTCCACCTCCCACACGTGGAGCGCTTTTGTTAGCGCAGTGTATCGGCTCTCTGTCCTCCAAGTATAGTCTACAGAAAACCCATCGGCTGGGTGCCCTGCCTGACGAGCGACCTGCCTCCATAAGTTCAGCGCCTGAACGAGTGTCGCAAAGAGGCATCTATTCGGACCACCAACCAAACGGCCAAAAGCAAACAGCAGTAGGTTCCGCTTGCCCCACCTGGTCGACCTGGATAGTTGGCGGCAGGGCATACGTCTCCTCAAGGTACAGCCTCAGCAGCGTTGCCACGCGCACCGCAACGCCCATGTCCATTGAGCTCCTCTCCTTGTCCCCATTGCTCCACTCCGCGATGGCGAGCAGGAAGAAGGCCTACGTGTTACCTAGTGACGGCCGTTACGTCTCTACTGGCACCATGCCTTTCGCCTACTCTAGGCAGTGATTTGTGGCTTTGATGGCGGTACCGTATCGACGGATCAATACAGGCGTTAAGCGGGAGGATATCGAGAGAATCCTCCATACAGCGCTGGAGAAATCGCCTCGTTGCGAGTGGGTCACGCGCTAGGTTCTCTTGAAACATGGCCTTTGGAATAAACCCCAGCTGGAAGTAGGATGTCACGAAGGTTCTGCAGCCTTCGGCTATTTCTTCATTTAGAGGCAATGATGTCGAAGGCTTGATGTCTGGTGTAGGTTGGAGCTGACGTGCGGGAGTATGATGTGGTGACATGGCAGTTTTTCCGGGAGAGGGCTCTCGCGTCCGCGGTCTCGAACCTCCCGCCGCCTTTTCCGCGTCTTGCTCTGCACTTATACCCATCTCAACACTCTCCTGCATGAGGGAAGAGCCGCACACTGTGGAGAGTCCATCAGGGCTGCCATGAGCGTCCGTATTGTCGGGTATGTACGACGGCGGTGCTCGAGTGCGTCGGCGGAACTGGCGGTCGACGGCCCCCTCCCCACGTCGGGGGACCGCGTAAGATCTCGCAGCTTCAGCGCCGGCATAGCGGCATGCCTCGCACGGTGGCTGCGAGTTTTGCTTTACGCACTTTAATCGGAGCTGCCTGCATCGCCGACAGGCGGCCCCGCTACGGCGTTATATGGGTCGCTGAGTAAGGTATGGTCTTCATCCGGGGCGTGTTCCCGAGCGGAAGCGCCGCTCGACATGGCCGTAGGAAGCTCAATCTTTATGGTAATTATCACAAAGCGAGGTATCGAGCGGAAGGCATGTATCATAGTGAGCGGCTTGATTTAGCTAACTGAAAGCCTTAAGCGGGATCACGGACTAATATGCCGTACAGAGCGAGCCCACGGGGCGGTAGTTCCGTGGTGAGCGGTGTCCGTTGGCAACAAACCAGGCGGCGCCACATGTGGCGCTGCAACAGTGATCGATGAAGAAAGCCAATGGGCGACGCGGTATAAGGAACATGAAAGCCAGCAGTATCCTCGCGTATCCTACCGGGCTTCAGCTCTCTCGTCGTAGCATCCAACCAAGTCTCATACGTCCCCCCGTGAAGCATGTAGCTCGCCTCGTAGCTCAACCCCCCCGGCTCCAAAACCTGACTGCTCCCGCTGTACTTGCCATATAAACGGCCCATCATCTCCGTTGACATATTGCGGTGATAGTACGGCAGCCTAAACGTGTCCCACGTCGGGATCCACTTGGGCGTGAAGACCAAAAACTCCGTCAGCGAGACGCCGGGCATCTTGGATTGCGCCGTGAGTACGCAATAGACCGTCGGGTCGGCCTGGTCGCCGTTCACGTTCGCGACGTTGATAAACTTCTCCGTTGCGTATTTACACGGGACGAGGTTACGCCTCCACGCGGCGACGTCAAAGGGCGTGTGGTCCTGCCGGGAAGCGTGGGGTAAGCCCGCCATCTTATACAAAATCTCCCTTTTTGACGAAACCACGTCGATCGAGGCGACGGGGCTTTGGAAATCTTGCGGTAACGCCATGCCTTTGGAGCCGATGGGAACAGGTCCGGCAACTTTAAGTGGCTGCCAAAGATCTCCTGGATGTATCCTCGGCTGGGACCGTCGGGGAAGGCGATGCGGAAACGCAGGCCGGCCTGGATGACCGCTAGCTCCCCCGGCCGGACCATGAGCCAGCCCAGGTCGGTTTGTATGTCGATTCTGCCTTGTTGTGGGAGTATCATGAAGTCTCCATCGTTATTGCAAAAGTCTCGATTCGTCATGGGCTTGTTGGCGGTGTAGACGTGTACTGCGATACCATCCCTCGAGGTCGGGTCTCCCTGGCCGCCAATTGTGCGTATGCCCTGCACGAATTGTGCATATGCCCTGCACGAATTGTGCGTATGCCCTGCACGAGATCTAGGCTTTGCGACTCAGTGTCACCGCCTTCGTCGGTCAGCGGGAACAGATCCCACGCTTGTCGTGCCGCAACGTACTTGACTCGCTTGTTCAACGGCGAGAAGCAGGCTTGCGGCCAGGGATTCAGGTCCGGTGCATGCACGACGTCCCGGTGAGCCACCGAAGGCCAAATGCGGTACATACATACATGCTGCAGCGTAGCCCTCGGGCTTAAAAAGGAGGAGCCGTTGAGCTGTGCCAAGTACAGGTCGAATCTGCATTTCTGAGGGGCGTTTAAGCCGAGCGGCAACGTCCCGGGAACCGTCTCCGACGAGAATCGATTTCCGAACCCCGCTTGGTATCGGTGGGGGTCCGAGTCAGTCGGCTCCGTGCAGTAGGCGGCCGCTGCTGTGGCGCCGATCACTGTGGCCAGTCTGTCTCTGGGCGTGTGTGAGGGGTACACAGAAGAAGCACACGCGGCTCCGTGTGACTCGGTGATGCAATTTACCGTCTGCACGTCACTGACTAGGCGTTTTTACTAGTGACTAATATCCGACCTAGGCGAGAGAGCAGAAAACGCAGGACGGCACGAGAAAAGAGAACGCGGAAAGAAACATTGCAGAAGGCGAACTAGAAATGTGTTTTGGGACATCCAAAGTAAATTCTGAGAAACAGTCGATGACAGAAGCTTCCAAACAGACTCAAAGCCCAAAATCATACGGGGAACGTGGAAATATCCCATGAGCCGCGGGTCGTGCTGCTACAGCTACAGCAGGATCGTGTAAGACGACAATATTTTGGCCGTTTCCGGCAGTCTCAGGACATGCAGCTTATCGCCGGCTGCGGATGCATTGGGTCCCTTTGCCGGTTACCGGGATCCGGCAAACGGTAAACGGTATACCGGTGGGGGCGGAAATTTCGGCAGGTTTTCTTTGTTGGTGGCTGCAATTTCTCCTCGTCCCAAGTTTTTCACATGCACTAACCCGAGTCAGATAGCTTAGTCTGAGTGTCCTGCTCCTCGCTGATAAACCACAGGCAGAATCTCCTCATTATTACGTGCTTGAAGCCCCTGCCCCCGTCAACCATGACGATCTTTTCAAAGTTTCGGCATGCAGCTACCGCGAGAAGGCTGGATTGCCCTCACATTGTCTCATAGTGGTGAAGCCTTCATATAAGAACCTCGAGGTATCCCCATCACCAATCCCTAGCCCTAGCCTCCAATTTCGGTGGTTCTCGTGAGACCATTCCCGAGGGCAGCTCAGCTCGACCTCGCTGACACGCTCGTTACCTTTTCCATCGGATCAGACCCCATCAATGGCGCTCCTCCAGAAGTTATCCGTGCACAGCACACGCCTCGCCGCGATCCTCGTCGTCGTCGTCGCTGCCGGCTTCGTCATCCATGCTCTAAGGACCCGGCGCAACCCTGGCGTACGGCGGGGCCTCCCGCTCCCACCGGGGCCCCGCGGCGAACCCATTCTGGGCCACCTTCGCGTTATCCCGACCGATAACCCGGAATACGCCTACGCAGCCTGGTCGAAAGAACACCGCTCCGACGTGCTGTATTTCAACGTCCTAGGCCAGCATGTCGTCGTCCTCAACTCGGTACGCGCCGCCGTCGACTTGCTCGACAGGCGCGGCGCAAACTACTGCGACCGCCCACGCTTTGTGTTATTCGAGGAGATGGGGTGGCGCAAGACGTTGACCTTTTTGCGATGGGGGCCCGAGTTCCGCATGCATCGCAGAATCCTGCAAAAGACCTTCTCCAAGACGAGTATCCAGGTGTACCGAGAACTGCAGGAGAGGGAGGCCTTGGTCCTGATGAAGGGCATCGTTAGAGACCCCAGAACCTGGGAGACGTCGTTGCGGAGGTTCGCGACGGCGATTGTGATGAGCATAGGATTCGGGGTCGATGTCGAGAGCGATACCGATCCGTACATCCAGATGGCCGCAGACGCTTCCTATGCCCTTGGCCACGGCGGGGCACCGGCCGGCACCCTTGTTGACTTTTTCCCCTTTGTGAGGTATCTTCCCGAGTGGCTGGTCCGGGACCGCTCCCTCAGATTCGCGAGGGAGTGGAGCTGGGCCATTCGACAGATACACGACGCGCCCTACGCGGCCGTCACGGCCAACCAGACCCAGGAGCACAGCCTCGTCCAGATCTTGCTCGACCAAAGAAAAGAGCAGATGAAGACGGGAGGAACCCCGGAGCTGTCGGTAGACGACATCAAGGGCGCTGCAGGGGCAGTCTACGCCGCGGGGCAGGATACGACGTGGTCCACCCTGGTCGCATTCGTCCTCAACATGGTTCTCCACCCCGAGGTACAGGACAAGGCCCAGAGGATACTGGACGAGGTCGTCGGGGACTCCAGGTTACCCACTTTTGAGGATCGGCCGAGGCTGCCTTACATCGACTACATCGTTCAAGAGACCCTCCGTTGGTGCCCCGTGTCCCCCATCGGCGTGCCGCATCGTTCGCTGGAGGACGATGTGTACGACGGCATGTTTATACCAAAGGGCTCCTTTGTGTACGCCAACGCCCGCGCAATGACGCACGACGAGCGGACGTACTCCAACCCCGAAGCCTTCGACCCGGACAGGTACGTCCCGGTCGAGCAAGGCGGTCGCGGCGAGCCGTTCCCCGTCGGACAGTTCGGCTTTGGTAGGAGGGTGTGCGTAGGACAGCACCTCGCTGAAGCAAGCGTCTGGATTGTGGTCGCTTCGATGCTGGCGACGGTCAAAGTGGACAGAGCTGTAGGGCCGAAAGGAGAAGAGATTATACCCCACGTGGAGTTGACGAATGGACTTACAAGTCACCCGAAGCGCTTTCCGTGCCGCATTAGCCCAAGGAACTCACATAGCGCAGAGATTGTTGTTTCTGCGTCCAGATAGATCTGCCCGACTTTAGCTTTCTTGGACGGAGCGAACTATACCATAATTCACAAGCCTGGCCAGATTTCAGTGCCGTATACGTGTCTTTATCGATGTTTTCGGCCCATAAGTGGACAGTCACATGATTAAATTGCTCTAATCACGCATTTGGCTTTGGCCATAACTGTGGATTGTCTTCCTCATTGACCGTATACCTCCCGTCTTCAACAACATGTTATGTACATATATAAAATAGTCACACACCTACCAGGCTCGAATGCTAGCCCTCTCGAGCGATTTACGACACGGCAAAGCGCGTCTATCGATGTTGCGCCAAGTCGCACTGACATTGTAGGGCGAAGGTTCCAGAAATATCAGAAACATTTATGCTCTCATAGGTCGAAAACTTCAGTCCATCATATCTATCTAGACCATGCCCCCGCTAGTTGGCTGCCAGCTTTCATCGTAAGTAGTTGATCGATGGTGTATGTAGTTGGTAGTTTCATCTCCAACGCCGCACCCCCAAGCACTGTATCCAGGGATGACCTCGAGTAAAATTGGTTCAACCAGGCCTAGTAGCTAGCCACAAGATAAATAAGGTCAGAGCGTTTGAGGCAAAGTAGGTTGCATCGTGGCCCGTTGAACTCTTCTGCGCCACCTGTGTGAGCCAAGTCAAGTCGGCAGCCTGGAGAAACAATGTTCAGGGTCTACTTCGCCAGCTCGGCCTCAATCGCAGCAAACATGAAAGATCCGCTACCACGGTGGTCATTCTCGACAATCGGGATGCTCGTATAGTACTAGGAAAACTCCATTAGCAAAGCACTATCTTCAAGGGCATCTCCACAGGGGGGGGGAATAACTGACCTCGAAACTCGCGTTCGAGTTCAAACTACCAACCTGCACCGTCCCCGTGAAGCTAAGCAGCCCATTCTTGTCCTTCCGGATAAAATCCCTCGTCAGCGCGTTGTACGCCTTGAGCCCGACATCCTTGTACCTGGCCTCAAGGAACCCATCCCGAACGCCCCGCAGCAGGCCGTACGTGAACATGGCCGCGGCGCTCGACTCGAGATAGTTGCCCCTGCGCGCCGCATACCCCTCGTTCATGATGAGCCACCACCCGCCCGTGGCATCCTGGCTCCGCGCCAGCCCGTCCGCCAGCGCGACAAAATACCCCAGTAACCTTGCGTACCCCGGCAGGCTCTCCGGGTACACCTGCAACGTCTCCACGAGCGCCATACAATACCACCCGACGGCGCGGCTCCACACGAGCGGGCTCGCCCCCGTGACGGGGTCCGCCCAGACAGCGTCCTTGGCCTCGTCGTACCCGTGCACCAGCAGGTTGCTCGTATGATTCCGCGTGTGCTCCTCGATCAAGTCAAACTGCAGCGCAATCTCCTCCCACGCCGTGGTATTCTCCCTTTCAAACAGCGACACGTACGTTGCGTAAAACGTGTCGGCCATGTAAATCCCATCCAGCCACATCTGGTCCTCGTAGATGGGCGCCCGGTGCCAGAACCCGCCGCGCGGCGTCCGCGGCCACCGGTTCAGCTGCTGCCTGAGCCGGTCCGCCGCGATCTTGTACTTTTTCTCGTTGGGGTTGCGCTGGTAGAACCACAGCAGGTTGTTCCCGATGCGGATGTCGTCGAGGGAGTACCACTCCGGGTCCCAGTCGTCCAGGACGCCCGTGTCCGAGACCAGCGACGAGACGGCCGTTTCGGCGGCGCGGAGGAGGGTGGCGTTGGAGGCTGCGGCAGCGGCGCGGGCGATTCCTTCATAGAGAACGGCCGGGCCGTAGCCCGCGTCGATGGGGGCTTTGCGGGCGACAAAGGAGGAGGCGAGCCAGGAGGAGTAGGGGCGGGAGGGGGCCTGGGCCAGGGCGAGGGTGCCCGCGAGAGCTAGGAGGGAAGCCGAGCTGCGCATAGTGAGTGCCAAGGAATGGAAAGATCATAAAAGAGTAGAAATGATGCCCGGAAATTGAGCAGTGAGCCTCCAAGGGAACAGGTCACACTTGATGGAGGCTTCGGAATGCCTTGCCTGACTGCTATGGACTTTGCTTGTCTATATACCTCCTCACACTGCCCCGGACGCCTCCTTGACCGTAGTTTTGAAACTTACAATCGCGCCATGGACAAATTCTAGAGACTTGCATCACGAATCCAGTCCTCTCCAATCTCCGGGGCCCCGATAAACACCCGGCAATACATGCACCAGACGCAATTGCGCCTCGACTATGTCAATTAAGCTCCCCTGCTGAATATTGAAAATCGCCCAAGGAACTCGTCCTAATGGAGGAAATTAACAAAACCTATCCGGTGGAACTGCTGAGGGGGGTTAGAGGGGAGCTCGGTGATGCATTGCATCATGCCTGCCAAGGCGGAAAAATAGAATGACGTTGCATCGGGGTGGCCTACGTCTCTACTTTGAGCAACGATGTGTGAAAGGGAAGACAGGCAAAATGCTTATGGAAAAAGCTGCGAAATAGAGTTAGGCTGATGGCAGAGTCAACATCTTTCCTCTGACGCGAAGTGGTTGAAGACGGGGAAAATCTCAGGTATTCACCTACGATGTCGTTCCAATAACCCGGATTGTAGCTGTAATCAACCCTCAGTCTGATCTTATTGTCCTGGCGGCCCTGAAGAACAGAAGAGTCGTATTCGAAAGTCAGGTTGTAGACCTTTGGCCTCTCGATGCTGCTGATCTGCTCCTCGGGCCCGGTGCCCCGACATGATGTGCCAGTCAAAAGATTTGAGGTTGGGGTCGTCGCTGCCGCTCCCGGACTTCCGACCTCCCATGGTCTGGTCGACCTCGACACCGAAGGACTGGGCTTCAGATTCCGTGATCTTGTCGGCGTCCGGGAATAGGTTCTCCAACGGAGCGGGAAAACTTTGGGCCTCACCTTGAAGGCGTCACGGTCGCAGTACAAACCCGGCCAGTCGATCTGCTTCTGCCGGTGCGTGTTGTGGATGGACTGGGAGCTGGGAACGGTCCACTCGCGGTTGCGACCGCCACCCTCGGCGTGCGTGCCGAACTCGACCTGATTCTGGTGGCATTCGGGGTTGCATCGGTCGTTCATGTCGTTTCACCATCGGCAGGACGACGTGTCGATATTGGTGTCGCAGCAGAGATACTCCCAGCGGTTCTTCTTGCACTTGCCCTTGCGGAACGTCGTGAACTTCTTCCCGGTGCCGCAAGATCGTCTCCTTCAGGTTCGACTTGAGGATTTCGCTCTGGTGGACCTCGATGCAGTTGCACTCGTCCCATTTGCAGAGTGGGGTGCCGCCGTCCTGAATCTTGCAGCAGTAGTCCGCGTCACCCTCGAAGCAGGCGTCGTTTCTCCCCTTTTCGTTGATGTAGTACTGTCTGGTGATGATACGCTCCTCTCCAACGTCGCAGGAATTCGTCGACTCGCAGATCAAGCCGCCGAAAAGTTTGGACCCGCTCTAGCGGTAGGTTTCTGGGTCTGGAGAGTTTGCTACAGTATAGCACAGTTTGATAATGGGATCCTTGGTCTTGGATTTCTCTCTCGGAGCCAAACGAACGATGGCGATTGTGTTCGTTCCGGTGAGACACTTATCTTCACAGGCTGAGAGGCTGGGAGTTGTGATGCTCCGCATTGCGACATATCATGAGCTGGACCAGTGCTTACCTGGCCAGAAACAACCTCCGTCAAGGCCAACCTTCTTCCAATCAGGCCCGTCGACGCTAACTCCGTTCCTCTGCTTAAATTTCCCGAGGCCTTCAGGCTGCACGATAGCGTTCAAAAGATCCTTGTTCAAATTGTCCTGATTGATGGCCCAGATGAAGAGTCTTCGGAGTCTTTGCGGCACCGCTGTTAACGCCACAAGAACGACGCAGCAAGAATTCTTTACGACTCATCCCAAGTCATTGGCAAATTCAACCCTTTCTCGAATGGTTTTCTCGTTGTCATATGATACCCACTGATCGTCACGATATCTAGGGAGACGTCGTCAGAAATACAAGTTCAAGGCAATTTCAGACGTGAACACTTACTGGAAGTACACGACCTTCTCCTTTTCGTCATGGACAGGAGTCAAGCTGTGCCTGTTGATAGCGTACTCAATGTCTTGGTACGCCATATACACGTACCCTCCAATTCCCTGTCGTCGTATGAGCCATCAGTTCATACCTTACACGCCAAGATACATGGGCACCTACCGAGCACTGTCACGCCTTTCCAGGGTCTTGGAAGGGACACTCTGGAGTATCGCAGTCTGGATCTCCCAGCTTGTAATTTCGGCTCCAAAATGCAAGGCACAAGTTGACCTTATGAGCTGGCACGCCGTTTCTTCAGAAGAGGTCGAGACCATGTTTTATCTTAGTGAGGTTGGTATAGTCGTAGACGTACGGCCTGATCCAGCCAGAGTCCTCGTCTCAACTTCCGTGGCTAGATTTCGAGAATGCTCAGTAGGCTGCTCCTCGAGTCGAAAGATGTCAAGTGCCCAGCCTGACTAAGGGGGCCCACCAAGCCCCTGCTGGTATAGAAAGGGAAAATGAGCACAGACTGTAGACTAGAAGGGCAGATTCGATCGTTTATTACCTTATATACCTAAGTACGTTAAAGGCTGGTCGTCTATACGTCTCTCACTTCTCACCGCGCCCCTAACACAATCGAATCTTAACCTTTCTAAAGGGACGAGAACCGTTAGGCTATAAAGGGCCAGCGGCGCATTGGCTCCTCAGCAGTACCCAAGTATCGGCCCGGATGTCGGCATTGAGCAACTTACCGCTGCAGAGCTGTTTAACTATAGAGCAGGGCAGCAGGGCAGTATGACTGATAGAGAGCTGATCAGATTTAGATAAGACAAGCAGAAGAAGTAAGAGCCGAAGAGGGCAGGGCTCGAGGCCTGCCCTCAGGTCACAAGTTCAAAAAGTCACATACCCAGAGGCTGGCAGCCAGGGGCCCACCAGCGGATTAGCGGCTGGAGCAGTAGGTTAACATTAAGCTCCAAGTAAATAGCGACTATAAGTGAAGGTGGGCACTCGTAGGCAGCACCAGGTGGGCAGCGTCGGGGGGGTTTGCGGGCACCGGTGTTCTTACAGGCACCGGACGCACGAGGCCAAGAGCGCCGAGTATAGTAGCTAGAGTACGAGGTGACCGCCGGTGGCCCGGCAGCTGGGCCCCGGGGTTATAGCGGCGGCATAACGTTTTGAGCCTTGGAGATAAGCAGGCCTTATTGATAACCTTCTTTTTTAATATTAAAAGGAGGTTAATGATATGAAAATCAAGGGCATAAAGTTAATAGCGAGGCGTAAGGGCTACGTTAAAAGGTCGCTAGAGGGGAAGAGGCGGCGGTTCAGCGGCCTTACAAACGGCACTACTCTCTTTAATAAACGCTATAGGTTTAATAAGGGTGTCGGGGGCTCGGGCGTTACAAAAGTGGTCAAGCAGTAGCTAAGCCTTTTATATTAGCAGAGGCCCTGGTGGGCCCCCTTAGTCAGGCTAGGCACTTGATACGTTCCCCCTTTATATAGGCCTTGCCCTTAAGGCTCCGTTCGATATGAAGCTATTCGTAAGTGCTTTTAAACTAGTGGCCCTCTTTTAATTATCGATTTAACCACTGCTTAACTACCGCTACTCCTTTAACGGCCCTCCGTCGTACCCCTAGCGCTACGCTATTAACCCCTTTTTAATACTTAAAAAGGTTTTTATTAAAGCCTACTTTTTTTGAGGTTGTTAATAGTTTCTGCTGTTATAAGGCTACCTCGACTACTTATTAATAACTCCGCTGCGCCTCGCTACGAATTAGCAGTCTCGTGGCCCTTAGTAGCTATTATCCCCTCTATTAAAAGCCTTGTCCTCCAGGCTTAGGCTCGGCACGTCATATCGCCGCTGTACTCCCAGTGACACAGTCACCCTGGCAGCGAGCGTCCCTATCAGAGGGGGTAAAACTGTGGGCTAACCGGGTAGTTACACAGGTTAGGCGTATTAATCGCAAAGAGTAACGCGATTAAAGAGCAATATAAAAGAGTAGTACGGAAGAGCAAAGCGAAAAGTAAGATAGGCATTATGAAGTATGGATTTTTTATTATTATCCTTCATAAGAGAGGGACACGGCGACCCCGTTTCAATATACGGAATCGCGTCAAACATATGACTATACTATGAGGCAACTATAGGGAAATGTCACACCCAGTGCCCAGCCACCGGGCTATCGGGGGTCTATTTATACTCTGGCTATTACACCCGGCGCTCTTAACTTTATACGTCCAGTTTTTATAAGGCCTTTAATATTTATAAAGCCCTTAGTATTTATAAGCCTTTTGATACTTATTAGCCTCTACCGGCGCTACTTGTTTCATATTATTGTCGAAGCGCCACATGTGGCGCAGCCCAGTATATTGCCAGCGGACACCGCTTACCACGGAACGACCGCTCCGTGGGTTCGCTCCGTACGGCACATAGATCCGTGATCCCGTTTAATGGTTTTACTTAGCTTAATTAAGCTACGGTACTTGTCATTATATATGCCTTCCGCTCGATACCTGGCTTTGTGATAATTATTTGTTATTTATATTAATCATTTAGAGCTAATGGTTTCTCAGTGCTCCCACCGCTGGCCCACTGGTGCCCCTTGGCTCCCGGTAACCGTCGTCTTATGACCGTAGGGCAGAGTTCGAAGTCTGCCCTCTTCTAGTTTGAAACCTGTGCCCCCTTTCCCCTTCTACACCAGCAGGAGCCCTTGTGGGCCCCTTCAGTCAGGCTGGGCACCTGAAATTGAATCAGTATACGCCTCGCAGTCAGCTTTGGAGTCACAATCAAAACTATAATCAGGGCCGCAGTGGTCTTCCTCATAGCCACCCTAGGATATCGTTAGTGAGAGCCCGCGGAGCGTTGGCAGTTATCGGCTTCTCGCATTCGAGTCCGACTGAACCCCCTATAAATGTTTATTAGGTCGCATGGTCACAAGAGCTCCTTAACCCAGTCGCTGCCTGGCCTTGGCTTCGGCCCAGAGTGGAGCCTTCAAGGACTCCCGAATGTCAAGTTCGATGACCCTTGTCAATGATCAGCCCTAACATTCTCGGTCAATATGACAAGATTGATTGATAAGATTGTCTCGTAATTATTAACAAGAACTTAGGATTTAGAAAGGAAGCTACTCGGCGTTTCCAGTGCCCAGAACTAGTTGAGGTTTGGAAAAAGGATGACTTCTCCCGCGTTACCCTGTCCGCGCAGTTGACAAAATAGTTTGCCTATTCCCGCGCCGTGATCGCCACAATTCGACGCGAACTGTGCCGAGTGATTATACTTTCATAGGTATGCACGTTCTTATGAACCATTCGACAATTGTTCATCTGTTTTTACTTCCGAGCCAAATAATCAAGCCATTTCGCGAAGTCCACATGCCCATTATTCCGCGCAAATCCCGCTGCGTTCAACCCTGTTATGTACTCCAACACATCAGTTCGGGCTCCGTGCTGGAGCAGAACCTCAGCAAGCCCTCGGTCCCCATTGAAAGCTGCGACCTGTAGACCGGACATGCGAGGCGTTCGTTTCCTACCCGGCAAGTCATCTTGCCATGCATTGAAGTTGAAAGGGGCGTTGACATCCACGCCTTCAATGCACTCAAGGGCGAGTCTCATGATGTCCGTCCGCAAATTCCCATCCACGGTCGATGAACCGGCGATGCTACCCACCAAGCCCCCAGACTCCCATTCGTACAAGTCACGGCCCGACGGCCTGACTTTGTCTCCGTGGAACACTGTGAGGAAGTCGAGAGCTTGGTCGAGAGATCTGCAACTCGCCAGATAACCACCGAGCGATGCCACGTCACAGTAGAGTCCCCTAGAGGCCAACGCGAGGTGGAATTCCCTCAGCTTCTGGCTCCCAAACGCGACGCTGTCGTCTCTTTCCAGACCGGGATCTTGGCTGCGTATCCCATGATGCAGGAACCGCTGCGTTTCTGAGTTCACGGGATCATGCACCCAGCCAAAGTTGAGGATATCAGTCCACATACTTATCTCATCTGCCGAGTTTCTCTGTTGTTTCGGTGAATGCTGGTGGATTACAGCCCAGTAGGCGGTTCGCGGTTGAAGCAGCATCTCATTCAGAAGGTCAAAGGTAGACCTGTCGGGAGGCCCCGGCAACATACCAATAAGGTGTCTAAACAAAATCGTGTCTCGCCTTGCGTAGCAGATGACCAACAGAAGGTCGGCAATCTCCGGTAGCAACGATGAGGGGTCTGTCTGGTCCTCTCGGCCGAGCCGGTCGAACTCGTCTGGATCGTTTGTGGTCCATGATCTGGAAGCAAGACGTTTTGCCACGGAGTAGTCTTGGCGTGGCAAATTTGAAGTCAGCTGGGATGGGGGGAAATGACACGTGGGAAACTCACCGTGTTCTTCCAGGGGGACGAAAGCCGGATCGAGATGCCGTGCTTTGACAGCCCCCGCGAAGAGGTCCAGCTCTAGGAAGTCGCTGACGTCTTCTGGCGGTACATCCCACTTGTGCTTTGTCGCTCCTTTCCTCAAGTGAGACAGCACACCATCCAAGTAATCGCTCAGCGTGAGATACCCTGCAGCATACTGTGTGGCAAGCCGAACGAAGCAGGTTTCCGTAGCGTCGGCAAACTCATTCCTTATTTCGTTGTTCCAATCTCGGGAAGAGCGTAAAGAAACTCTCGGCCCTGGTTCTTTGGGATTCCAAGAAATTTCCATGCTGCGCGTCGATGATTCGTTGGAACGCGAAAATTAGCATTTACAGACTCGCTCTCGGCCCGGAATTAAGCTTAAATACTAGGTCTGTCTGGGGAATATCGTGGACTGAAAAGAAATGTGGCCCGATAATGGATAGGACTCGCCTGAGCGCTTACCCCTAACCTACGATTGGTTTGCTTCGCATAGGAAGCGGGGCGCGCCCCGATTCGTGGGAGACATGCATCCGTTCGCCTTTCTGCCATCTTTGCGTTTCTCAATGATCGGATCGAGCGACGGCGATGTCCCGGCTACATTACCAAAACCGGCCGGAATCTCCGTCCGCGTCTTTTTGAGGTTTGGTGGCGGACGGCCCTCCGGGGCCGGAAGTGGGGCAGCGGGCCGCGAAGGATCGGACCCCATCCTGCTTGGCACGGTCCGTCGTCGCCCAGTCATGGGACGTCGAGCCGCCATCCACTGCAGATCCGAATACACCGTCGGACTGCACTTGGTGGCATGGTGCTGAGACTTCCGAGACTTGTGAGTTAATCGCACATTCGTACGGTATTGAAGTCTCTGACTTCACCTCATACGTTAGTGCCAGCTGCATAGCTCCTTTTGCGAAACGTTCAAACTAACAAGACACAAACCCTCTGTTACTATGGCCTACGAGCTTACTACCGGAAGCTCCTATTGCCTTAAGAGAAACCAAGGGGCTCCTCTCGAAATACCTGTTACTATCACCACTCAGTATCGCCTCGACGCCGACCGGCGATCCCGACAATAAGGTCGTGACGACAACTGCGATCCAGGACGGCATGACCAAGAACTGCAATAGGTTCCATTTCGTCAATTCCGGAGACGGATGTGTAAATAATTCTAGCAACAATAGCATTGCTCTTGCAGACCTCTACAGTTGGAATCCAGCAGTCGGAAGCAGATGCGGCGGTCTCTGGGCTTATGTGTATGTTTACGTCGGTATTGTAGGTGGTGGAACCGTCACGACACAGCCACCGGCAACGACGAATGCTCCCGGTAACGGTATTTCTACCCCGTCTCCCTTGCAAAAGGGTATGACGACCAGCTGCGACAAATTCTACTTTATAAACTCAGGAGACGACTGTGCCACCATCGCCAGCAGTAACAGCATCGCGCTGTCCGACTTCTCCTCGTGGAACACGGCTGTCGGGGATACCTGCAGAGGACTATGGGCCAACATGTACGTCTGCGTCGCCGTGATTGGCGGCAGCGGTCCTACCACTACGATCTCACCAGCATCAACCATGACGGCTGGCAACGGTATAGCTACCCATTCGCCAATACAAGATGCCATGGTTGACAACTGCAACCGCTTCCACATGGTCAAAACTGGAGACGGCTGTGCATATGATGCTTCCAACAAAGGTATCCTGCTGTCGGACTTCTATAGGTGGAATCCCGCCGTGGGTGACACTTGCGCTGGCCTCTGGGCCAACGTCTACGTCTGCGTTCGCGTGATCAGATACACGGCCCCTGTCACCACCACCACGACGGCTCCGCCAACAACGATCATGGCGCCGGGCAACGGCATCAGCACACCCACGCCGATTCAATAAGACATAGTGCATGGTCGGCAACTTTAACGAATTCTACAAGGTTAAGAGCGGAGATGGTCGCGCAGCGATTACGTCCAGCAACGGTATCGCCCTCGCCAAACTGTACAAGTGGAACTGGAACCCGGCTGTTATCAACACGTGCGCCAGCTTGTGGCTGGATACGTATATCCGCATCGGTGTCATCGGTTGGCACCTACGCCTACTATGGCAACGAATACTCTGGCAACGAATACTCTGGCAACGACCACCAGAGCTGGCAACGGTGTCGTGACGCCCACATTTATCCAGGAAGGCGTGACCAAAAGCTGCAAGACCTTCCATCTGGTCGTCGGTGGTGACACGTGCTACGGCATTGCAGCCAAGTCGGGTATCACCTTGAAAAACTTCTACGCCTGAGACCCAGCGGTCGGAAGCAATTGTGAAAGTCTTTGGGGCCAGTACTATGTCTGTATTGGCGTATTCCGGTAGCCTGTCGTCCGGAGGGACAGCAATATGTAAGCTGGTGTAGCTACTGCTTTTCTTCTCTGCAGAAACCGGCCTCGTGCGGCTTGATAAGTAGTGCCTGTCATGGAATAAAAGGTGAAGCCTCATGGATCGGACGAAGCTCCAGAGGAAGAGAGTGAGCAAGCATGCGGCTGGTGCCACTGAGTAGTGTACCAGAAGCTGAGGTCCGTGTTGGAGACAAGTGATGTACACATACAGATCAGAAGCTGTGGTTCGGGGATCTAGGGCATTTTTAAGGGCGGAGCATAAGTTATAACCCCTGCGCCGGGAACGGAGTAGCAGGAATCGCCATTCAGGAGCTTAGCAAATATATCTGTTCTTGGGGATCGCGACGCAAGAGCCAGAGACCAGAGCCGGGGTACAGACGAGCAAGGAGATGAATTGTCTGCATGAATATATTTCGATATGTTTCTATGAGCGGATCATAATACATCTGTAGCCCAGGTGCCAGAAATCAGAAAGTTTCCAACTGCAGAATGATGTTTGTATGAAAGTTATTTATGGCCATGATTCGATGCTCAATACGTTGCGGCCCCATGAGGAAGCCTCCGTCATATGACTAACCTCTTCTAGCTTGATTCCCAAGACTCAACGATCTCTCGATCCATCTTACACAGAAATACCCCGTCCGGTGGATATATCTGGGGCCGGATTACACCCTTTAGCGGATCGGCTCGGCGCCGGCGAGCGATGGTAAGGAACAACCTGGACAGCGTGAGACGCCGCCAGACTAAACCCGCCCAGATCCACCCGAATCTCGTTCGTTCTCCATGCTTCATTCATATCTGTCAACCACTTCGGAGTCCAAATCCATCTTACTTGACTCCATGCAGCCCAGCTTTGCCCAACCACATGTCGGTCGAACTTACCGCAGGTCGAGAGACTTGCGTTAAAAGAGAACAGGCAACTACCTATCCTGGGATTGGAGGAGCCAGATGACTATGAGAAAGACCCGGCATCAAATCCGATGGCCAATACCCGATATAGAGATTTATGGGTGTGAAGCCAGGACCCCTTTGGAGAATGTTGAGCTTCAGAAGACATTGGTTGGCAATTATAAGAGAGGAAGCTAACAGCATTCCCATGCAGGAGAGCCGCAAGCACGACTACTACGAAAAGAAAGGCACACCTGTGGCGACAGATGGCAGCGGCACATTCAGCATGGAAATAGACGTGGAGAATGAACTCGCTTAATTTGCTGAGAAGCAACTTCCTAGCTTGCAGCAGACCGCACTTTGTACGGCCAGTAAACAGACTGGCAAGAGCGAAAGACATCGTGAATGACGAAGTGGAATTCCAGCTCAATGCTACTGGCTCAACTGCCCACCGGCTTACTCCATGTACAAGTATTCCCGGATGTGGAGGCGCCGACAGTACAGGGATCGTCCCAGATGCTGACCCGCCGCCAGACAATGATGCTGTTTTAGATCGAGAAGAGGGCAGAGTTCAACCGAGGGACGCTTATACTGTGCTGTGCGATATAGGGTGGGAAGAGATTAGATGGCAAGAGCAGTCGACATCTGAACCCTGCCAAGGGAAATCGAATGGAAACCGATATCGTTCAAGAAGCTCCCTGCGGTCCGCGACGAGAACACAGAGTGCTGCTCGGGAGGGAGGGCAGGGAGGAAGACCTCCCGACTCCTCGACCTCATGGATCGGCCGTGGGCATATCGCTGGAATTTAAGAGAAGGATAAGCAGACAGCCTGCTTAACAAGAAAAAAGTCCCTTGATTTCTTCGGCTTGCGCCGGGTCCCCGCGTTGGGTCCCAATATGTTTATCCAAGGTGTATGCTGTATTTGAAAAGAATATGCATGCCGCTCCCTGAAGCGCCTCCGCCTGGCCAGATACCGTTGTACTCGTAGCTCATATCCCACCGGCCTTAGCCACTCTCTGAACTCCCTCTTTAAGTATGTGCGTGCCTATTTTTTTCTTCTTCTTCTCCATTTCTCGAGAAGATGACATCGTTGGCTGAGGCCGCTAGGTATCTAGCCTCGTCCGCCGTTGTAGTCAGCGCCGCCAGCCTTGCGCAACCGCTTGACAATGTCGTCTTCGTCCAAGTCGCCCTTGTCGCTCGCATTGACCGTTATGCTGTGGTGCGGCAGCACCCTCTTGACCTCGCTGCTCTCGATACTAACGCGGGCTTTGCGCATGATCTTTGTGTTCTCGCCGATCCAGATGACAAAGGCAAACTTGACACGCTTGCTCTCGACGTCGTTGGCGTATTCGACGCGGACGTAGGCGTACTGGACCTGTGAGTTGTCCAGCTCCGAGGCCAGCTCGGACAGGCCGCCGGTGCCCGTCTTAGTGAGGCTCATCTTGTTGCCGACGGCGCTAGCGTAAGAGATGAGGAGCCAGCTCGTCTCGTCCTTGTCGGAGCGGACGGCTTCGTAGGCTGCGGCGATTTCGGGGGCGTCAAGGCCGGACATTTTGAGAGGGCGGAGGATCAGGATCGGGAGGGCTAGGCGGGAAGCGGCAGCGGAGGAGCAGGAGGAGGAGGAGGGGTCGCTTTTGTGGAGACTCGAAGTCGGGTGTGAGCGGAAAGTTTGGAGACAAAGAGAAAGTCAAGATAGGACGAGAGGGAACAGAGATGTTCGCTTCTCGAGCTCCTGCAGGTGTTTGGCCGGTAAGGCAGAGGGAGGGGTGGTGGTTGACTGAGTCCTTGGACAAGTGCTTCGAGGAGAGGGCAGCGGATTGGCGGTGACGGGACTGGACGTTTGGCAAAAGACGAAACGGCGTTCAGAAAGGCCAAGGTTGCATTCTCCCCCCATTTGTCTGGTTCCAGGTCCCGCCCGCCCTTCTTTCTTCTAACCCCACCATCCGAGGGCGAATCAAGCTGGAGGGGGAGGGGCAGATTAACTATTGCCGGCCATTAGTCTTCAGGCACGGGCCATGGCCGGCCACACCCGAAGTGCCTCCGACCAGCCCACGCCGCCTTCTAGAAGCTGAGTCATCATCCCCTTCTCGTCACCGAGATCCCCCGCCCACCGAATCCGATGAAGAGTCTCGGTGTGTTTCGGTGTGAGCGCCCCCCCGTTACCCACCGTTTTGGATTTCCCCTCATGCCACCTCGATACACTGGCTTGAAGCTTAGCGTCTCTTGAAACATTCACACAGAGGCCTCGCTCGAATGCATCTCATCCATCAGATGGACCAGCAGTTCTCTGCATAGGTATTCGGACGATGCCTACGTGCGCCATCGAGGCAGAATTTCCTCAACCACAACATCGTCACAGTTGGTGACTAAGCTTCTACTTCTTTTCTTAGACCTCGCACACCGAACGCCGTGGACCCCTAATACTCCTGATAACCCTGACCCCTGCGCCAAGTCGACCCTGCGGTAGATCGTGCGACGAAACAGCCCCTCACGCAAAACGTCCATCACGGACCTGACAGGCTCGTTAGCATCACAGTGGCACAACGCTGAAGGGTTGCTAGACGTCGCACGCATGATAGACCTTGAGACCATAGGCGCCCAATCCAAGCGCGAATAGGCGGCCGGTCCCCCGGTCTGATCGGGGCAGGCATTGGCGCGTCTCAAGAAGTTCAACGTCCCCCGCTCGGTCCTCGACACACACCTTGGCCTTTTGGGGGAACCCGGTCCAAAGTCAAAGGTTCTGCGACACAAGAGCAAACCGCATGACATCAAATACCACACCAGATAACCCTCCTCCGACCACCCGCGAGCAGGAGCTGGAACCAGGGGCCCTCGCAACTTGTTTGGTGTTTCTTGGCTCCATAATTGTCGGATCGGCCGGCGGGATATATCCCACGTCAACGTCGCCCTTTAACATCATTGTCCAGAAACAGACGCCGCGACCACTGCTGGCACTTTACCCAGCTTATCATCTGATTGAAGTCGCCCACAATGTCCAATGAGTTGGCCAACCAGGCGGGCTGGGAATCCAACCCGCTGTCCTTCCTTTACCGCCAGGCAGTCATCACACCAGCCGAGATCCCAGAGGAGTTCGACCTATCCGAATGCACTCTCATCATGACGGGTGCCAGCAGCGGCCTCGGCCTCGAAGCCAGCCGCCAATTCCTCGAGCGCTCGCTCGGCCGCCTCATCATGGGCGTCCGCAACACATCAAAGGGGGAGGCCCTCGCAGAAGGTTTACGGCGGGAGTTCCCTCTGGCGCAGATCCAAGTGTGGCACCTGGAAATGGAGTCGTACGAGAGCGTTCGGGGCTTTGTCGCGCGGTGCAAGAAGGAATTGGCGCGGATCGACATCGTCATTCTCAACGCTGCGGTGGTCGCGCAGAACTTTACACTGTCGCGGGAGGGCCACGAGCTGATGCTCCAGGTCAACTACCTGTCCACCACCTTACTAGCCCTCCTCCTCCTCCCGGTCATGAAGCAGAAGAAGCCGGCGGGGGACCAGGCGAGGTTGGTCATCGTCAGCTCGGATTTCACGTACTGGCACACCCCAGAGGAGGACATGGTGACGGGTTCCATGTTCAAGCCCGCCGACAAGGAACACCTGTGGGAGTCTGGGAAGAACTACCAGCAGTCCAAGTTTTTGGGTCAGCTGTTCGTGGCTAAGCTGGCGACCTATGTCAATCCGAACCAGATCATTATCAACCTCGCCAACTCGGGCCTCACCAGCGGCACCAACATTGTCAAACCAGCAAGCGAGTCATTCTTCATGGGGCTGATGAAGAAGACTATTGGTCGAAGCGTGCAAGTCGGCGCAAGAAGCTATCTTGACGCGGCTATCGTCAAGGGCAGAGAGAGTCATGGGAGCTTCACCTCGGATGGGCTCATAAAGCCGTAAGTTAAATTCCAATTTGCTGGGTCCTCTCTTGAAGTTGGGGATTGAGACATTGTGGAACTAACAGTATACAGATGGCCAGCCGTGATGTATACTTCAGAGGGGAATGGACTAAAGGAGAGGATATGGGCAGAGACGAAAAAGGAGCCTGGCTTTGCCGAGGCCTTTGCAGAGGTTGAAAAGGGTCTCTAAATAGGGTTATGACATGTCCAGGACGTCGCGCCTAGAATGAGAGAAATTAAGTGTACGAATGACAATGGGGGCAATTTCATATTTGTTGAAGTTCATGAGGGCGTTGAAAGGTTGGAACCGGTGTGTGTAAGCACGGCGTTATCGTTATCGAGCGCAGTTAGCTTAAGGGGTAAAGTAGGATATGTTAAAGTAGTATGGTCCACCATTAGTTAGGCGATGCGGGAGAGTAGACCCAACTGAGCATTGAAGAAACCAGAACATTTAGCTACACTTTCTTTGCTATTGCTTTCTAGTAGTTCGTCCAGGCGTCAGAGGACATCTCGTTGCGAGCAACTAATTCCAAGTCTATTTCGACACCATCCGCTCGTGAGAACATGTCTGCTAACCTTAAAATGAATATTAGAACTTCTCTTCGAGAATCGCCTACCACGGGGAAGTTAGGAGAACCTTTGTGAAAATAGTAAGAAGGGATCAGTTATCAACCGATATAAATTCCCCTCGATTCGGACAGTAGTCTGCCCCGTCTACATCTCATTGCCCCGTCAGGACATGGCACAGCGTAATATAGATCATATCAGAGGACGGCAGCAATGAAGAAGACTATGACCCTCTCAGAGGCGTCAGATTTATCAGCGAGCCATGCACTGACTGGAAGGTTGAAGATGACAGCGAGATGGGGGAAATCTTACATCGCGCCCTGAAAACCATGAACATCTCGTTCGGCGCCGACGAAATTGCCTGGTCGAACAAGGATGACGGCATGTCAAATCCTCAGTTGTCTTACATTGCAGCAAGTTGCCTCATGGGTTATGTCGAGACTTGTGTCAAATTAACACACAAGTTCAGTCTGGTAACGAGCCATCCGCCGAGGAGATCTATTCGTATTTTGGGATGGTCATTGGGGTCTCTTTCAAGAAGATGAATGCAGACGACAATGACCGAGCCTAGAATCGGGCCCGTAATGAAAATTGACGTTGTGCTGAGAAGCGTCGATCAGGAAACCGACGGTGACAAGTTTAAAGTATCAAGACTTCGTGCAAGTTGTCCACGTCAAATTGGAGGCAACTTGTTATCAAGGTATTGGCATACACTATCTTCTAGCCGCATCTCTGTAGCTCAGATATAGCTAGGCAGTTGACCTGATGCCCTTAGGTCGCGCGATCTATGAAGCAGGCAGATCGCGGTTAAGCAACCATCAGTCGCAAGTATTATAGCAGAGTAGTACAAAGCAAGTTCTAATTCCATGACCCGCAAGCGTTTTGTATGGATCAGAAAACCGTGGATGGTATTCTTCTCATGGGACTGAGTCTGATGACATGGACTTGTCTTTCCCCAATCACGATCATATGACCCTGAAGATAAATTACAAATCAAAATCATAGATGGCCAATAATATCTAACAACAACTAATGACTTGTCAATACCATGTCTCGCCGACAGACGATGAATTATTGCGTCTTCTTCTGCACATACCCAAGGTGACAGCTGTTGATTGACTTTTCATCACTCTGGAATTTGTGAACCTGGCCGTCAGTATTTTTGAATCAGTATCTGCGCGTTGGGCAGCATCTCGGAGAAGCGGGAGTTGTGGTCTGCTGTCCACGAAGGCAGACATGATTTCGACCTTGGCGAACATCGGATCCTTCGACACTCAGGATAGGTTCATGTTACCATCGACTTTCTTGATAGCAAGTTCCCAAAAAGCGGTAAATCCTTGATGGTTGACGCTTTTATACCCTAGGTATGAAAACGAGTTGCGTGGGCTGGCCGATTCCAACGGCCGGGATCAAACCTAATGCGGGGAGACGGACCAACATTCTCCCGGCGTGAGCGACATTAGGCACCGGCGAAGTTGTCCCATAGCTCTTCCCCTTGAGTGTTCCCCTCCACAACGAACATGAGTCCCCGTATATGCTCGTGCACTCTTTGTGGGTGGGTCGTTGTCGATGCACCGGGCAATATCTCATGGTTGAATCAGTTTCGGGGTCGTGAGTGCACTGGCTGTTTTTGGCAGACTGCAGGCTGAATTTACTTTAGTCTCTTCCAGCTCAAGAGGCGTTATCCTCACGGGCGTTGGCTTATACGATGATCCGGGAAGTGGCGCATTTATCGCCCCAGTCGACCCCAACCGTCGATGGGACGACTCGAACTACGATAGTCCAGAGGAGGATCAATTTGGCGCCATGGGCTATATGGAAGTCAACGGAAGACACGGTTTTATTTTCCACGAAGCCTGCTGGGATCTCCTAGAGATCGCCTTCCGTCCGGGCCTGGTGCCACTGTTGAGACTATTCGACGTCTGCGACTCACTCCCATTTCCGCTCAATGGTGTGAGTATCAGCTGGGGCCACGACTATGGGGGGCCGGTTTTCGTTGATGATGACCACCATTTTCCGTGGGAGGACCGATTTTCCGACCGAGAGTACATGGAGCCCGATCCTGTTTTCAGCACAAATCCGTACGAGGTCCAAGAGGTGCAACATGTGCTCACTGAAGCCCCCGAATCACCGCCAAGTCCAATACGTCCTTTTTCCAACGCAACAACCCCAGGGCTTGACCGCTTTCATGCACTTCCTGAAGAGCTCCGGTCAGTGATCGCCATTCATTTACCGACAGTGGATGTGTTGAACCTTCGCCTAGCCTCACGTCCATTCTGGACGATATTCAACAGCCAACAATTCTGGGCCTCAAGATTCAAAGACAGTTCAGACCGCTCATGGCTTTTTGAATCCCAGGACAGTCCGCAGCCTCGGGATTGGAGATGGTTGTATCGACGAACGAACAACGCGCACATAGGTCCTGGCTTCCAGAACAGAGTTCGTGTGTGGAACCTGGCTCAGAAGCTCGTGGCGGCTCTGGATTTCCGCTGGATCGTGAACGATTTAAACCCTTCTCCAGAGAAGGTCTCTGCTCAGTGCATCGAGGTGTCTGGCGAGCTGTGGGAGCACCCGGTCGGGGCAGGGCACGCCCTCTTCAACAAGGGCTGTCTTCTTCAAAAAACCTACCGCCTCGCCATCCCTGAAAGCATATTGCGGCTTTCTGTCTGGTCCATCCCAATAGGAGACATGAAGTATGTCGCTGGACTGAAGTTCACCACTGCTACGGGCGATGTTCATCAAATCGGGTACCGAACTCCAGCCGAACAGTCTGTGGAAATTTCAGACATACGCGGCTTCAAGTTAGCTGTGGGGGAGAGGGGAATCCAAGCTTTGCAATGCATCAGCGAAAGATCCGGAACATCTCACTGGGTTGGCAGTCCGGAGGCGTCGCCCAAGACGCTGCGTCTGGATGTAGGTGAACGTCTTCGCGAACTTGATTTTGGGTTCGATGTAGGTGGAAATGAAACTCTCAAGTCACTTTCCATGCGTGCTGACTTGACAGGGCTGTAAAATAGTCAGTCTAGCTGTTTCCTCCCAGGTGGGGTCGCCTGCGAAACTAGCAGATGACGAGGACAGGTTGAGAAAAGCAGGGATATGGTACCCTGCTATACCGGGACCAAACCTCTGCTTGAACGAGGCTTCATTCCCCCCGAGGGAGCATTATTTAAACGGATACAAACCACTATTTTGGACTTCTTTCGGCGGTCCAGGTGGCATTTACCTTCGAAACCTCACCAATCTCAGTGTCATCTGGGGCGCCTGCGGCATACGTCGCGTCGACTTTGCATACGACATTACAGTACCACCTGAGCATCGAGCGTTTGGTTGCGAGATGTCTGGAGAGTGGACCAAAGAAATCAACTTCGCGATTGACGGCGCGGGAGGCGAATTCATCGATGCTATCGAAGTTTTCCAGCATCAGTATCAACCCAAAGAAGGTTACACTTGGATGGTCGAGGAGGGAGTTATAGTGGCATTCAAGGTGAGTAGCTCATATCCGCCTACCTGTTGATCCCGGACAAAGTAGCGCTGACCAAATTACGTTGAGGTGTCCACGAATCGAGGGAGATCTTGTTTCTTCTCTTTCCTTTCCGATCCGCCGAGCAGTATCCCTTTCAGAGTGACCACAGCTCCTGGACAGGCTATCACTGGGTTCTACGGAAGCCAGGTAAGAACATGTCTATACTAGGTATGCGGATCATCGCGTAGCGTACCGTTACTGATCAGCAAATCGCGTTAGCGTCCCCACGACGGCAGTGGCATTTCAGCATTGGGTATCATCTCCGAAGTGATCAAGGGGGAATGAGAATTGGGAACGACGCCATCATCATTATGGATGTTGTTATCCATTTGCCGCATTTTGAGAAAGACCGGCATCGAGGCAGGCTTAGCAAGGTGTAGGAAGGCAGCCATGTCTGTACATCGAAACTAATTTTGATAGCCGTGCAGGCCAAAAGAGTCGTACAAATTAGCTTCACAGAGTCTTTTATGCTTTACAACGAGTTTAATTATCAAGGTGAAAGTATATTTATCTATCATTCAATTAGTTATACCCACTTACGCTGCAAGGCGTGAAACTTTACACCTTCCATAGCCCGCGAGCCTCGTTCCGGGTACTGCACCCCTCTAGGGCTGCATTAGCTTCAAATTCCATCGGTGCTTCGTTTTGGTTTTTGACTGAGTCGGAGTCACTGCATGATATCAACACAGTGAGACAAATGCACAGCGGTCACTGCGTAAAATACGGTGACCGCGAAACAACATTCACCTACTCGACGCAGACTGTACAGGGCTCTGCACTGCATTCATAACTGTCCCAACGAAACTGGGGATTTGGCGCAACCTGTCGGAGATTCTCAGATCTTCAAGATCTACAAGGATCAAATTCCTAAGGTTGTAATATAAAGCCGAGCACACCCCCAAGCTCCCCATATGGTAGATTCAGTTGCTGGATATCGCCTGTATATTCCAGCCATGCCCGAAGATGCGGCTGGCATCCCTCTACATCTTGGAGGCATTCGACGCGCCTGCTGATGAACAGCTTGAAATTCAGACTACCAGATGTTCTTGAAAGAGGTAGCTTCGATAGCCACTAAGTCAGTCCACCAGCTCCACCAGCTCGCGGTCATTTCGTTCAAGTAAATTGGATCTTTCTTAATGACCCTCCCTCTATTTTTGCTATACCTTGTCATTCTTACAGCCTTCATAGCCTCAGGACTTTCGCTCGATGGTTGCTCCTGCTTTGTGGCTTTGGCAATTGCTCAGTTGTGCTGCGTCACCCACCATCAAAAGGTGGGCTTTGATGTGATGATTCATGCTGTGTGAATAATCTAGGTACTGTGTCAAATCTCTGAACCAACGACTTGTAGTTTGAAAATGTGGAATTATTACTAATCCAATTGAGCGTGTTTGTGAAATAAGTCATCTTCGCCACCGACTTGTACTTTGCAATTCTCAGAATGGCGGAGGACATTGTTGTGTTGAAAGGGGTCTTTGATGAAAGATTTATGACACCTTGGGCAGAAGAAGACAAAGTACTGGTCTTTGGCCAGTCGGTGGGCAAAGATTAAGGCTGTTCGATCACTCTTCGTGATGTTTGTATTGGTGATGGCCTCGTGGACATGGCTGTAGCTTTGGGCGTGGCAACTTTGGGCGCGATAGCAATTTTTATTCGATTCTTGGTTTTTGAATCCGAGGTCTTTGGGGTCGCCTTGTTTGCAACAAAATTAGCGCTGGAATCAGAAGAATGCATACGACAGCAGTACGTCACAGTGAGTTTCGTGATGTGGACGAACCTTCTCCGGCGAGCACCTCTTCACCATCATATTTTCTCCAAAATCGGGTATGATTTCCAGAGGAGGAAGACTTTGACGGGCTCTTTTCCTCGGTGAACCACGTGATGATCTACTTGGGATTGATTCATCCGCTTGGAATTCAACATTGACGAGAAGTTGAATAGTAGAAAACTATGGCAGTGTTAACTAAGATTCCCACGATGTTCAACTTCAAGGTGCGAGGTGTGGTGTATTACATGTCCAGCATGGGGTGCCGCCTATATGGGGCATAGACAGTCAGCCTTAATGATGGACGCGACAAGAGAGGACCCCCCAGCCTGGCTGTGTCCATATCTCAGTTGCCTAATATGACAACGGAAATAGGCTCGAATCTGGTCAGGGACTCTCAGTGGAATCAACCCTGTCCGTTTTTCTTTTTCTAACTAGTGCTGGTCTGCGCTCGTGCCGCTAAGTACCGTTACATCGGACAAGGAGGTTGGCCCCGTACCCCCTGTTTGTGTGATAGCTAGGCTGGCCCTCTCGCCTGCCCGTAACAAACCGAACCAACGGGCGGGCTCTCGAAACTGTCCACCTCAGGTAGCCAGCCGCGTCTTTTCGCGACGCGTTTCTCTGGTCCAGGTTGGTCAGAAAGCTTCCGCTGGAGACATGCCGCTGCTGCTGCGTTTCTCCTCCGTCAACGCTCCCACGCACATTTCTTTCAACCCACGCCTGTCTGCTCGCTTGGTGCAACAATTTTGACTTCCTTTGCTCTGCTGTCCCACAGACCATACCTTACCTAGCTATCGAGGGTACGTAAGGGATCTTCCTAAGGTGGTACGTGCTCGCGAACACCGTCCCGCCCCCTCTGTTCTCACCTCACCCAACGTTTTCAGTGCTGGCAACCGACCCGACGACTCACCTTATTTCACTGCAAAGATTAGGCTTGTATCCCAACTTGCGCACAAACCCCTCTTATCTCACATATAGACTGCACGTAAAGGCGCATTTAAGGCTTGCTCAGCCCGAAGGAAGACATCCTCTCAAACCGACCACTGCCGCAGCCAAGGTAGTGGTCACATCCCGCTTCTCATGTCCGGTGCTGGCGCTGAGCCAGAGGCGGCGTAAGTCCTTCACTGCCATTCATCACCCTTCATCGTCCCTGATCACACATCTACACTGAGGCCTTTTCTCGCCATCGTTAACCGACTGCTGGCGTTGGGGTCGTACAGCATTCTGGGTATAGACTGGGGCAGCACCGCGATCCGTGCGAGCCTCTGCGTCAAGAGGACGAAGGAGTTGCATTCAATCTGGAATACCGGTGCAACTCCAGGACACGACATCCGGTACCAGACCGGCGCCTTCAACGCAACCCTCTATTTTGACGATCGCGGCGGTCTAGCCTATACTGGCGAAAAGTTCAACGGGACCTGCACGCCCATCCCCTCAAAATGGTTCCTGTGCGAGGACCGCGAGACGGGGAACCCGCTCCTCGACGGCCTCCTGGCAAAGTATAAGGGCCTGAAGAAGAGAATCCGCAGGAATCTGGAAGCCATCGTGCGGACTGTCTTTCAGGAGGTGGACAAGGTCTGCAGCGAGAAGCCGTACGTCATTGAGGAGGTCGGCCTCTCGTATCCGGCGCACTGGACGCCCAGGGAGTTGTCTAGCTACGAGAACCTGATCGCTGCTGTCATGATGGAGTTCAAGGTCATGAAATCGGCCCACGGTCACATCAAGTTCCACGTAGAGAGTCTGGCGTCAGCTCACTTTCTCTTCTCGAGCCGACGCCATATCAAGCCTATCCTTACCAAGGTAGACGAACCATATCTGTTAGTCTTTCTTGACTTTGGAGGTCATACTATGGTAAGTCAATGGTGGCGACATTCAAGACTATAGTTCACTTTTCGTTCAGGAAAATCCTGACCGTGGTATAGAATGGCTGCATGTTCAGCGTTGTACGACGAAGCGGCGATAACTTGGGCTATTTCAGAGTTGGCGAAGCCTTCAGTAAGTCACACCTCATTCTTCTCGCCCATCTGATTCCATCTGACGAAAGACCAATCAGCCGCTCATGGCGGGACGCAGCTATGGGAGAAAAAGATTGATGAATTCGCGACCAATTACGTCGAGAAGAGCCTCAAATTAACTTTGCTCCCGAGTCAACGAGCAGAGATCTTGGAGGAGTTCCACCTCAAGATCAAGAGACTCCAGTCAGACATATTTCAAAGCATGATCTTGCACACGGATGATCCGAAAGATAATAGGAGTATCGCGATACACCTTCGCGGGAGCGACGCCAAGCAATGTTTCCTCGACGGGCTGGAGGAGGCTCTCAACCTCGCCAGGGAGAAGATTGCCGAAGCCGTTGCCCTGACGTCAAATGTCAAGATTGTTCTGTCTGGCGGCAGTGGCAAGAATAGCCTGGTGCAGGCTGATGTTCAGCATGCATGTGCGGAACTGGGGATTGATAAGCCCTTCCTCTTGTATGAGGCGGTCAGTGAGAAAGAGTATGTACATTGGTTAACGGGATTCACATGGGGTGGACCGATGCTGACGTCTTTTGAACCCCACCAGCTCTTTCAACATAAGCAAGGGCGCTGCATATGCCACGGCCGACAAGATCACGGTGCAAGAATTCATTCAAAGGGGCGCCGCTTTTGGCTTCCAATTAGGTCGACCGGAGAAGGGCAAGGACGGCCCCTTCATAAGTTGGGAGAGCGCGGCAACCCTCGCTCTCGATGCCGTAAGACTTCCCCGAAATCCCGAGATTGTGCTCAGTCTCTCAAAGCCAAACTCGTTGCATGCCTACTAACAACTGATCAACTGGTAGGACGGTCCCCATTATTTTAGAAAGCGGTATGGCGGGGGTACAAGGCTCAGGATCGTCTGCGACCCCTTCCTACAATCCTCAGCCAAGTGGGATCACATCCCATCGGTGTGGTGCTACGACGTGCTCGAGATCGCGCCGCCTCCCAAGGGCCACTGGGAGTTCAGCCTACGACTGCACGACTTTGGCCACGGCGAGCTGGGGCTGGTAATCCGCAAGACGAAGCTGACGTGGACGAGCAAGGCCATGGTGGAGACGAGGAATTACGGGCCCTTTCCGCTTTTCTACGACGCGTCCTCGAACTGTTGCCTGATCAACACGGACAAGATCAAGAGCGAGGACATCGACTTTTATAACGGCATCCTGTTGACCGATGGGGGCGAGCTGGTGCCATGCGACCCGGAGGCGGTGGCGGACCAGATCCTGGACCTGCAGAAGGAGAAGGACGATATGCTAAGGGAGTCGAGTCGGATGAATGCGTCCATTTCCGACAGAGGCAAAGAAGAGAATGAGCAAAGCAACGCGTCTGGAAAGCGGCCCTTGCCGTCGGACCTGCACACAAGGGGAACAGAGGTGCGGGAAGGAGTAGGCCGTAACAACGACAAGGCACAAGAGCCGGCCTTTAAAAGACGACTGATGCTACGGCAGGAGGATCCGGAACGACACTGAGTTAATATAGGTAACAAGCAACAGCAAGGCGGGATCTGGATCTGGGAGAGGAGCGGAAGAGGGGCTTAATGCGGGTGCTCCTCTTGATTGTCACGTGTTCTTGGCGCTTCAGACACCCAAACCTGAGTACAAGCGGTTTGGTCATGAGTGGGAATGGTCAGCAAAGCCTCAAAGCATAAGATTTGCCGTCTTTAAGGAGTTCCAGCGGTTGAATGGACTATGACATGGGTAGAAAGAGGGGAGGCTTATCGGTATCAATTTCCTGGTGTCAATCTCGGTACACTTGAAGCTTTATTTTCTCTTTAATATATATGTCTCTAGTTCGCACATTGAATTTGGTGAATCCCGGAGTTTGATGCTGACACTTGTCTGCATTTTGGAGTGGATCTTTACCAAGCAGGAAAGTCAGAGAAATTGAGTGAAGCAATAAAAATTTGTCTTAATGTAGAAGCCAAGAAAAGGGCCAGCAAACCGAAAAGCTTGTTGAGGATTGTAAAGGCGAATTTGACGTCTATATGAGTATTCAGAATGGGATGAGACGTTGAGCAAGATGTCTAGGGAAACATGGATTACTAACGTACAATAGTGTGTCAGCGCCATAACATACAAAGGCTCAGCGTGCCAAGAGCACGTTGGCTCAAGTCATGTTAGTCACCCAAGATGAAAATCATCATACCTTTGGGGGGGGAAGGGCTGGCTCCATCTTTGGAGTAAGTAGTGTGGCCGAAATGTGACGATTTTAGCAGATCCCGGTGAAGCCTGCCGGGCCCCGTTCCTCGCTCACTTGGACGGGAGAGAGTCACGAAAGCTGGCCCCAAGGTGCCTTAGCCCCGTCTTAGGTACTTGTACATGTGCTGGAAAGTGGTCTGGGCCGTGCGGCATGCACAATAATTAAACGCCCCTCCCATGTTTCCCCATTGCACGCAGATAGTTCCCACACAGATGTTAGCCGTGCATATACGTGAAGCCATAGCTTAGTCAGGCACCAATATCTTAGCTCTGTTGAAATCACACGGCATCCCCTATGATTCCGTCTTCTCTCAGCACGCTGGAGAAGCAATGGCCCATGTTAGGAACATGAAATATTTTAGCAGCAGCTAGCTGCACGGAAAATGAAGGCACAGCACTGACGTCGATGCATTAGTGTTCTAGGGAGGCACCTCCATCCGCCTGGTCCTGTACCGGGTGAACACCCCAGGTGCAAAGAAGCTGGAGCCATTGTGGAATGACATGTCCTCTCAAAGGCATGATCCAAGCAAGGTCCGAGCAGGTTTCCTACAGCTCGTAATTCGCCATATATGACGACGGTGAGCTTTACGTCGGAGAACATGTCGACCTGGCCTGGAAGAGGATATCGACATGGTTCCTGTTCGGGGGCGTCAACGGCCTCACTCCGGCCCACCCGCTTTGGGAGTGACTATTAGAGTAGAAAGGCAGTGCGCAATTCGAGAAAAGTGCCAGTCACAGATGAGGTATAAACCCTCCTTGAACCATACAACATGACAAAGATCACAGCGGATAATCCAGACAACCAAGAGGCTGGTCGGGATGACTTTCTCATGCCCGTCCTCCTTTGTACAGAAACTCCTACCTGCGTCTTGAACACACCTCCTTGATTAGAATGAGAGACATGGTGGGAACCGTTCCGTTGGTGAGCAGTCGGGTTGGACGTTCACACCTATAGGTCAAGTTCGTCGGATTGATAATTGAAAAGTTTGGATGAATATGGGACCGATTTAGGACACCTCGCGTGGTGTATTTAACGTAGAGAACCCAATAACCGTAAAATTCAATCTATTCCTTCACGGTACGATATGACCAGAGGCCTAGACGATGATCTTTTCTCGTCAGACACTGAGACACGGTGTATTTGCGTGGGTATGTTTTACGGATTGCTGCGTCTCATCATTTGCTAGAAGATAGTGGCCGCCCACAGAGGCTCAAAATTGCATACAGATAGACCCCTACCCTCTACAGAGCCTGGGATCTGAGGGGATGTATCATATTGGTGTATATGGCGTTAATTGCTGCCCGAAATTAATGAAGTCGTTTTTGCGACATTTGATGAAACGTGGATGGACTTACCAAGCTATACATGATATTTATTGACCATATTTGCTTCCAGAGCCTCAGTTACCTAAGTAAATGCAGTTACAAAGTTACTTGAAGCAAAATCCACTCATTCTTCCGTCTAATTGATTGCTCTCTACCTATACAGATTTCAACTGGAGACCTCCAGAAACCTTTCAGACGTTGCAAATAGAACAGTCTAACAACAGCCACAGACTTCAATTATCAATGCCTGTATTTGGAATAGAATTCAGGCAGAATATCAACTAAGAACTCAACTGACAAGGTGACTAAAAAGCAAATCTCCAGGTTTTTGAATCACTACCTCTTATAAATACGAATCTTCACACAGAGATTGCGTTCTCCTCTCCCGACCGAAGCTTCCTCCCTGAGCTGGGCATTCATATGATATGCTGAAATTACATGTACCCACAAGCGGAATAGCAGCTATCGTCTTGCGTCCTACCTTATCTTGAATCGTTCCTTCCTCAAATTTCTAAAGCATTTTACTTCACCTGGCCCCTCACGTGCTTCTCATCCCAACCCAACCACTTACAAGCAAGGGGTCGAGAATAACAATGGATTTGATTTCTTTACCGCCCATTTCTACCCATTGATTAGGTTGTGAGCACCTTCACAAGTTTGGTCTCTTCCGGCCCTGCCTGCCTTTTTCGTGCTCTGCTTTTTTGTTCTCATGCACAAGCCCCCCATCCTGACTTGGCTTCACCCAAGTCTCCTTTCCGTCCACAAGCAATCTTCCTGACCTCCTCTTCACCCTCAATTCTCACCGAGCATCACAGCAGATTGCGGCCTCAAAGAGTAGCAAACCGTCAAGATGGGCAAGCATAGGTCTTCTCTGAAGGCTTGGTGCCGCAGTCTCATCCCGATCGTGCTCTTCGCTCTTACGGTCAATATCTGTCAGGCTCGAGGCAGAGGTAAGCAGTTCAAATCTCACGGGATATTTCTAGGATGCATTCATCTAACCATTTTGTCTCTCATTCTAGACTACAAGAAGCGAGAGGGTCTCACTGGATCACTTGCTTCAGTCGCTCCGACCGACGGAACCAGCCTTTATCTCTCTACCTCCGAACTCCGCCAAGGTCGTGTTGTTACTCGTATCGTCACCACCTCCATTCTCATCACAATTCCATGTGGTGCTCCAGAGGAGTCCTCTTCTCTTGCTTCCGACCTGATCACTACCCAGTCTTCTACCCACTCCCTCGACGCGACCAGAGGCCTGGGAAGTAGCCCGATTCAGCCCTCGACCTCTTCCATCGTCAACCCTGGGGTCTCCTCCAGCGTTACAAACCGAAACAATACAATCGGTAGTCCTGCAAATTCTGCGTCAATCCCTGGTTCCTCTATCCAGAGGAGTCAATCCAGTGACTTGGAATCGACATCCACCAACAATGCAAATGGTGGTTTTTCCACCTCCTCTACCAATCCATCATCAGCTTCACAGGAGAGCCAGCGTGGTAGCACAAGTTTTGCTATCCCTAACTCTTTCCTGCAGACATCTTTGTCCGAAGGTGGTACAGCCCAGACCTCGCGTCGCACCACGGCCCCTGATGAGACCACGACGTCAACCGCCAGTTCCCAACCAGTTCAATTGTCCAGCAGCATCTCTCATGCCGCGATCTCTGATGAAACTTCAACTTCAGATGTGACCAAAGGCACATCCGTTATTGAAGTGCCTCAGACATCTGCCTCTGGCACTGATCGTAATGTCGAGACTTCACCCATGCCGGCTTCCGCTTCCAGTGTCGCTAGCGCTCGTGCAACGACCACTCCTATATCGATGACAGAGATTGGCCAGCAGCCCACCAAGCCTCCTGTCGTGTCTACCAACGACGATCAGAAGTCAACCAAGAAGGGCGATGATGATGATGGCAAATCCACCAAAGCGTACCCAGGCAGCACTCAAGAGGACACTGCTTCCTCGACACAGCATGTATCTTCTACTGAACACTCTGCTACTCCAACCTCGACTTCTGCGCCTGGTAGCAGTGGCACAAACAGCCCTAGCTCCACGACTACTTCCTCTACGTCTCCAGAGAATGGAGATTTCACATCGTACTACATGACTGCCACGATTCAGCCTCCCGAGGGCGTCGATCCCCGGACGTGGATCACTTGGCAGTCCACCGAGGTCACAAAGACATCGACTCGCGATGGTCAGGCCTGGCCGACCATCTTCCCCGCGTGGTCTTGCATCGGAGGACAGCTTCTTTGCCATCCGAGGTGTCTCATCCCTATCATCCTCTGCGACCTCCCCGCCCTCAAGCTTCCGGGACCCGTTGGATTTCCATGGGCCAAGGTATATATCCCTTCTTCTGACCTACTCTATGCTCCTAGATCCCCAGCTAATCGGACTATATAGCCTCCCCCCAGAAAGCCCAAGGGAAAGCCTCGCAAAGTCAGGAAGGACGACCCTACCGATCCCGAAGACCCCGAGGACGACGAATCGGAGCCCTCTGAGACGGCTACTTCCTCGTCTGAAGCGTCCTGCACAGCAACCACCACCTTTTTTCCCGACTGCAAGCAGGGATGTACCGCCAGTCCTATCGTGGGTTCCGACTCATCCACGAGCTTCACCACAAGCTGCAACACGGCAACCTGCAAGCCTTCTATTGTCTGCAGCAACACCGTTGACACTACAACGACAACAACTATTACGACAGTGTCTGCTACCCCTACAGAGAGTTATTGTGGCGACGTCGGCTCGAGCTGCCTTAGCTGTAACAACAAGAGATCAGACCTCTCAGGCCGTTCCCTTTACGAAAAATGGGAACCCAAACCAGACCCTGATATTCTAAGCGGACCTCAAGGACTCACTGCCGCTGAGAATTGGCCTGGCGGACCACAAGAATGGTGGCAACGCGTTTGGAACTACGTGTGGCACTACTGCGATGGCCTGGATGGTCCGAGAGACCTAGGTGTCATAACTGGTGATAAACTGAGAGAGAGTGTGGGCTACTCCACCATGCATGCCGATGTCTGGGGAGATGAGCCGTTGATGGGAGCTACCGGTCCGTTCTGGGGCTGCAGCGGAATCTTGATTATTACCAAGAGAGGCATCTACACAAGTCACGTCTGGGAAGTTCCCAACTTTTATCCAGGTGGCTACGGAGACTACGACATTGACAAGGAGTTCCAAGAGGGTGTACTAGACTTCCTAGAGACTGGCTCGGGTAATCGACCTGGCGAGGGAGAATTCGTCAAGGGCGATCCTACCGATGGTACCAAAGGTAGTAAGCAGATACCCTACCCGGGAATCAAGCAGCTCAAAGAAACGACCCCAATCTTCGACAACATCCCCGAGGACACTCTCCAAGTCCTTTTCATTTTCCCCGTCAGCGGCGGAATGTTCAGCAACCCAATACCCCCGAACTACGGCGATTTCCCCCCCAGACATCCCAAAAGGCTCCAGGAATGGAAAGACTGGGTCGTGAACCGCCTCGGCTTTCCCGCAGACAAGATCAAAAACGTGGGCTACATGAAAGGTCCTAACCATTGGCCGAACGTCATCGACCCGAAGAAGCCGATGGTGGGCTACGTTCCGCCCTTTGGCCTCTTCTACTGGCAGTATCATCCAGCCCACGTCGTCGAAGTACTTCCCGATGGCACGCAGGTCCGCAAGCCTACTATCCGAGTCTGGTACGAGAAATGGCTCGTCTTCGAAGGCTCCTGGTGTCCCGCGGGCACCGTTGTGACCCGCGACGAGAACGGAAGCGAATCATGCCCAATGCCCGCCGCTCCGGCAAAGTCGTCCGCTGCGGCTTCGGGTGGCGCAGGCTCTGCTTCTGCTTCTGCTTCCGCTCCTGCTTCCGCTTCTGCCTCGGCCGGCTCCCCTGGTGGTCAGTCCTCCGGTCTCGCCTCTACTTCTAGTTCCCTTATCGGCAGCTCCTCTTCCTCCAAGAGCAAGGCTGTCGTCTGGGTCACTGCCACTGCCGAAGTGACCGTAACCGACGATGTTGATGTCACCAAGACTGTGATGCCTGGAACCGCTGTGCCGAGCGGCTCACTCGCCTCCACGGCCGACATCTGGCGTATCGCCAGCATCACCCAGGACATTGCCTTTACCGACGGCAATTCGAATCACACAGCAACAGTCAGCATCATCCAGGTTGATGGAGACAAGAAGACCAATGTCGTCACGGCTAGAGCCAGCGATGGCGGAGGCCCTGTCAAGCTGCCCAGTGAGCTTGTTGTCACTGACAACTCGGGTGGCGCATTGACAATCTACTTCAAGGAAGGTGACAAACCCTTCGACCTCAAGTCGCAGATTGGTGGTGTGGACCAGCAATGGTCATCGAACCTATTCAGTAACAAGACCCCTGGAGGTCCTTGGTGCGAGATCAAGAAGAACACCCCAGGCGAGGTAAGCTTTTGTTGAATATTTCCACTTATAGCCTGCTTTATTTTGAATATTCAAGCTGACCTTTTGACTACCCAGGGCGTATTGAAGCGTTCCTTGGATTGTCATTACCGTGCTTGGGGCCAGTAAAAGCCTCGAAGCTACTCAAGTTCCCAAATGCTCCTTGCTCCCTCTTTCAGTACTATCCTGGATAGGACATAGAACTTGCCGCATTTTGAAACTCAATAGAACAGAAATTACAAAACTGACGCCGCTGTACACACTTAGCCTAGCTAGGATAGATGACAATGCCCTTTGTGACGACTCATAAGTTGGTAATGCCAGTACAATAGCGTTCATCATATTTGTCGAAGACAGGATGGCTGCTATTTCTGATCCTTGTGTCTTGATCATCCGTGTTAAATTCTGTGCTAGAAAACCTCCCCATATTTGCCTACACGTGTATCCTTCACACCCCATACTCCTCAATGACGCTCCTAGGCTCTGTGTACTCTCCAACGCCCACAAACGGCATGCTCAAACCGAAGGCTTTAGTCCCTCCCACAAGCATGCCCTTCTCCGTCTTCCAGAGGGGGTGAGCAGGTAGTGCTATGACATTCACGCGCAAGCCATAGCGAAGATCCTGGGACCCTATAGCCTCCCCATCTTGGCCCAGAATCGAAATCAGATCCGGCACTGTACACAACACCTCTTGCTGGCCGTGTTCGGAACCCTCTGCGTCCGTGAGTGCGGCATACAAGTACTCGTTCTGGAACGGGATGAGCATGTGCCGGTCGGCGAGCACCGTACTCTGCGTGTCTGAGTCTCTGTCTTCCTCAGCAAGGGGGGCGATAAGGACGCTGCCCATTGTGTAACCGCCGCCCACAAATCGTCTTACATCGATGATTTTGCCTGTAAACAGCAGCTTGCCAGCACAAACATCAAACTAAGAGCAAGTTAGCCGATTTCAATTTGAGAATAGCTTCAGGACGAGGGGAGAATGCTGGCAATGGACGCAGGTTCTCCCCTCAACTCATAGAAGCACACGTCACTGGTTGCCTTGGATATACTTGCAATTGCATCAACATAGCTAGACTTCTTCCTCCGTGCCATGTGAACAGCACGGCCCAGATACCAGGCTTGCGATAAGGTGTTGGGAACGCCATGGGACTTGACAGCCGACCCGGGGAGTGGCCTTGCGCAGACGGCGCATCCAAGGCCGAGCTCAACAGCTGCCGTACGCAGAAATCGTTCCAGGCGGACCGGAGTATCGGAACTCTGTGGTTCAATCTTTTAGCAAGAAACATGTAGTTCGCATCGACGAGGAGACCTACCATCACAACAGAAACGTTTCCCCTTGCGTCCGAGAGGGCACACGGAGTTAGCGGGTGGCCGTAAACGCTCAATGTGGCTGTCCAGGAGGCTTTGTTAGCTTGGCCTGGCCTTCGTCTTGGTTGTGGGCTATATCTTCAAGTAATTACCTTGATACATGGTCGGGTATGCTCTTCCCATCGCATCGCCATCCACAACAGGGATGTCATAGTGTACGCCCGTTGGGAAAACACTGAGCCCGTTGCCTCCGCCACTTGCCGTTTGTCAGCCCATGCGCTTACCAGACTTTGGTGTTGTCACTTACATCTCGTCGATGAAAACCCCATGGAGAGGTACATCTCCCAAGATCTTCCTCACGGCATCGATGCCGCTGGGAATCTCAGAGCCGCCGGCGATTCTCTCGTTGATGACACTCGGGGTACCGTACCAGGAGCCGAAGCACACATTGTCAGTGTCGGCGAGGGATGATGGCGAGATGACCCTCATTTTACCCGGCTCGCTGTTGCGGAGGACGTGCAGGCTCTTGAGAAATTCGTGGTGGGTTGGGCCTCCTCCTCCGGTGCCGAGCACACCGCAGCCCGTCGAGATCAGCTCCAAATCTACCTCGGAAACATACCAGGCACCTCCTCTGACATCGGGTCGATAGGTCTCAAGGTCTACCTGCAGCGAGGGCTTAGTGGTAGGCTGTAGGGCATCAGGTACGCCCTCTTTTTGCGCCTCGTCCTCCTGCTCCTCGTCTTCGATAGGCGTCATACTCTCGTGGGAGAATTCGGGGCTCTCAGGGACACTCAACTTTCCAACAGCCCTGACTTGTATCCTCATGGCGCCGTTATCGACATATTGAAGCGGCATCTTGTTGACCTCTACAACACGGACGTCTTCAGCCGTCGCGCCCTTCTGGATGGCCAGATCGATAGCCTTCTGGCACGTCGCTGCAACAACCGTTTTTTCGTCTCTTCCCTCGAGGATCTCAATAATGTCCACTTCTCCAGAGACCTTGCCAATAGCAGCACCAACAGCATTGGCAGCGCCCTGGTGAATAGGCTGAATGCACTTCTCGACGCCGTCAAGGTTGTCTGTAACGAGGAGGGCGCCGCCTCCCACAAGAAGAACGTGCACGGGAGCAGCGGAGACCTTCATCTGCTCTATGACCCCCTCTAGCATTTTCTTGATCCTCTGCCGGGCCTCATTGATCGTTGAGCTCGGAATGTCTCTGATGAGACTCGCGTCGCCAAGCTCTGCCTTTCCGGAAGCCACCACGATGTCGGTTGCGGTCAGGGTGGAACCACCAAAGACCCTCGCCTGCTCAGTGAGGAAGTGTCCGACTGACCCTGGGCCGACTGTGACGTCCCCGAATTCGGAATTCGTCTTCACCTTGCTGCCACCACCGAGCCCAATTGAGACTACCTCGGGCATGGAGAATGCCGTCCTCACGCCGCCGACTTCTACGAAACCTGGGGCTTGCCGAGGAAAGCCAGATGGAAGCAGGGCGCACACGTCCGTTGTTGTGCCACCGATATCGACAACGAGCACTTGAGGCTCCAAACCCTTCTCCCCTTCCGAGTCCGTGGTATCCGTTGTCGTTGTCTTGGTCTGATCCAGTCCTGCGAGGAAAGCAGCCCCAGTCATGCTATTTGTCGGGCCGCTGGCAAAGGTCTTGATAGGGAACTCCGCTGCGGCATCAGCGTCGATGAGCGTGCCATCGTTCTGAGACAGATAAAGCGGACATGCGAGCTTCAGCCGCGCCATTGCGGTTTTGAAGCCGCGAGTGACCTTGTGGGCTGTTTTGAGGATTGCGGCATTGAGAATAGTTGCGTTCTCTCGCTCCAAGAGGCCGGGCGGTCCAATGTCGTGGGAGCAAACTACATCAAGACCGGGGGCTTCTTCCAACATGATTCTTTTGCAGGTTTCTTCGTGCATGCCAGAGTGGTCCAGAGGCGAAAAGATGCCAACGAGAGCAACTGACTTCACCCCAGATGCAACAATATCTCTCGTCGTCTGCCGAATCTGCTCGTGGTCGAGCGGCGCAATCTCCCGGCCGTCAATCTCCAGCCCACCATCAAGATAGTAGACGCCCCCATCGAGAATCCGGTGCAAGCCCGAGGGAAAGTCTGAAAATGGGGGGATTTGCCTCGTAAAAGGGCCACAGAGACGGACGACGGCGACCTTGCTGAGTCGTCGCGTATCAGCCTCAACAAGCGCGTTAATGAAGTGCGTCGTGCCTATCGTCACGCTCAGTACTCGGTTCTGATCGACTGCTGAGCTTTGTATGACAGCGCGGATGGCAGCCTCGATGCCGGTAGTGATGTCTGGTGTGGTCGACGCCTTGTATGATGCTAGGACTCCGCGGCCGGCGGTGTTTGCGGCTGTGATGTCGAGGATGGCAGCATCGGTGTTCGTGCCGCCTACATCAACACCTATGCGGTAAAGAGACATAATTCCCGGGGGCTCGATTTGCTGACTATGAATGAGGCTGATTATACGGGAGGCCAAGTGGTGTGCAGTAAAACAGAGAATCTATCTGTTACCGTCTTCTCTCCCGTTGGCGGACAGCAAAGCTCTTATCAAAGCAGCTTAACCCAACTTCGGCTCAGGAGACCGAGGCTTTGATAAAAAGTTGGCCGAAGGCAGCCTCTCCAAAGTGTCGGATGACTGGAAGGAGGTTCTGTCCATCAACTGTTCGTGTAAGTGGAGGCACTAGATGTTCCCCGAGTCTCTGAGGCCCCGCTTGAGGGGCTCAACCGCGTCCAAGTTGGCCGATCGATCGGCCAACTTTCATATCAACATGGATTACCCTAGCACTCTAGCCGAGGCCCTCCGCTCCTTTGCCTAAAGCAGAGATAACACCAACCCAACTAGCTAAAATACCCCAGGGGATGATAAGTATCCATGTTAGTGTCGCGTGGGATGACTGCAGATTGCCGAGATAACAACATCACAGATCGACTTATATGTCAACGGACCTCGTTTCCAGATCATGCATGTCTCGCGTCGCACGCATACCAAAGGAGAGAGAGAGAGAGAACTCGAGCAAACAGTGCTTTACTTGCCCGTAGTCATTTGCAGCACAACCTCGTACAATCCTTCTCGCAGAGCAAGCCTCAGAAACGACGATGGGGTTGCAAGCCGTCCTGAAACGGGTGGAACTCCCATTCGTTTCCCGCTGGATTGTACGTAAAAGCGACCCGCCTCCGCAGTCATATCCCCAAGGGTGTTGCCATTCGGGATGACACTGACGTGGGGTCTTACAGAACGACGATATCCGACCCATCGAATCTCAAAGGCGGACTTGGGGCTACCTGACGTTCCACAACTTTTGTGCGTGCAGGCTACATGTAGATCCTACCAGGTCTTCCTGACGCTGACGGAATCCCAGGGCTCTTGGTGAACTGCAACATCACCACTTACCTGACCGGTAGCGCACTGATTCCCTTGGGCCTGACCTGGTGGCAGGCCCTTATTTGTCTGTCTCATTACTTATTGATTTCTGTGAGATTTGTCTAATGTATTTTAGGCATTGTCATTGGCAACCTTGTTGCCACAGCTGTCGTCATCATCAACTCGCTTCCGGGTAGCTCCTACCACAGTACGTCATCAGTTCTCAAAATTATTGCAGACTTTGTAGCTTACTGGAATATCTTTAGTTGGCTTCCCCGTCTTCAGTCGAGCTGTATGGGGTATGTGGGGTTCGCAGTTCGTGATTTGGAACCGTATCTTTCTATCTCTCGGTAAGTCTTCCTACTTCGTACACCGCGAACATGACAAACTGATGTTGACGTGTGCATAGTCTGGTTCGTAATGGGTTCTCAGCATTCCCGATACTGTTGTCTTTGCTGACCAAGTGCACGCAGGTATGGCTTCACAGCCTGGGTCGGGGGAGAGTGTATCTACGTGATCCTTCTCTCCTGGGACCCCAGACTTGAAACCCACATCCCCAACGGCATACCAGCAGATACAGGCATGACAACCGCCCAATTCGTCTCCTACATCATATTCAGCGTCATATCTCTTCCAGTCATCTGGATTCGCCCGCACCGTCTCGAGAAATTCTTCCACTTCGCCTGCTCCGTCACCCTCGTCTTCTTCGTCGTCCTCCTCATCTGGGCCCTCGCCACCATGGGACCATCAGGCTTTGGCGAGACCATAACCTCGGGCTCAGCCATACCAAACACAGGCGGACCGAACAGCGTGGCTTGGCTCATGATATACGGCATCGTCTCGACAATCGGCTCCATCGCGGCCGGTATTCTCAACCAGAATGACTACTCCCGCTTCGCGACGCATCCCAAGCACGCCGTCGTGGGCCAGGCCATATCATTTCCGTTCTATGGCATCTTCAGCTCTCTGATCGGTATCCTCGTCACCGCAGCGACCCAGAACCGCTTCGGAGGCCAGGCCATCTGGAATCCGCCTACCCTCTTCGCTCAGCTCCTAGCACAGAACGAAACGGCCGGGACGCGGGCAGCGTGCTTTTTCGCGGGGCTTTGTCTCGTCATCTCGCAGATCGGAGTCAATGTACCTGGAAACGCGCTCGCCGGCGGCTTTGATCTGGCCGCGACGTTTCCCAAGTACCTGAACATCCGTCGTGGCGCCTACATTACCGCAGTGTTCAGCGTTGTGGTCAACCCTTGGCGTCTGGTCAACACTGCAACAATCTTCCTCACAGTCCTTTCAAGTTACAGCGTCTTCTTGGCCCCAATGACTGGGTTGATGATATCTAGCTACCTGGTTGTTAATAAGAGCAAGGTGAACGTGGACGACCTGTATCGCGGCGACTCGGGCAGTATCTACTGGTTTTCTTATGGCTGCAACTGGAGGGCGCCGGTAGCAGTGAGTTATTCCCAATCCCATCAAACTGCAACATTCGCTGACTGGTCTCGCAGTGGCTTATTGGCGTCGTACCCTGCATGCCTGGCTTCATCGCCGCCGTTGACACGTCAGCGACTGTGAGCGAAGGGGCAACCGAGCTGTATTTCATGTCGTATATTTATGGGCTTCTTTCGAGTGGTCTTGTATACGCCTTGCTGCATAGGTTTTTTCCGGCGAGAAACTTGGACGCGTTCGTAAGAGACGCGCCGTCTGCGCGTGAGCTTCAAGAGATGCACAAGGGCAAATGGGATGTGACGCTGGCTGAGACTCCTGAAATTCTCCACGAGTTTTCTGGCCAGGGAGACAAGGCAGGAAAGGTCGCTTTGCCAAGCAAGGAAGATGTGTAGATATCCTTGTCATCGTACGATAATTCTGTGGAGCGAATATTAGGCTCTTTTGTCTCTAGCAAAATCTCTCCACGGTTCGGCTCTGGTAGAAACATAAGGTGTCCAAGGAGCACCGTGACACAATGGTCAATAATATCTCACTATCTCTGTCCAACAACTTTTTAGCATTAGTTTATAATCACTCGTTATAACTCAATTCAACATCAGATCCTCACTATCGAGAAAGCTGGTCCTCGGAAAACGGCGCTGAGATAGGTTGACCGATTGGCCGATACCAAGTTGTCCCCCGCCCCAGCGTTGCACTAACAGGTCCCACATGTAAGCCACTAGCATTAATGACAAAAGCACCATCAACCTTATAGGCGACATCGGCGTCGGCCAACTTCATCGGCCAACTTCCCATGCACAATACCAGAGGATCGGGCAACTTTATCACTAATAGCCCTTGACGGCATCTGGACCGACGCCATGCCTCAAGATACCGCGAATTCCTCCCAAAGACGGAAGTTCAAAGTGCCGAGCGAGTTCGGTCAAGCAAGACGATGGAGGAGCCGAAAGAACCGCCCTTGTGACGCCTGTCGAAGGAGGAAGACTGTATGCGTCATCACGTCTGCTCCACCCTGTAAGTGACCTCGCTCCCGAGTCTCCGGGTCGGGGAGATAAACGGCTGACGGGGTACAGGTCTTTTCTGCAAGGGAAGGGGAATAGAATGCAAATCATCGGCAACAGGAAGTGCAGCTTCTGCGTCTGCAGCATCCGCATCCGCACCCACCCCTTGCAATGCTCCTCAAGATGGGACTCTTCACATCTCAGAACCTTCACGGGCAACATTGGACAGCCCAACCCCTTCCCCTTTGGCTCAGAATGACCCGCTTGATACGTCTGCTGCTCCCCGCCCACCCGAACAAGTACAGCATGGGAAGCCAGAAACGCAGACGCTGGAAGATAACGAGAACAGGACAGCACACAGCATGGGCCCGGCAGCCGAGCAGGACACCCACTTCCTCGCCTCGTTCCGCTCAGACGTCCTCAGCGGTCCCAATCAGATAGACGCAGAATTCATCCAGGTCTACCAAGGCAGCGGATACTCATGGGATCCGCCGGTTCACTTCTGCCTCCTGCAGGACGAATTTACCGCCCACGACAATGAGGCCCGGGGCCAGGCATCTCGTGCGATCGAGAGGCTGGTAGAGCCTCACGGCCCCACGCTCGTACGCCTATATTTCAGACACGTTCATCCGGTACTGCCCGTTCTATCAAAAGTCAGGTTCCTCAGACAGTACTCCGACGACAAGGCCAAGCTTCCTGCCTCCCTCCGCGGGGCAGTCTACGCTCTAGCCTCGGTGTTTTGGAACACCGAGCCGTCTCGGCAAGGCCCCTTTCCTTTCCAACAACACGTACTCGCCGATCTTGCCACCGACTCTCTGCAACGAGAGCTCGACTCCCCCAACTTGGCCAAGCTCCAAGCATCCCTGCTCCTCCTCCACATGACGCCCAACAGGACAGACAGCATCGCGCACCCCAGGACGTGGACACTGACGGCCCAGGCCGTGGCCGCCGCGCAGATGATTGGCCTGCACCAGGACGCCGAGAAGTGGAACCTCCCGGCGTGGGAGAAGAGGCTGCGGAGGAAGCTTTGGTGGGCGACGTATGTCACTGACATGTGGTCGGCCGTGTGTCACGGAAATCCGCCGCATATCTACCCTGCTTCCTTCAACACGTCGGCCGTCACGATGGGGGATTTACGCAGTGAAGAGAGCGTTTCTGGGGACTTGCGAGGGCTGGTTGATCCGAGTAATGTAGAGTTTGATGTCGCAACTGGAGCGCGATTCTTGGAGCTGGTGAAGGTGAGCCAGACTCTGCGAGGGGTGATTGAGTGTAGTTTGTGAGTACTCATCCAATCTAACGTATCTGATTGACATCAAACTGATATCTAGTCCAGTCAGATACCTAGGCTCGTGCCATCAGAGTTGCAGAGGACTGACACGGAGAATCGAGGGCATCTGGTCGCACTCCAGGAGAAGCTCCACGACTGGGTGACTCTGCTGCCGCAATGCCTCACGATATCTCATGTGGAGAGGGCTCCCGGGGCATCAAATAATGGTCAGTATCCCAAAAAATTTTATTGGAGTGTTGAGTCTAAGGATAGTAGCGCCCCTCCATCTCGCGTATTATGCCCACCTAGCTCTCCTCTACCGCGCCCTCATGAATCCCGCCACCAAAATTGCCAAAGCCATCCCATCATCCAATCTTCGCCTGTGGTTTGGCACTGCCCTCTCTCAATTCGCTGGCTTCACAAAGTTTATGAGGAGCATCAGACCCAAAGACCTGCAGGGCTTCTGGGGTCGTCGTACGCCTCCTTCCCCCATTTGCCCCCCCCCCCCCCCCACATCTTTGCCTGTTGTTTTGGCCGGCCCCCCCCCCATTCCGCGGTTTCCCAAAGGTTTTGGGGGGAAACGCCCCCCAAGCCCCGCGGGGGTGTTGGGGGCTTCCGACCCCTCCCTCCCCCCTTTTCCCACCCCCCCCCCCCCCCCTCAAGACAATACGTACTGACACGTAGGCCCTCATCAGATGCACGATCTCAACTCGTACTCTGTGGTAACTTCATCATCTACCTATTTGTGCTAGCTACCGAGCCCGAAGATGTCACGTCAGCCTTTGCCTTGCTCGAGGGCTTCCACGACGCCCTCCAGCAACTGAATAGAGAGGCGGACTCTACCTCGCAGTTACTGATCCTTCCGGTAACACTCCGAATAGACTCTTTCTTCATGCAAGCGGCCGATCGACTGCGTGGCGAACCAGCCGTCGGCGATCCAGCCGCGGCAACTACGAATCCCTCAATGGCACAGACAGCGCACGTAGGCACACCGTAGGAAGCATTTGATAGTGGTTCAAATTCTTGCACAATGTGGTATAATCGTACACTTCGATCAATTCCCAGCCATGTCCGTCCATATCCAGCCCTCAATGCCACCGACACCACATCTAATTCTTCTCTTCCATCCCGTCCCTCAGAATCTCAATCTGCTTCTTAATCTCCACCCAAAGCGTCAGCTTCTTCAAGTCCTCTCCGTCCGAGGCATTATCTACCACCACCCCAAGCCAGTCGTCCTCGAACTGCTCCGTCAGAGCCTCGACGCTGCCCCGCTTACTGCTAGTACTGCTGCTGCGGTGATCTGAGCGTCGTGCAATGGCGAGCAGGGCTGCCACAAAGGCCTCTTGGATGTACGCAAAGCTGAACTTGTCCGTAATCTTGGCAATGGCCTCGCATAGCTCGTCGGGGAAGTCAATTTCCTTGTTGTTCTTGAGCTTGTTCTGCCAAAAGTGGCAGTAGGCGATGCGCTGCTCGAGGTCGGGGTCCGGGAAGAAGTACTTCCTGTCGAAGCGGGATGGGCGTTTCTGTTATGAAGTTAGCTGGCTCTGCCTTTTTTTGTGGTTTCTTGTTTGTCCTTCTACGAGACGACGCGTCCTTACAGAAATGCCTGGGTCGAGGCGGTCGAGATGATTGGTGCTGCCAATGATGAAGATTCCGTCATTGGCTTTGAGACCATCCATCTCATTCAGGAAATAGCTCCTCACGTCATCCGAGACAATGGTGTCGAGGTCCTCCAGGACAAGGTAGCAGGGCGCGTACTCCCTCGCCTTGCTAAAGATCTGCTGGATGGAGTACTCGGGGCCCATGAAGGAAGCCAGCGTGCGCACGTAGAGCGTGGGGATGTCCCTCTGGAAGAGCATGTTCATCGTGGCCTTGATGGAGATGGTCTTGCCGTTCCCCGGCGGTCCGTAATAGATGAGACCGCGCTTCCACGGCACCTTGAGGTTCTGGTAGGTCTCCTGGGAGTTGTAAAACGAGAGGTGGTCCTCAATGAGGGCCTTCTTCATATCCGCGTCCAGGATGACGTTCTCCCACGAAGCATCGCGGAAGCTCTTGAACAGCTCATGGCTCTTTTGCCAGTACCCTTGGTCAAAGACCCAAACCTCTTCGTGGAGATCGCTGCTCCATTTACCTGCAGACAGGACGAGCTGGTCGACATGGTACGTCTGGGGCGCGAGGATGTAGTAGTTCTTGATCGGGTACGGCATGACGCCGTCGCGCCCGTCAATGAGGTAGACGATGAACTCATGGCCCTGCCATTTGTACAGGTACTTGCCATAGTTGGTGATGGTAGCCAGACCGCCCAGGTTGCCGTCCATACGCCGGGAGGGTGGCAGGTACAGCAGCCACTCGAGCGACGAGGGCAGGTTATCGCCCTTGTCCTCAATGACCTCAAAGGTGGCGTGGCCGCCTTGGGCGTAGGCGAGCAGGTTGCAGCCGTTGCCGTACCCGAGGGACTCGGGCACGACGACGAGCTCAAGGTACGGGTACTGCTCCTTGAGGGCCTTGGAGATGAGGGCGTCCGTATTGACGCGCTTGCCGCTCGAGTGCTTGAAGAACTCCTTGGAGACGGGGTCACTGGGGGCTGGCTCGGAGGCCCGGGTGGCGCGGGGGCTGCTGCCGGCGCCGCCGGCCTGGGGTTGGGGGTGGGGCCGACGGGGGATCGGAGTCGGGTTGTAGGACGGGTGCTGGAACGCGTCCTGGCTCCAGATGTCGTGTGGAGGCATGGGAAAAGGGGGCATGTTGTCTCTCTGGCAGTCCGGCGTTCGGGGAGCTGTGATTTGTGTGTTGGAGAATGTGACGACGGATGGGATATCCTGAGGCGAGGTAGTAAGCTGTTGGAGACGAAGAGTTGGAGTGAGATGGACAAGTTGGAGAGCTGAAGGGAGCTAAGATAAGCTGAGCTGCGGGGGAGGGGAACTTGGTGTCGCCTCAGGTTGGAGCTGACGAGCTACGATGGATGTGCGTGCAAAGCAAAGACGGGCGACAGGTCAATAACTTGTTGCCTAGCGATTGTGGTAAGCGGCGAAACGAAAAGGCCGGGCGAGCTGTTGCCATTTGGGAAGTTGTCTGGCTGTGCCGCCGCCCCTGTGGTGAGATGACGTTGTGCCATTCGTCAACCCTTGGGGACAAACAGCTAGGGGGAGCTGCTGCGCCACCGTTCGTGTTCGTCGGCAAGGGTACCCCGGGCGTCGCGGGGTGTCACAAGCATCTTGGCGCATGGGACTGGCCGATGCGGAGCTGCATCGGTGTGCTCTATCTAATCTTATCTTGAACTTCGCTCTCGTCAATACATTATCATGCTAGACACACTTTTTCTATGCTTTGAGATCGGACAGAGCCAAGTAAGACAGGTCACGCCCCGGGCGGTAGGAAGCGCCATGTGATAATGTAGTACATCATCCAGGTATCAAAGGTGTCGCAGAATTTGTAGGCAGACAGCATGATTCAATGTGTAGGCCAGAATTGGGCTCCCACTGGCTAAATGCCATGTTACCTTGGGCTTCAAAGCAATTTTGTTTCACTCAAGTCCATTTACCACTGTATTATTGCTCAGCGATAGGACCGTATGCAGGAAAGGCCAACACCTATCGGCACAATCGAAACTCAGCCTGAAGCCTCAAGGTCGGTCAATTCGAGTATTGCTAGTTGTAGTCTCATTCATTTACGCATTTCACCCTTAGGGATTTGGGTTGTCAGATATACGATTTGAGCATAAGAAACACATACCCAGATACCTAGATATACAAACGGTCAAACTATTTCGTCTATAAGCAGTCGCAGCAGCAGAATTCCCTACTCTATGGCTGTCAACTAAATTTGAGAAGCTGGACATAGAGAAGGGCCGGCAACCCATCTCCACTCGTGTCACAGTCACATCTTAAGACGTTCTGGCATACTTTCCTCTGCTATCCAAGTATTATACAGTGGCACTGCGGTTGCATATTTCCCCTCAATGTCCGTGCAGCCGCGAAGTAACCGTATTACTCCTGCGAAAGAAATCGGCCGTATCACAGCATAAAGTAAGCACTAGTGGAATACTCAAGATATACAACACATGCCCAGAGATGGAATGGCTGAGCGTACAGCAGCCGCCCGTCAGATACATCGGCCTCTTCGTCCTATGAGCTCAGCGCTTTTTGGGTGCTTGTCATGTTAGCGTATCATCACGGACGCAACTCCTCCTCTATGCATCTGTGAGCCAAGTGAACGCCATCTTCTGTGTACCTCAAGCTCCGGGGCCATTTTTTGTTTTGATCAAAAAATATTGCAGCTTCTGGTGCATCCCCAAGGAATCCTTTGATGTGCTGTCATCAGCCACCTGGCAAGTAGGAAGGAATTGTCTTACGGTCTTCCCCAAGCGCCACGAGCGTCGCATCCAATGCCTGCAACAGTTGGATACATCGGTAGATAGGATCTGCAGGTCTCTCGCGAAAACGTCTGTGATACTCGGCGAGCATACATGTATACCTGGGGTTTCATGAAGGTACGGAGGGGACCTTGGCAAAGGATGAAATACAATACTACCCCTCCTCCTCGCACGACGCGCTTTCCAAAGTCTGATCTGGGACTTCTTTTCCACGAGAATCATATATGAAAGCAGCGACAGCAAACGCAATCATGGAACTACCAGATAACCCTCCCAAGGTCGACATCAGGACGCAAATCTACGAGACACTACGGAACACAGCAGAATTATTGGACGATTGGGATGCCATCAACGCCAACGAGGCCGCGAGCGGCGTTGTCTTGGGCCTCTCAAAGGCCCTTCAGCAGAGGCACCACCATGCTGTAGAAGGCTTCTTTGCCAGACACTCATCTCACTGGAAGGACACGCTTGCCCTGACAGCCCATCTCAGATCGTTCAAGAGCAAAGGGGTCATTGCGTCGGCGTTGCTGGAACTCCACATTCTGCGCAAAGCCCAGAGCTTCCAGCTCGAACAGGCGCAGGTGATGGAGGCTACTGACGAGCTTGTAAGTGCGACGAACTCTTGTCCTCGGTACGCGGAAACGAAATTGACGCCCGTCAGAAATGGCTCGACTGTGAATTCAGCTTCAGGACTACTTCCCCCAAGGCTTTCTGCCGAGGAAAGATGATGCTCATTCCCGATAGTCGTGGAACGGGCCAACCCGACTGGAAGATTTGGTCAATGAGCACATACCTGGCCGAGTATGAAGACTTCCCCGAGGACGAGGATCTGCTCAGGCTGCCTTCGGCTCCTATAGCGGACGACAAAACCATCTCGACAAGTGTGCTGATTGTCGGCGGGGGCAATGCGTAAGTCTACAGTATTCTTTCACAGGAATGGTCCTGGATCTGACATGAACTAAAACAGAGGCTTGATACTGGCCGCTCGTCTGAAGGCTTTAGACATCGACTATGTCGTGGTCGATCGCAACTCGAAAGTAGGGGACAACTGGGCGTCGAGATACGACTGTATGCGCTTCCATGTCTACAAGTCATTTTGCGAGACACCGTATATACGTAAGTGCGCATAATTTCAAGCTTCATACTGCAGATTTGAATTACTTTGAAACACCAATGGTTGCGAAGGATAGGAATGGGGGGGGAGATATGGGAAGCAAACCTGTAAACCTAACCCTGCAGCATCCCTCGCCTCTTTCTCGAGCCCTACATCCAACAACAGTGGAACCTTCTCCTCAAGTCTTGTGGCCCTCAGATCATGTAAGACATTTCGAGGAACTTGGCTAATTTACTTACGTAGCATACCCACAGACAACCAACGAAGGCCTCACGCGAGATCAACTAGCCGACCAGATCGTGGCCTTTGCCAAGGAGTTCGACCTAAACCGTCGCGTTCTCCATCGCACGAGCATCGCGGCAACAGAGTACGACCAAACGAGCAAGACCTGGCGCGTCGAGCTAGCAACGGACAACATTCGACGGACCTTGTCCTGCAAATGCATGGTCCTCGCGACGGGCGGTGCCGGCTTCGCAGGTCCCGCCCCCCTGCCAGACCTCCCGGGCCAAGAGTCTTTCAAAGGCCCCAACATACACTCGGCACAGTATCGCAACGCCAGCGATCTAGTTTCGTCGGGGGCCAAGGTAAGTTCGGGAAGCTATATATCTATTGATTCAGGATGTTTTTTTTTTCTTTTCGTTTTTTTGCAAGTCAGGATGAAGTTCTCGTAGCTCCGCTAATCCATCATTATAAAAAAAAGTCCGTGGCCATCATCGGATCCGGCAACACGGCATTCGACGTCTTGGTTGACTGCCACGATGCCGGTCTCAAGACAACCATGGTGCAACGATCAGACACCTACGTCGTTCCCATGACATACTTTGCTCACCCAATGGGCTTTGGAGTCTACGACATCCTACCGGCGGAAGACGCCGACGTGATTGTCAACGGAGGACCGTTGGCTGTAGGCGGCGCCATCCTAGGCCTGGCTCACACGATGCAAGCCGCACAAGAACCGTAAGGCACACACATAGGTCTCTGGAATCATTTTCTTTCCTCGGTCTGCTAACTTTGTTCCATTCAAGGGACCGATACAACGAGGCTAGAAAGGCCGGGCTTCGCGTGCAAGACTCCCTGACGGGCGACCTGCTCATCAACCTCATCGACCGTTGCGGCGGGCACTTTGTTGACATGGGAACAGGCATGGATCTCATCACGACCAAGAAAGTCGGCGTCCGGTCCGGGGTCGTGCCCACCTCCTACACAGCCAACGGTCTTGTCCTATCTGACGGCACTCGGCTGGAAGCAGACGCCATTGTCTGGTGCATCGGGTTCGGCAACATTGATGGCCGGAAGAACCTCCCCGACACGCTCGGAGCCGGAGCCGAAGATATTGCCCGCAGGCTCGAGCCCACATGGGGCGCGGACGCTCAAGGCGAGATTCGTGGGCTCTGGAAGCGGCACCCCGACGTTGACAACCTCTGGATCTTTGCCGGTGGGACTGCACAGCATCGATGGTTCTCAAAGGTGATTGCCTTGCAGGTCAAGGGAGTCCTCGAGGGAATCCTGCCCGACGCCTACAGACATACACCAGAGCCACAAGTTGCAGAGGAATGGAGGCGCGGAGAAACGTGGGCTCCAAATTTGTAGGAAAGGATCTAGTCTACGAGGCCAGCGGATTCAACATCAGGAATCTGCATGAATTTGGAATGCTCAGTAGGGAGAACAAGGCCTCAAATGGTCCTTGGGAAATTGTAGCAGATCTCTCTGGTGACATGGCTGCTCATCGTTATGCAAGCCAAACTGCTTGTGCTTTTGCCAGGATATCCATTGCGAGTTTGTGAAAGACCTGCCGTTGTGGAGAGAAAAGAGTTCGACACAAGAGATCCACTTTAGCGTCTGACGGGTTGTTGCAGGTAGCTTGGGCGCTGGAGACCCTTCGAGGCACTGAAGAGGGATGACAAGATCGGTTTATCCCTCCCGATTAGTATTCGTAATCAATCCATTGGCAAGTGTGTACTCTTTTCCTCTACAGATTTCTTGGACGCGTCGCAGTCCCGAACGCAATGTAACATGATACAGATTCGAGGAAAACTGACATTCCCATCCTCGCGCAGATGTATATAACAACCCACAAACCCCCCGCCGTCAGCCTACCTAGCCGGGCCCAGCCTTGAAACCGCTGCCCCCTCCCCCCTGAAGCCGTCGTATGCGTCGTGTCAATCGTTTAACTCGTGCTGTAAATAATTTCCGTCCTTGTGACAGCAGCCGCGAAAGGCCTTAGCAGATGGCATGCGTTTTGCCAGTCTTACCCTGTAGGGAATGCTTTTCCTTCTGTTCACAGAGAGCGGTTAGTGAAATCTCATCCTGGGTGGTCCACGCGGGGGGACCCGGGGGTTTGGGGACAAACTCTGAACTTTGGGTGGTTGTGGGTGGATTTCGAGCTCGTGAGGTGGTGCTTGCTGATGTACTCCTGTTGCCTCTTGACGCCATCCTTGTCCATCTGCTCGAGCAGACCCATGCATAGTTTGATGTCGGTGATGAGCGAGTCGCAGCGCGACTTGCTAAAGTCCTCGCGGACGACGACGCGGAGCATCTTGAGGTCGTTTGTCTTGGGGGCCATGGTGTAGGCGGGGACGACCCAGCCCCTGACGCGGAGCTGGTGGGCGAGAGCAAATTCGTCGTAGTGGCGGTCCTCATCGCCTTCGGCGACCTCAGGCAGTCGGAAGGCGACGAGGGGCAGGCCCTCGCCGGAGCGCTTGGACATGATGCGGAAGCCGAGGACCTCGAGGGACTGAGAGAGGTAGTCTGCAGTGCGGGTGAGGTTTGACATGATGGCGCGGTAGCCCTTCTTGCCAAGGCGGATGAGCTGGTAGTACTGGCCAATGACCTGGGAGGCGCCCTTTGAAAAGTTGAGGGTGAAAGAGGCTTGGTCGGCGCCGAGGTAGTTGATGTTGAAGACGAGCTCCTGGGGGAGGAACTCAGCGGAGCGCCAGACGACCCAGCCAACGCCGGGGTAGACGAGGCCGTACTATGTTGTGTCAGCGACTCCCGTTCCTAAGATCTCGGTATTGATGAGAAGAGGGGGCGAGGGATAATACCTTGTGACCAGAAACATTAATAGAGACGACATTCTTGAGGCGGAAATCCCACTCCAGGTCAGGCACGACAAAAGGGGCGACAAAACCTCCACTGGCGGCGTCAACGTGGATGGGAATATCGAGGTTCTTCTCAATCAGCAGGTCATTGACAGCCTTGACGTCCTCGTACTCGCCAGTGTAGGTAGTACCCAAGATGGCGCAGATACCAATCGTGTTCTCGTCAATGAGGTCGACGGTCTCCTGGGGGTCAATGACGTAGCGGTCGGGGGCGCAGTAGACGAGCTTCTCCTCGACCTCGAAGTAGCGGGCGGCCTTTTCCCAGCAGACCTGGACGGCGGAGGACATTACAATGTTGGGGTTCTCCGTAGACTTTCCCTCGGCCTTGCGCTGGTTCTTCCAGCGCTTCTTCATGGCGAGGACGGCAAGCATGATGGCCTCGGAGGAGCCGACGCACGAGGTGCCGACAGCGCCGATGCCCTCGCCCGCGCCGACGGGGGCGTGGAAGAGCTTGCCGATCATGGAGACGCAACGGTTTTGAATGTCTGCTGAAGCGGGATATTCTTCGTAGTCGATGAAGTTCTTGCTGAAGCTCTCGGCCTGCCATTTGTATACCATGTTAGATATCGGGGTGTGGTTTCGAGGACGAGGTACGCCGGTGGAAAAAGGGTTGGTGAGGATTTACCATGAGTTTCTCGGCTTCTTCTTCCTGGGGTGGGGTGTTAGCGTGGTATGTCACTGCCAATGGGGGATTTGTGTGTGGTACTCACCATGTAAGTCGTCACAAAGGAGGCCAGGCTAGATCGATTAGTGACAATGGTCAGAAATGACAAGAGCTCCATGCATGTGACGAAGAGTCGCACATATGCATATGGTGGAGGAGGGGGAAGCAGGTGGCCAGCTTACTTGAGCATGGGGTTGCCGTCGAGGCTGAGCTCGTCCTTGATCATGCGGTAGGCGACCTCCTTGGGCATCTCGCTCTCAGGCATCTCGCTCTTGGGGAGGTCCTGGTTGGCGAAGCGGGAGCCGTAGACGCTGGTGGTGTAGCCATCGTCGTGGTCAGCGAGCTGGAGCTGCACCTTCTTCAGCTGCTGCTGCACCTTGCGGAGGTTGACACCGGACGACGAGTCCTCGGCACCGGAGACGGACGCCGAGTCCGGGGGTGTGTTGACAGTTGCGAGGTGAACCATTTTGGAGTGAAAAGGAGGTGAAAATTGTTGGAAGGGTATTGAGGAGGGAGCAAGTATGCGAGGGGAACAGGAAAGTGAGCTTGGAGCGGGACGAAGGGCGATGTTTATATGAAGTCGAGAGACTGATGACTAGGTATGTGTTGGAGCTGGAGCTGGAGCTTGAGCTGGAGCTGGAGACCGAGACAAGGGGAGTGGTTTGAGAAGAGGCAGGATGGGAGATCCTAGGAGTGGGAGCGAGGGAGAAGAAAGAGAGGAGGAGGAAGAGGAGGGGCATTCACAGCATCAAGCGGAGCTGGGAGGCCGTAGCACTGCGCTTGCATCTGCACCTGCATGTGTAAGGCAGGGAGCTGGAACCGGGACGGGGGCTCCAAGGAAAAAGCTCGCTGTACTATGGACTAAGGCGGCTAGCTACCTGCGAATAGCTAGCTACCTGCCGCAGTACACCTCGGGTGGGGTGCACGGCAGAGCAGGGACATGTTCAGTAGACTTGACAGCTACAGCTCCCACCCCATGGCTGGCCCAATCCGTCCGATCCGATGGACGGGATCGCTGAGGGAGAAACGCCGAGGGAACCGGACGTGGAGTGGAAGCTCTGGTTGCAAGGAAAAAGACAGACCGAAAGAAAGAGAGAGGGCCAGCCTGCCAAGGCCAATGGCAGATGCAAGTGGGGTGACGCGCGACCTCCACTGAAGCCGGATGGCGGGGCACAAGACGGTGTAGAATGTATCCGTCCTCCGTAGGTACGGATGCTCTACGTGCCTTTACTTACCGACCTTAAGTAAGCGTGCCAAGGTATCCGTACCATACTCTTTGTGCCCAGGTACTGAGGATGCAGCTACATCATTGACGTGAAGCCAATGCAGAGAGTCCTTGGCAGGTACTCGAGAGAAGACTCGGTACATGCCGCCGCCAGTACCTCACCTCGCATACGTAGCGTAGCTAAGGTGTCAAGAGAGAGTTGCAAGTTGCCTAGTCGAGACACGTTCGACCGCCCCCCTCGTCTTCATCCACCCCTGGATCGGTGTGAAGAGCTGTGGGATGGGATGATTTGCCGCGACCCTTTCCCCCGGGAGGACCAGGGAAACCCCGAAAAGTAAATAATAAAAAAAAGGGACAGAAAGGGGCGCAGAAGAAATATCCGCAAATCAGCTTCCCAACAAGAACATAATCCAATGTCAACAGAAACGGGATGACTTTGGGATGTTGTCGCGACCACTCAATGGCGAAAAGCACGTGTTTTGCGGATGAACTGCCCAAGTGTCTCTGGATCGAGGCACGAGGGTTAAGCAGGGCGGCCTCCCTTTGTCTCGCTTCTCTCTTGCTCCCCAGTCACTCTCGCTCTTCCACGTCTCTAGTCTCTCATCCTCCCATGCAACAAACGACAACATTACCTAGCGTAAGGTAAGCTTTCCCCACGTCTCAAGGCTTCGCGGCATACACACACACACACACACACGCACACACAAGCATGCGTGTCCAAGGATCCCCAAGTCCACAAAACGACGCTACGCCCAAAGCTTGGCACGGGTGACATTTCGGGTGGCCCACAGTCCATCTACTTTCAACACATGCTACGTCAAAGAAACAGCCAAACGTCCACCGCCCCACGTTTCGCCCAATCGTCAGCAGTGCCGGTCTGCCGCCACAGCGGGCGGGCGGTCCCTGGACTGGCGCCGGCGGTGGAGAGCTGGCTCCAACCAAACCTGAACCTGGGAGCACATCGCTCGCTGCAATTCTCTCTCTCTCTCTCTCTCTCTCTCACCCATTCCCACTCGGGCTGCTTCCCTCACTGCTAGCATCCGGTTCATCGACGAGGCCCATCGTTTCCTTGTCTCAAGTCTCTGCCATGCGCTCCGTGTCTCACGGCAATGATTGGAGATGGGGACAACGGGGATGGTGGGCTCTGGATAAGTCGGCTCGGATATCAATGCCTAGCACCGTAACACAGCCTGGATCCCATTGGGTCCATTGGGAGTCCTTTTTTTTTCCTCCCCTCTAAATATGCGCTGCCGAATATCAAAATATAACATGCAAAATCTAGACAAACAAAGGAGAACGGGGGGTGGCTATACGAAATCCAAAAGAAAGCCAAGGATGAAACGAATAACCGTCCACTGCAGTAGGTCGGACGGGCGCGACGGAATATCAACAACGGCTCGCTATTTCCCTCCAGTTGCCCAATGACATCATGACCACCTGTTCACCCATCACCTCAGCCAAATCCAACCCCCTGAGAGACCAGAATCAAAGAAAGCACCATGCCATTTCATTTCCTCGCCGAAGAAACACTGTCCCCTATAATCCCTCCCCCCCAACCGCCAAGACCGTTACGCTATCCCAAGCAAAAAGAAAGGGACCAGACCTCCCCCTGGTTGACTGTCTCACTCGCAAGGCAAGGACAAGGGGGCCCGAATGAAGAAACTCTCTTTTACGTATCCACTAAAGAACCCCCCACGGATCATCAACACCGCCTCACTTTTTCCCACCACGACGTCTTCCGTTCGCTGTGGCTGAGCTTCCCATGGTGGTCCGACTTTCTATTCTCTCGCCTCTCGTAATCTCGGTGAAGGACAACCCGAACCCGGTCAGCGAACAACACAGCTCACCATCGCCGTCTCGCCTCACCTCGCCTGGCCTCGACTCGCTTGGAATCCTCCCCAGAATACCTCGTCTCAGACCAACAAACTTTTGGAACCCAGAATACTTGCTCACGATTCCCTTCGGCCCGCCCCCCGGGGCCCCACAGCTTCAGTTCCTCCGCCCCCTACTGCTCACCATTCCTCAGCTTCCTTTTGCGCAACGAAATTGAGAGCTACTTCATCTTCAAATTCCGGCAACGCCCGGCAACGCCGAGCTGGCCTCAGGTGTATGGGCCATTCATCTCCAGTTTTGGTTGCAAGTTGAGCGATAGAAACAGTCACTTTGGGCCACATGTCTCTGCCCAACCTGGTAGGGCAACTCTTCTTTGCTGTCACAAATAGTCGCCGTCTCGCTTCATGTTTCAATAATCTTTGCAACGGACGCTTTCATCCTTACTTCTCTTCTTCCAAAGACGTACTGTGCGTCTATTCCAGGTCTAAAATATGCCTGGGCCTTTGTGATCCCCGTCCCCGAAGAGGACATGAACGTCTAATCAACACAAATCACAATAGTCCCCGAGCCTTCCCAAACCGATCATGGTGCCGTTTCCCATTCATCAGCCTTCCGTCGTATCCATGGCATCATCGCCCGCAGCCCTAGCCTTGGCTGCCGCGATCTTTCCCTCTCTCCACTTCTGTATCTTCTCCTTCAGCTCCGTGTGAGGAATCGCGTCGTCCACAGTCATCGGCTGTCGCGTAAAAGGATCCTTTGGATCCGACAGCAAATGCTGCACGATGGTTCCCCGGTCGACAATGTGCTTTGATGGCAGGATGACAGGATCCTTCATCAAATCTCCCATGATTGGGTCTTCGAACTCTGCAGGGATATCTCCAAGGTCCAGTTCCGCCTGGTCCGCAATCTGCTTCGACTCAAGGAACTTGGCCTTCAATGTGTCGAGCCGCTCCAGTTCATTCGCCTCCTTCATGCTGCGTTTCGAGAGAATATAGCTAGCCTTGTCAAAGATCTCGGGCTTGTATGAGCGACCATCTGATGCCACGGCGTCGATGAATGCCTGGGATGAACCCAGGTTGAGGTAGATGTCGACAAAGTCTGACAGCAGAACCCTCGGCTGGAAATGGTACTTGGTCGGGTTGTTCACCTTGAGCTGACCCATCTTGGGTCCCGCCAGTGTTTCCAGATTGTAGTTAAGCATGCTCGCCAGACGCTGCACGATCTCAGGCATCGTGAATGCCGATGCTAATGCCGATGTGAACAGCTTCATCATCGCCAGCGTCTCATTAGCCAGCTGCATATATGAGCCCGCCTGGCCCTCCAATTGTGTCAGCTCCTCCTGCTTCTTCTCTCTATCTTGCGTGGAAAGTGCGTTGCCAAACTCCAACTCTTGCTGTAATGTGTGAATCTTTGGGAATTTTGTAAGTGCCTCGTCAAGCACGTAAGTCGCGTCGTTGAGTAGCAAGTTGACGAATTGAACAAAGAATTGTCGGTTTACCCTAGTATTTGTCAGTGGCATATCACGACATTGAATACTGGCGGAAATAGAACTGAACTTACTTGCTCTCCCTCGTCAGTTGCTGCTTGTACACATCGTTGCCCCAGACGCACTTGATGACCTGGAAGATCTCGTATCGAATGTTGAATTTGTCGTAAAATTGGGTGTTGGCACCAGTTGACTCCGCCTCGATATAGAACTTCATGAGGGCGTGCAAGAGATTGTCGTTTGCGAACTTCGATCCGTAGAGCTGATCTCCCAAAACGCCCTTCTTAAAGTGCATAAAGGGCCAAGTACCGGAAAAGAGTAACGTGACCAGAGATGATTTGAGGTAAGGGTTCTTGATGTACTCTGACGAACGCAAGAAGGCAATGCAGAGCGCAATCATCTCGCTGCCGACAGCGGATGGCATGATTTGAGGAAGATAGCGGTAGACAAACTTGAAGTTGTCGACCACGTCCTGGAGGGCATATTCTGGCAGGCATGCGAAAGCCTCGGGGGCTTGAGCGGGGAGAGGGAGCTGAAGATCCTTGTCTGGAGTGTAGTGGGATTGGCTGGCAAGGCGAAGGAGCCACACGGCCACGTATCGCATGAAGCGAAGGGACAGTTCTTGCATCTTCTCGTCCAGGAAAACACCCTCAATGGCAAACTTCATGGCAATTGCCTTCTCCAGGACGGTAGTGTGACGCTTGAGTGTCAACTCAAACATAGCAAGCTGCTGTGGTTGGTTCTGAACCTTGACCCGCTCAGCTTCCATGGCAGCCAAATGCTTCTCGTACCACTTGATATCTCTTTCCAGGCTCTTGAGTTTCGAGTTTGTTGCCTCACTGCCGTAGTGGTGCGCAGCCAAAGTCAAGAAGAAGACCTCGGAAATGAAGTTTGAGTTGCCTTCAGACTTGGTGGCATAAAATGCATCGGACGCCGATTGATCTGCATTGAGCTTTGTCTCCTCCTTGATGTTCACACGGGGGCTGCGACGGAAGTACTCAACCTCGATTCTGTCGACCTTTGAGAACGTCGTGTCCATGAATGGAGAGCAGAACCGATCCAAAACGACGGTCAAATTCATCATGAAGCCGTCTGAAGATACCTCTTTAGGATCGACTTGCAGAGCCCTGCGCTTGTGGTTGCCGTTGATAGCGGAGGCAAACCAGTCGAGTACACGGCTTCGGGTGTCGGTGTCTGCTCGGATAAAGGCATTGGCGATTGTGAAGAGCTCGTCCTGGTGGACTCGAAGAATGGCTCGCAGAGCATCTTGGGATGGGGCAGCCCGAGTCCGGTCAAGGCCACGGGGATTTGGGAAATACGTCATCGTCACCTCGGATTGCAAGGGAGATATGCGGAAGAAGGGACCGAGAATTGTCTCCCTCTCAATATGGGCACCCAGGGTTTGAGTAGTCATGAAGTTGGGATGCTGCGCCAAAGCATTCAGAAGAGGCGGGAACTTTGTGTATGACATTAAAGCCTATCAGGTCTTGGCATTAGTATTGGTCTATCCCAAAGGCACGAGGGCGATTGAAAGAAATAGCGAACAACAGTGATGCCGGGAAACTCACACTGATGTATGGCTTGTAGTCGTCCTCCATGGTCAAAGTCGAAAGCTTGGTGCTGAGTGTGTGCATGGCCTCGGCAAAAGCAACTGGGAATTGATCATCCTCAGGAAATCGCTTCACAGCCTCCCGCAAGAAGTCCAGGCAGACTCCATCGTCCTGTTCATGTCCTTTGAGCAGATATGTGACCAGGCTCTCGGGACGTGATCGTCTAATACCATCTGTCAGTAATCGAAATGCACATGGCACATCGACTTACCCAAAGAGATCCGGTATCGTGAGCGCAAACAAAGAGTTGCTGACGCAGAGTCTCTTTGCCTCCTCGAGTACCTCCCTCTTATCCACCGTCTCTTTCAGTATGTTCGTCCGGACGATTCGCTTGAAGGAGGGTAGCAAATAGCCAAGAAGAGGCTTCTCGGCGGGGATAGCAGTGACGGCCTCCAGCAAGGCGCTATCGAGGATGGAGGTGGTCAGCTTGAGCGGTGACCCGTTCTCCTGGAGCTCTTGGCTAGCTTCTGGCAGGAAGGTAAGCTTGTGGCCATGGGCGTCGACCACTCGCTCGGGATCGACTGTGATCCGGAAGACATGGCTGAGCGTGCGATCTGAAAAGTCGTCCAATGACTCCTCTGTGTAGGCCTTCTTCGCGGGAGCAGGTGCGGGTGTGCGGTCAGAGGCGACTCGCTTGTTGCTATCTGGGGCATTTGAAGGAGCTGGCGACGAAGCACCACTTGCGGACCTGACACCAAGCTGTGTGAAGGGATTCGAGGCGACGGGTTTCGGTGTAGATGAGAGCGTCGTATCTGCCGAGGCCTTGGTAGCCTTGCCTTCGCTCGTTGCGGAGTTTAAGGTCTCGACGTCCGCTGACGATTCTCCCTCCGGCTTAGGAGATCTGGTCGATGAGCCAAGCTTCGCGAGGCGTCGAAGTCGGATCTAGACAGTTTGATCAGAAAGGTTCATTTACTTTCGGGGTTCAGCCCGAGAGTCATCGCGGTCGTTTCCATGAACAGCATTGTTGGCTATATGCTTGTCGATTGCGCTCGCAACATGGGGTCCTAAAGTCATCGTCGTCGTCATCGTAGGCGAAAGTCGATGAGAACGGTAGCAAAGGCGACGGCGTTAAGCGAAAGTGAAAAGAAACCAGATCAAGCAGCTGACGGAGAGCTCAGGGGTAGGTTGGGAATCGTGGGAGGAAGGGAAGCAGAGTCCTGGGAGGAAGAGGACGAGGAAGGGCAGCAGCTCTTACATCGTTCATCTTCTTGACGTCGGGCGCATCAGATGCTTGGTTGCCCTCGTTGGTATCCATCGCGGGTGATTTTGGTGCTGTTGAGCAGCGGTCAAGAGAATCAATCCGTTTCTCGCGAGGCTGACGATGGTGCGCGATTGACGTTGCCAATTGCGTGGGAACAGAGACGAGGTGCGTTGGCGGGACGTTGACGTACAGGGCCTCGCGAAGTTGAGGTAGGTAGGTAGGTACGTTACTGTGTTGGTAGGCAGACGCAAGGTACGGCCAGACAGGTTGGTGGGGGAGCAGGCGGTCAATGTGGGGCGAAGGCGGACCTGGGGAGTGCTATGGAATGGTCCCCTGCCATAGGCTGTTAAGTCCGATGTGGAGCATCTCCGATAAGCGGACAAACAAAGTCCGCCGCGTTTGGAATGGCTGGTATGTCTCAATTAGTAAGCTCAGGCTTCCTCGCTCACCTCATGTTTTTGGTTCCAAGAGATTCTACTCAGTTAGCAGTGCAGGTTAAAGCATCAAATAATCCATGAACCACTGGGTTGTTGGCTGTGGTTGTCCATGTGGATCGCATGACTTTGGATCGCATGACTTGGGCCCTTGCACGCTTTGGATCTTCTTAGACGTCAAGCGGTTGGCATTAAAAGGAGGCCAACAAAGGAGCAGCGGTTAAGCATACCTAAAGATGGAAGCTGTACTGATATTGGCCGTTCTACCTTAGACGCCTGTCCGTCGCACCCAAGGAGGAGAGGGTCGATTGGACTCAAGAGGCCCCTAAACCCCTTACTACATACATATGCGGTGAAATTCCCCTGTCACCTGGTCTGAAGCGATCGAAACTTCAGACGAATGGCATCCGATGCAAAAATGTACGTCATTAGGGGTGGCGATGAGGCCTTCCAAATTTCTAGTCTTTGCTTCAAACACGGGGTCTGTCGGGGTACCGCCTTTGGGTGCCCAACTACACTTGGAACTCGGGCATCGATCATGCTGAAGGGCCAGGTTGGAAGCACCCGGAAACATCACAATATGAACAGTGGAAAGAACATTGCAAAGCTGCCTCCTTGTGTTTATGAGACTAGATACAAGACCAATTTTGTGTCAATGGGCGTCTGGCTGAACTTGCAGACCACCACCACAAGGGTATTTCCGTGCCTTTCCGTTCCGCGTTTCGTTCCTTTGTCCCCGTTTGTCCCAGACGCCAGATAAAATCAAGAAATTTCAGTAGTACAGCCAGACTCAAGTCCGGAGAAGCAGGGGAAACAAGGCAGTGGGGAGTCCGTCGTGGTCGATGTGAAGTGAGGAGAAGACTGCGACTGTAGCATTTCTCTCCCCTACCTTGCATCCAACCAATATCTGAGCTCCTCGTAGCATACGCATCAACGCCTTTGTGCGGCTTTGAACTTAGTCCGACCATGTCAAGTCGCCCCCAATTCCAGTTATATATGCAAACTTCCCCAAAGCTAGACAGGATCATGATATGCTCAGTCCAGGGAAGACATCTCATAGACGAGGGATGCCATTTGATCCATCACTCAGCCGCCGAGATGTACTAGGGGTAGCCTCGCCATCGCTGTCGGAGCTGCCTCGCGTCCGACTCGTGCTGCCAACACTACGGTTGGCCAAGCGGCTACGCTCGACTTCCTCGCGGCTCTTGTTCATGAGCCACGCCATATGCATCTTGAGTATGCCCAGGTTGCTCCTGATCTCGGTAATCTGATCCTTAATCGGCATGACCTGGTTCAGGACCATCACTGTCTGACGGCCCTCGAGGTCTGTGAACTCCTTCTTGAGCTCCTCCATGCGACGCTCCATGTCTTCGTAAATGGTCATGACAGCCTCGGTAGGTTTGAACTTTGGGCCGCCTTGGACGTTGTTCAGGTTGAACACGTCGTCCCAGGAGATACAATCTCGACGCTCGTCCTTCATCTCCATGATTTGTCGTTCCTGCTCTTCCGTCTGCTTCTGTAATTTCTCAATCTGTTTCTCTTGCGATTTGACCTTGTCGCCAACGAAAGCGACCACCCTGTACATACACTCGTCTTGATGTGCCCTGAGTGTCTTGCGAAGTGCCTCGTGCTTGCAGCCGTAATCATGATATGTGCAAGGGACAAAGGTTTCCGGGCATTGGTCGTCGCGATGCTGGCTCAGCTCAGACAGCTTGATGACCTCTCCACACTCTGTACAGTCTGTCATGTTTTTGGGGCACATTTTACTGATGTGGTCGGCCATCGACGCCGCTTCCATCTTCTCCTCGCAGTACTCGCAAGTTTGCTCAAAGTGCCAGCACTTGCCAGAGACGGCCAGCCACTGTTCCACCCTCTTGTCACATGTTTTCTCGGGGCAGTCGTGCAGCGTGTACCGACAGTTGATTGTGTGCTTGACGACTTCGTCGCGCTTCATCTTTTCGCCACATCCTCGCTCTGTATTTGGGCATTCGACCACCAGACTGTCGAGGATATTGGTGAGAAGCCTCGACGTCTTGCAGTCCCTGGCTCGGAATCTCGTCCGGTCGATGGGACAGGTGTCGGAGGAATGAACATGGCGCTTCAGGCATTCGAGACAGAAGGTATGGTCACATGGTGTAATGATCGGGGTGATGACTGGTAGCTTGCAGATGGGGCACAGCAGGTTATCGTCGGGTTCTTCGACATATGTAAGAGCAGAAAAGTCGACAAGGTCTTTGACATGACTGGGGTTGATGGAGTATCGTAACGCTTCCCGCGTCGCAAGTTCCTCGACAGGCCACTGGGTCGAGGTTCGCGCTGTTTGTCTCGTTGTCAGCTAATTGGACCCGGAGCTGAATCCGGGTAGGTTCAACAACTCACGTGTCAGGGGAATTGGGACTTCCTCGACGGACCGCACGGCATTTTCGACGAGGTTGTGTACGAGATGGGTGATGGCCGCGTCTTCGATGGGGAAGCCTGAATGCGACATGATTGTGGACGCTCCTCTCGTTATCGGTTGGGCACACTTAATGTAGTAGAGAGGATTGCGAAATATCCAGGAGCACCATGTTTGGGACCAAGGAATGGGAGGAGGGCGGGCTGCGGTGTTTCCCCTCGTCCTTCGGGTTGTGACGGAGGAGCGGGTTCTGCTGCGGCTGTGGATATCGTCTGGTGGCGCACAGGGCGAAGCTCCGGAGCAGGCACGGTTGAAGAAAGTGGAGGTTAACAGATGCAGGTGAGGCCCAATCCAAATAGACTCGAGTGCAGCACTGGAGACTTTCGGCAACGGGGTGGGAGGTGACGTGACTCGAGCCGAGGGTCCTTGTTCCTTGTCCCCGATAAGCCGATAACGCTGGGGAACCGGCCGCTAAAGCAACGTGTAGATAAAGTATGCACGGCCGCAGGGCACAGTCCCCGCACATGGCATTGCCTGCCAAATTGCATGTGCTCGCTTTGGCCGATCCCGCTTTATCTTTATGAATTAGCTATTTTCATCCATCGAGAAATGCGGATATGCATCTTCCAGTTCCCATTGATGACGTAGATCGACCTCATTGCAACCCAACTTAGCATTGCAAAGAGGATATTGCTTGGTTGACACAGCTCCTTGATCAACTGATATATGACCATAAGGTTCTGTAAGTTGATTGACATAAGACATTCACTCTCTCACCTAGTGCCTTGCCAAGATACATAGAGTACAACCGACTGATTAAATGCTCCAAAACGTCCTCTCTAAGGCCTATTTGTCTCATGGCAAGTCAAACTTCAACTTCATCCGGTTCTCCTGCACTCTCTTCTCCAGCTCCCCACCATCATCAGCATAATGCGCCAAGTTAATCGCCAAATCCGCCCACATAATGCAATCGTCGTCTTGTCTGACATTATACGCGTCCACAGCCTGGTTGAAGGCCACGGTGACGAGCCACTCGAGCTCTTCAGCCGGGAACGGATGCTGGCTCTGCGACGACAGTGTTAGCCTTTGCCTTTCCTAAGAAACCCCAACCATGATTTTCAGTAGAAGAAGAGATGACAAGAGTGAAGGAGGATAAGCAGAGAACAAACCTTGCGAGAATCCCTTGCCACGTCGATAGCCTGCTTCATTAGCCTTTGACCGAGCGCCACATCGAGTGGTAAGACGGCGTGGAACATGCACCGGATGTACTTTGCCAGCTTGTCGCCCTTCATCCTTTCGAGCTCCTAGATCTCGTTGACGATGACGCCGAGCGTGGAATAGAGTGCTGCGGAAAAAGAAAACACATAACCAGTTAGCTAGCTGCTTAGCCCTTGCCAAGATCCAGGACAGAAAACCCAGAGCGGTTGGTGGCTTACCGTGGCCAGGCAACCTGCCTCGCAGCGCAATATCCCCCATCGCCTTGAGCGTATCCACATCCCGACATGTCACCGCGGTGCGAATAATGCACCCCAGGTCGTCAACCTTCTTCAACGCCATCGCCGCCTCAAAATCAAAAACCATCAGCGTCGCAAGCTTGGCCGTCAGGTCGCTCTTCAGCCTCTTGTCCAGACCGTTGCTCATCTGCTTCTCCAAAGCCGCGTTATAGGCTACGACATGCCTCCGCATGACGAGGTAATGTTGCAGCTGCTGCTCAATGTTGTCTTCTGTCCGGGCGAGCGACACCAAAGCGGCGGCCGCGATAAAGTCGCAAAACATTGTCCTGAATGCGAGGTCGCTCGCCGCTTCGGCGGGAAGGTCTATTGGATAGTGCGCCGCGATGGCGAGGCAGCTGTTGTAGAGCCGGATGAGATGCCTGACGTCCCAGCTGTCTGAGTGTTTGAGGCCCAGGTTGTATGCGTTCTGGCAGAACCAGTCGAGTTCCTTGATAGTGAACAACCGGTTGCCATCCTCATCTTTAGGGTCTCGCTGGACAGCTTTGACAGCTGAGAGATGACATGGTCAATTCATGATATGAGCGGTTGGACGACACACTCTCACCTCCTTCAAACAATGCAAGCACTTCGTCCACCGCACCTTGTCGTTCTTTCGCACCTTTTTCGCTCTCGGCGACTGACACTGCAAGCCGGATATTACATCGCAGAAGCGCCGGGAGATGGATCGGAGACGTCTCGCTGAACTCAAACTTCTCTACCAACTGCTTGAGGGCCTGCATCGCGCAGACCCTATCCCCGGCCTGCTGTGCCTCGAGGACACAAGCATAAAGAAAGTTCGGGTCTCGATCCGCCGCTGCACCCACTCGTTCCAGGCACTCGGCAGCCAACTCTCGGTCTGCTGAACGCAGGGCAGCCTTGTACATCAGGTACCTCGTCATCGGCTCGTTCTGTGCTGCCTCTGTCATGCTGTGAAAGACTTGCCGTGCCCTTTCGGTATCATTTCTCCCCAAGGCACAGAGAATGAGCTTTCTATAACGATCAGCGCGGGTGTACTCGGGGCTCCAGGAACATACGCACCTGCCGAGTCTCGACATATTCGCAGGTCCGCCGTTCTGGAACAGAGGCTGCAGGGCTATCTGACACCAGCCGTCTGCAAAGTCGAAGTGTCCTTGGTTGTAGTTGACCTCAATCTTTTTCCAAATGAGCTGCTCAAATGTCAGTGATTTGCCAAGTTCCCTCTCCGGACATGGCTCACAGTCAACGCCCCAACTGACGTAGAAGCCCCAAAGGCTTGGCTCAAATTATCTTGCAGCCCTACCAGGACCCCCATCAGCTCTTCGATGGCTCTCATACCATTCCTCTGCGTCGTCTCCATCCATATCCTCAACAGCACCAACCTCTCGGCCCACTCTGAGCGTCCGGAAGTGAAAATGGTGCCCCTGAGCATCCCATCCACAACGCTCGTCGCCAGCGTCGGGCTCTTGTCGTGCAACTTGCGCGCATGATGCACCAGAAGTTTAAAGTGCGCCTCGGAGAAGTTGAAAGACCGCACCATCCGCCTCAAGATGTCAGCGTAGGCCTCAACGTCAAAGACCTCGGCCGGTGCCCTTTGCAAAAGATCTAAGCGAAGAAGCAGGACGACGGGCTTGTCGCCAATCTCGGACTCGATGTAGTTGACCAAGCCCAGTGCCTTTTGCGAAGTTTCTGGCGTGTTCATACCCAGCAGCGCGTGGATCAGGGCCTGGCAGACGGAGAGGCGCAGCTCGATGGCGTCGCGGGAAAGACGCGCCAGGTCATGGGCGTTGATGATGTCGTAACCCCGTTCGAGCCATCGTACCGCCATGGCAAAGTCGTTCTTCTTGGAGAGATCCTTCCCGATTTCGAACAAAACCTCTGCCATCTTCTCGGCTGAACTTGGATCGAGCGCGCTTAGTTGGAGGTGTCCCTTGGTGTACATGAACTCCATCACGGGCAAGTTATCCGTTTTCCAGGCCTACGCAGTCAGCTGTTTGAACAGTCTATCTTGAAAGCCAAGGGGGACTTGCCAGCGCCGCTCGAAGTATGAAATATTCAGCTTCCAGCCGCTTACATTCTGCCAAGTCATCTGGTCCTAACATGGTCGTCTGCAGCTTCTCCAACGCTGCATTATACTCCGCCCCCTTTTCAAAGATGGTCTCGGCAAGCTTCAAGGCACTCGAACTAGTACCGCCGTCTTCTGTGCGCCCGTGAGAAACGGCCGCTTCCTTCCAGTCACACCTCGGCCGAACTTACCAAGACACGTCTTCCCAGCCTTGAGCGCCAGCTTCATCAGATGCACCACGTCCGCAAGCTGGGGCTCGGCGCACGCCGACACACCTCTCGCGATGCTGATCATGAAAAAGGCATAGGTCCTGCTGCGCAACAGCAATTTCTTCCTCGCGGCCGGCGCCCCGTCCACACTATCGCGACGTTGTCGGGTGCACAAGTTCCAGAGCTCCGTTCCTCTCTTGTCGAGTTCCGACCTTTGAGGCTTTGCCGTCGATTTTGCAGAGAAGTGGACGATCGCCTCGAGCTGCGGATTGAGCTCTCCAAGCAACGCATCGATGGAGAGGGTATCGTTTGCGGCGAGGAGACGCGTCGAGAAGTCCCGCGAGAATGCTGCAAATGACATCAGTCAAGGAGACATTGAAATTGGTCTGGGATACAACGGACTAGCGAAAGCTGAAATCTTGTCGAGATTGTTGCTCTTTGGCGACTTCGCTTGGCGTAGTGGGGGCATTGTGGCAGATATAAGATGTCGAGATCAAGAACGCGTCGGGGTGAGGCCGGAGGTGATCTTAGGGGATATGGACTTATTGTTCAGATGAGAGCAAGTTGGGGCTGGCGAATCGGCCGAGGGCGCATACTACTGTCGGTCTGGGGAGGTTACCTTACTCAGTGGAGGACGAGGAAGTCGAACCAAGGAAGACGAAGAGATGACCTCCGAAGGTGCCAAGTGTCAAGTCCTCCACGGAAGGCACAAACAGCACGGTGCTTCCCCCAACATTGGCAAGCACCGGCATCCGGATGTGGGGTCGTTGCAACCCGCCTCCGGCCTGGAAGAGACAGCAGAGGCCCGAACCGCATGGCTTCGACCCTGATGAACAGCCATTCCTTTGAACACCAGCCAAGAAAACGAAAGTCATGAATCAAATGTACTAGATGTGCCTGTTATGTACTGGCGGCGAACTTTCCTCTCGCCGATGCAAAAGAACGTCTCAAAATGCAACCAAACCGAAGAATGCCCTGGTATCCAATGACGCCTGCCCCCTGATTTTTTGTTGCCAACCCCCAAACCTAGGTATTCCAAGAGGCCCTCTGAAATGCAAATGGTTACGGCCGGGCTAGATCGTTGGGCAAAAAGTTACCTATGATGAGCGTAGGGCTGCGTACTGTCAGCTTTTTGAAAGACCCGAGACTCAAGGATGGGCGGGTACGCACATTTTGTGATTATCTCGTTGAATCATGAAAGAAAAGCAGCAATGAACCACCGGATCTGTTGCCTTGTCGTCTGGGTTCTTGAGTGTGCAGGCTGTAAGCAGCGTATCGTGAGCAGGGTCGAAGGCAATCGTTCCAAACTCTTCCCAATATCGAACGAGAGACTCTTCTGTCAAAATCTCATGCAGCGAAATTTTGCCCTATCACTTGGTTAGCTGCGACCAAGCTCCGACTGCCACAAAGTGACTCAAACTCATACGTCTCGTAGGTTCTCGACAGGAACATGCAGTAGCTCCGCCATCTCATTATTGCCTCTGAAGATCTCTCCAGTTCTCCTCCAACAGCACGCCGGCACCGCCATACTGGCAAACACACGATCATACTCCATGAGCTGTTTCTCAAACCACATCTCCACGTAAAGTAGCTCCATGTCCGTGAGCGCTTGCGCCTTTTCGCGGAACTTGGGTCGGAATCGATCAATGGTTCGGAGAATTTTCTGCTTGGATGACGGCGCAATGTGGCCATCCAGGTACGTGCCCAGCCGCGCGTAGCCCTTGACGTAGTTGAATGGCTTCAAGAGGCCGGCCTCGTACTTGGCTTTCAACACGCGGTCCATACGCTCCTCGGGCGTGTCGTTTCCGGACGGATCGGCCGCCTGAAGGTAGTATTCGCGCGCCTTATCTTTGTCGCTCTGAACGATGCTACCCGGACGGGATATCGCCTTGCCCTGCTCGAGGTTCTGCGGGGGCAGCATTTGCGAGAGCGCATTGTTGCTGTTGCCAGCACCGGCCCGATTGTTACCGTTGTGGTTTCCAAACGTCGGCAGCATATCGTTGGCGCCCGCTGTCCTGCTGAAGGCGGGGCTGTTTTGGGACTCGTCGGAGACGATACCGCCGTCGTCCAGTAGACTTGTCTGCAGAAAGTCATTCAGTAGATTGAACTCGTGGGTGACTTCGGGGGCGATCATGTAGTTGTTGGGGTGGTAGCTCTGCATGTCGTGGTAATGGTTCTGCGCCGTCAACCAGGCATCGGAAAATCCAGCGACTATTGGGGGCGCATCACATCAGCTTCTGTATCTCTAGTTGAATCTGCTTGTTTCCTTGTCTTTCGTCGAAAGTGCAGGCCTGTGCGGAAGAAGCAAGGAGCCCCCAAGCATGAACGGCACTGTACTATCGAAAGGGGCAAAGCAAGGCAACGGGCCGGGACCTACATTGGTTCACGTTGCTGCCGTTTCCCGCCATGCCGGTGCCAGCTCCTGATGACACGAGGTGCAGCGGGTTCCCCTGGCCCAGTACGGCGGTGCTAAAAGCAGACGCTTTCCTGTCGAAAGGGGGCGGCGGGCCCATGGACCCGGTCGCCGATTGGTCGATGGAGCTTCTCGTGAGCTCGGATTGCGTCGTCTCGGACTCGTCGACGGCGGAAGGCGCGTGAGAGCTCTTGGCCTTCTTGGAGTCGGCTTCGCGGGGCTCATCGTGGCAGAGGTGGCCAATATTGCGCTTGATGCATCTTGTACACGGTCGTTCCTGGACACGACAGGTCAGCCTGTGTTGTACCAGCCAAGCAAAGATATGCGCGCGCGCTTGCGCTCGCGCAGGTGTCCCGGGAAGCCGAGTGGACGGGGGGGACGGGGGAGAGAGAGAGAGAGAGACAAGCCGCATAGACGCAACCGGTCATATGTCAAAGTTGTGTGAAGAAAGAGATCTTACATACGAGATCGCATGTCATATGCTACGGAGCAGGCAAGACACTATCCGTCAGCCATCTTTTCTCTTTCCCGCTGTGTTATTTGACCCTGCCGTCCTCTTTCCGCAGGGAGAAGATGCTTGCGCTTATATGCAGGCAGGGGTTCGGTGGCAGGCAGAGCATCGCACGACAGCAAGAGCAGGACACACAATAGTGTCAACGCCATGCGCAATGCCGGGGACGCAATATCAACTATGGTGGTCGGGTAAGGGCTTTCTGACTTACAGATCGCCGGCAGTAAACGCAAGCTGGGAGGGCACAGGAAATTAGCTGGTGCTTCCGCACACGAGTTGAAGCAACGAGAAGGGTCAATGTTGCAGCCGCGCCGGCAGTCTCAAAGGGAGCCCACGGATACGGCGCAGCAAGGCATAACCCATACGTACCGTGGTTGACCTTGCGGCGCTTCTTGGGGCTCTTGGCCGAGTGAGCGTGACCGCCATTGTTCTCAGTCTTGTCGCGCTTTTCCTTTTCGTCTTGCGCTTCAGACTTTACGTCCTTGCCGTTCTCTGGCATGGCGAAAGGCCGGGCACGGCTGATGGCAGCGGTACGGGTGGTGGCCGTGGTGGTAGTATATGGTGGAGGGCGGGTTCGGAATCAGTTCAATGGGGTAGCGGCTCCCATTGGGCCTCGAAGGTTACGCAGCGGACGAGGGTTCGCAGATCATTTGACACCGGTGGGGAGGAGGGATGTTGATCGGCTGTGGTGCTTTCGCAGGTTCGCGTAAGAATTGGGCGTTGCGGGCTTCTGCAGGCAGAGTGGGAGGGAAAACGAGGTTGTCGCGTGCGGGCAGCCGGCGGGCTGAGTTCGGCTATGCTTGCTTGCTTGCTTTCGGATTGCTCCCGCGCCTCGAGCTCTCAAGTTGGACACGGATTGCAGGGGATCAGTGGGATATGGCCGATGCTTTTCCGGGTCGTGGTCCTCGTTTGCTCGTTCGTTTGTTCGCGTCGGGTCCGGGGGTTCGTAAGATCGTGGGCGTTTTCGAGCGTTGTCGCAGCGTCTCGCCGTGGGGTTTTGGTGTTGGTGTTGGTGTTGGTGGTGGTGGAGGCTTTGCAAGTCGCATGGGAAAGAAGAAAAAATGGGTGCGGGCTGTTGCAAATGATGATCGGTCCCAAGGGAATGGGAGCTGAACCAGGCGAGAGGGAACCAACCTGGTTGGTACCTTGGCTGAAAGCTTCACAAACAAGGAAAAGAAAAAACGACAACGGGCAGAGAGCAAGCCGCGAATTTGCCATGGGAAGTGGGTTGGCAAAATTGAGCACCCGGCGTTCCTTCCCATCCACTTCATTACATTAGCCTTTGAGATGGGACAGGCAAGATCGGCCCAAGTTTAGAGCCGGCCAGGCGCAGGGGAGCGTCGATGTTGTTGGTGTGCTGCGGGGATGCCGCCCGCTCTCACCTTTAGTGCATTATCATCTTACTCGGTTTTCACTCATTCAACCATCCCTCATTCGCCAACCTCAAATCACAATAGAGCATCACAAGAGAGTAGCACAAATGACCTCTCTCTCTCTCTCTCTCTCTCTCTCTCTCTCTCTCTCTCTCGCGCGCGCGCGCTATCTCTTTGCATATGACCATAACAAAAAGTTCACCGACAATACGATCACACCTCCTCCCAGCTCAATACCCAAGCCTGGACGCAACTGGACAGAGGTGTATTACAACCTGTAATCTTCATGTAACATCCCCCCTCAACCGGTCGGACGTCGCCCGATGAGACAGGAACCGAAGAGAGAAGGTAGAGAGAGAAGAGAGACTTGATTCAATTTCCCCGCCTCCTCTTCATCCGACCTGTCATCTTTTACCTCGGTGAAAGTCTTACCAGTCAACGAAACCTTTCATCGCACCAAGAACTCGGGAACATTGGGCTACCTCGGTCAATCTATCCTGTGTTCCATTCAACAATGATATCACCAGCAATGCACGGCACAGACATTTCCAAACGAAGGAATCCACCCGATGTCGACGTCAATGCAGGTTCCCTTCTGCCCTACGGACTATCTTTAGCTTCTCGCTGGACCTCCAGCATTGGGGCAGAACTCCCTCTACTACCACCGTCGCATCCAGCCAAACGAGAGTATCTCTTGGCTCTCGAGAATGACAGGCAAACAAAGTGGTCCTCGTCGTCCCATCTTCTTAGCCCACCTTACCTACCTGACTGACGTACCTGAGCTCCCCAACGCTCCAACGCCAGCAAATTAAACATGAAAAAAACCAATCGCTGAGATTCTCCAGTCGGCTGCAGCATGCAATGTAATGTCAGCGTGAAACCGCAGCCCGCCATTCGGCCCAAATTTTTTCTTTGCTTCTGGTCTTAGGCTTCCAGTCTCAGCTGAAGAAAATCACTAATTACCTACCCCTTCATCCATCGCCCCGGCCACCCCGGCCCCAAGGTCCCCCCTCCCCCTCATCGTCCCATCTCTCTCTGCTCACGAGACTTGGCGATTTGGGGGCGCATTCGAGATCGCGTGATGCCCTGCCTGCCTACCTTTCCGAGCATTGCAAGTGCTGGACATTTCTACTGTACTTCTTTTTTGGAAGCATGTGAATAGGCGTCTCATAGGTGCCAATTGAGCGTTCAAGATGGAATGAGATGGCACAAGATATCGTAGCGTCTACCAACTTCGCCTGTTTCTCTACCAATGGTAGACCTTGACCCGCCACCAAGACGACCCCATGCAAAAACGAATTCTTGGCGCCCATTGCTAAATGGCTACAAAAAAGCTCTTCTCCCCCTCCTTCGGCAGCACCCTAGCCCTCCTCATAATCGGATCCTCGCAGCTTAGCCGAATCCTCTCGGGTGTAGCCGGACTCTCGAGCCTGAGTAGGCCATCCCCCTCCCGGTCCTCCCCGACCGTCGCCTGCACCCCGTACTGCGCTCTCGACGCCTTGAGCGCGTCGCGTATGGCAAAGAACACGGCGCTGCCCATGAACAGCGGTGGCTCGCCTACGCCGCGCGACCGCTGGATCGTCCGCAGGTCCTTCCACTCCACGTCCTTGAGCAGCGTCACGTTGAACTCCTGCGGAATGTCGCGGAACCCGGGGATCTTGTACGCCCCCGGACCCCGCGTAAAGAGGTTACCCGCCATCGGCCCGTTCCGGAGCCAGAGCGACTCCTCCATCGTGAAGAGGCCGAGACCCTGCACAAATGCGCCCTGGATCTGTCCGTAGTCGAGCGCCGGATTAATGGAGTGCCCGACGTCCATCTTGATGTCGGCGCGCAGACACGTCCACGTCCCTGTCAGGGTGTCGATCTCGACCTCGGCGGCCGTGACGCCCTGCGTGAAGTAGAAGAACATCTTGCCTCGGTTCTCGCCCCATGTGTAACCAATCTCGGGCGTCTTGTAGAACCCTTGCGCCGAGAGGTTCACGCGGTCAAAGTACGCAGCGTGTGCCAGGTCCTTCATCGTGGCGCCCGGTCCCAACTTCTCCCTGTACGGCGCCAGGCGCTCGTTCAGCTGCGCGCACGCGTTGTAAATGGCGTAGCCGTTGAGGTCTGACGAGGCCGACGCGGCCGTCGCCGAGGCGTTGGCCACCGTGTTGGTCGCTGTCTCGGAGATGAAGACGTTGTCCAACGGCACCTGGAGAGCTTGAGCGGCAATCTGCGTCATCTTGGTGTGCAGGCCCTGGCCCATCTCCGTACCGCCGTGGGCCACCAGGACGGATCCGTCATGATAGATGTGCACGAGGGCACCCGCCTGGTTCAGGAAGAGGGCTGTAAAGGATATGCCGAACTTTGTCGGGATAATAGCGAGACCACGCTTGCGCCACTTGTTGCCGTGGTTGAAGGCTCTGATGAGCTCCCTCCGCGACTCGTACTTTGCCTCTTCCTGTACTTGCTTGTACATCAACGGCACGTGCCAGTCAGTCAGAGGCTGGTTAAAGTGCGTCGGCTCCAGTGGCTTATAGAAGTTGATCTCGCGGAACTTCTCAACCGGCATGCCCAATCGATCCGCAACCTCCTCCATGTAAGTCTCGGCGATAAACATGCCCTGAGGCCCACCAAACCCTCTGAATGCCGTGTTTGACATTGTATTGGTCTTGCACAGCCGGCCGCGGATAAAGACGTTGGGGATCCTGTAGCAGCCGTCCGAGTGAGACATTGCTCGCTCGCAGACGGCCGCGCTCAAATCAAACGTCCAGCCGGCATTGTTGAAGACGTCGAGATCCAGCGCTTGGATCTTGCCGTCCTTGTTCACGCCAACCTTCCATCTTCCCAAGAATGGATGGCGCTGTCCTGATGTGACCATGTCCTCCTCTCTTGTCAGCATGTAGCGACAGGGTCGCTTGGTCTTCCTCGCCGCAAGTGCGAGCGGGGCGCTGAGCTGGATCGACCTCGTCTCCTTGCCTCCAAAGCCGCCGCCCAGTCGCTTGACGCGGACGACAATCTTGTTCGCTTGTACGCCCGTCATCCGGGCAACGAAGACTTGTCTACGTGTCGTTAGTAACAAGAAAGAAAAAGAATTGTCTCTAGGAGTAGGCCTACGTTTCGTTGGCGTTCTGGGTGCTGGAAAACACCTCCATCTCTCCATCCTCGAGCTTTGGAACCACCAAAGAAGCCTGCGTCTCGAGGTAGAAGTGCTCTTGGCCGCCCATCCGCGCCGTGCCGGTGAAGATGTGATCGCAGTTCTTGAACGCCTCTTCGGTGTCACCGTTCTTGATCTCTCGGTAGTAATTATGGAAGCTGTCCTTTTCAATCGCTTCCTCGATCGTAAGGATGGACGGAAGGTCCTCGTACTCGATCTTGACTGCGCGTGCGGCCTCCGCGGCCCTGGACGCCGAAGTTGCCAAAATCATGGCGATGGGTTGGCCGGCGGTGTGAACCTCCCCCTCTGCAAAGAAGAGCTCGTCGAAATGGGGGGCTCCCCAGCGGTTCTGCTCAGGGGTATCAACGTCGTCCTTGTCAATGTAGTCAACGACGCCAGCCATGTCCAAAGCGGGCGAGTAGTCTATCGACTTGATCTTTGCGTGAGCCTTTGTGGACAGCACGAAGCAGCCATGCAGCTCGTTTCTCAGCATCGGAATATCGTCAATGTACTGTGCTTCTCCAGTGACCTGCTTCAATGCGGCAACGTGGCTCTTGGACTGGCCCACGGTCTTCTGCTCGTACGCAGTAGCCGCGCCATGGTCTTCAGTGCCGCCAGAGATGCCGCGCTCGAGTTCGTCAATCGCCTCAATATCCACATGCTCGCTTTTCCCACCGAGATTGGTGATGACGTCGTGGTAGAACCGGTAAAAGAAGCTCAAGGCAAGGGCCTTTCGATACGAGGCCATGCCTCCGGGGACGCTGAACTGCAGGTCAAAGTCGGTTCCCAGGGCATTCATTGCTCCTTCAAGGGTCTCTAGTTCAGCAATGCGCTTGCCCACCAAGTATTCCATGGTATTCTTCGCGGCCACGGTCATGGCGGCCATTCCACCGTAGATGAGATTGCATTCGATGACTACGCCGTCGTCGTCCATCTTGATCCGTAGAGCGCCAGTCACGATGGCAATGTCGTCGTCTTTCCTCTTGGCCTGCTTATATGCTCTAAAGAACTCGTTCTTGGAAGCTGTCACGGGTATCCTGATGGAGGCGATGATAGCGTCTTGAGGGAGTGCTGTGCGTCGATATCCTGTGAAGAACTGCGACATGGGGATCTCGGTCTCTTCGCTCTGAGACTTAGCCACTAGGACGGCATTGGCTGCCCAGAGCACCGGGTTCAAGTCTGAGATGGGCGAAGCGGTAACTAAGTTGCCTGCAGGCGTACCGACATTTCGAATCTGCCTACCTGCGAAGTACTTTAACTGCTTGTAGATCCCCTCAAAGACCTGGCCACGGGCGTCGCCGTAATGACGAGTTGCCTCTTTGCTGATGTGCTCTAGATCTGTCAAGACTACGTTTCCTCCAATCTCGAGATGGTTGGCCTTGAATTCGTATTGTCGCAACTCGGCAATGTCTCCCACAAAAACGGAGACGGGATATTGTGCCGCCTTGAACTTGACTTCAATCTGAGTCTCGGTGCTGCCGCCAATAATCTTGGCCGAAGGGTGCACGCTCTTAATATCGAGCAGCTGCTCAAGGGTAACGGGCCTGTACCACTTCTTTCTCTTGTTACCGAACGACAACGGCCGCATCTCGTGCTTTTTGAGGGCGGGTGGGAAGATGAGTTCGGTATCGGGGTTGTACTCGATGAATCCCGGGGGCGTGAACCTCTTGATGGGTTGGTCGTCGAGCTTTGCCTTGTCCATACAGCATCCGCCCTCCATCTTCTCGCCATTGCCATTCTCCATGCAACAGCCTGAACCCCTGTTTTTCCTTGCCTTGCCGCATCCACGCTCAACGCTGAATGTCTGCGCCGCCTCAAGAATGGGCTTGTAGCCAGTACACCTGCACAAGTTGCCGTCAAAGGCCTCCTCGATATCTTCCTCAGAGGGCGCCTGGTTGTTGCGTAGCAGAGCGTACAAGCTCATGACAATACCGGGGGTACAGAAACCACACTGACTGCCATTGCTCTTTGCTACCCGTTCTTGGGTGGGATGGGGCGCCTTTGTATTTCCAATGCCCTCGATGGTGATTACGTGTTTGCCGTCGACACTGGCCAGGGGTGCCAAGCAGGCGTTTACGCTCGCGTGGTAGATTTGCTTTGTCGTCGGATTGAATTGGGATATGACGACGGTGCAGGCACCACAACCGCCCTCGCCACATCCGCTGGGGAGTGTTAGTGCGTGCGACGAGTGCTTCCACTTCCTACCCACCACGGAGCCCAGACATACAGCTTAGTCCCCGTCAAACCAATGCCTCGCAGGTACTCCAGCAGAGTGACTTCGGGATCGATATCGTCCAGCACGACCCGGGTACCATTGAGGTAGAAGCGGATGGTATCATCAAAGTCGGTGGTGAGCGAGTTCAAAGCCCCGGCGTCCCGCTCGGGGGAGATAGCGATGGGCGCCATGCTGCCAAGAAGCTGTCGGGTTACGGTACACAGCAAATTATGATTTCAGATAACCCGAAGCACGCTCTCAAGGTCCTTTGACAGCAGGAAGGGAGGAGGGTGCGAAGAGGAAAAGGAAGAGAAAAGGAGAAGGTGCGCTTGGAATGGCGGAGGCGAGACAACCCCGCAGCTTTGTTGCAGAAAGAGAGGCAAAGACGATGCTAATTCGAGTTGAGCCAAGCCTCTGCAGGTACTTTAGCTTGTAGCAGTGTTTGCTGCAGAATGGACCGCTTCTCAGACCGTCATGGTTATGTAGCTGTATGAGTCTACTTGCTGCATTCTATTCCAGTCGTTCCGTCTCCATCCAAACATGTGTTTCTTCCCGTGCGCTCTGCTCTGATTTTCCTCCATGTGCTTTGGCGAGACAAAACAAAAGTGTCTCGCTAACATGCTGGCTACGTCTTGCGACAGGCGTCGGGCGAATCAGAGGGCCCAAGTTTGAGCTTATCAGCGGATCCTGCCATTCTCCAACGGCGACTTCGGTGGAGTTCGTTATCGTTATCGGCCCTGCCCCCTCCTACCCACTGAAGCCGGTGCTCCCCCGCCACTAAAACATCACTAATGCGCACAAGCCGGGAACACCTAGCGACCCGTGCAGGCCTGCCAACATGCCGTTCACCAGCGGCCCCTCTGTCGGCGGGCTCCGTTTCCCCATGGTCGGCATCTTCCACCCAGCATCGTGAGAAGACCCAAGCATAAAATTGGTTCGTCTTGACGGTTTCCCCTCTTTGAATCCCTGCGTACCCCGAATACTCCCACAGTACGCGACGACTTGACGACACGACGATTGCAGACTGCATCTGGAGATGACAGGCGATTTCGTGCACGAACATTGTCAATATGTACGCTGCCCCGCATAAGGGTCAAATGCTTCATCTTCCCTTCACCACTGCCGCATCTCGGCGGGAATGATTAGAGATGCACGCCGGTTTATCACGCACCGAGACTCACCAGGTACTTGGAACGCATGATTGGATGATAGACGGGGCTGCCGGCACTCCGTCTTCCCCGGGACTGATTCGTCAACACCCCGTTGCTGACAAATCTCCACTGACGACCTTGTGTTGTTCATTAATTACCCTAATCCATATCCGTACCTCTCAGATTCCATGACTTTACCCCAGAGGAGGCGGGTGGGGAGAATTGCTCTTTACAGGCTCCCCGCAGCTCAATCTTTGACCATCTCAACTGCCGTCAAACCTAATCCCCCACCGTGTCATCAGCGGACACCAAATCTGGAACGCCTAAGGCCGATTGACATCGCTGGTGGGTTAAACCCCTCCCTTCTCCGCAGGAACAGGTAGCAGCGTGGCGTTCGGTCGCGTTCCAGCTAGGCCGGCTGAGACAAATCTTGGGTCTTCGGCGGTGCTATGGCCGAGGTAGATGGTAGACGTACCTTTACCGACGCCTCTATTCATAAGCTGGCCCTTTGCCTTCCAAAGCTCTCAGTCATCGACAAGATCTGTCAATTCAACAGCGGACGCCTCCCAAAAAAGGTATCAATATGAAGTTCTTCAACGTCATCGACGGCCAGCGTCGCGGCAGCGATAACCACCACCAATGCACAGACCCCCGTACTGAGGAACAGCTCTGGGATGCTCCCCTAGCAACGACACAGGACCTCGAGGAAGCTGTCGCGGCGGCCCAAAAGGCCCTCAAAACTTGGTCCAAGACGTCAATCGAGGAGAGATCCGAGTACTTGCGCAAGATTGTCGATATTTATACCACTCACAAGGACGAGTTGAAGGAAATCGTCATGAAAGAAACGGGGAAATCGGTAATAATATTGCCCTCTTCGCGAGATCGATTAAAGGACAATCATACTGATGCCATGTGCCATGCAGAGCCTCATGGCAGACATCGAAATTGGAAATACCTGCAATCAAACCATGTACTACTGTACGCCTATATCGGTCTACTAATGTCGCCCGCTCATGCTCACAGTCCACAGCAAATGTTCACCTCGAAGATGAAGTTACTTTTGAGGACGAAAGGATCAAAATTGTCGCCACTCACCAGCCACTGGGCATTGTGGGAGCTATATGTCCTTGGAACTTTCCCCTCATCCTGTCAAACATCAAAGTAGCATCCTCGCTCATCACCGGCAACTGCATCATCGTCAAGCCCTCGCCCTTCACTCCGTATTCCGTCATGAAATCCGTCGAGCTCCTCATCGATGTCTTCCCTCCCGGCGTCGTGCAGGTGCTCAACGGCGGCGTCGATCTCGGCATATCCATGACCTTGCACCCAGGCATCGCCAAGATCAGCTTCACAGGGACCATCGCCACGGGCAAAAGCGTCATGGCGAGCTGCGCCAAGACCCTCAAGCGGCTAACCCTGGAGCTGGCGGGCAACGACGCGGCAATCGTAACTGATGATATTGACATTGCAAAGGTGGCAGAACAAGTCGCGACTGGATGTTTCTTCAATGCGGGTCAGATGTGCGTCGCAACCAAGCGTGTCTACGTCCATGATGCGGTATATGAAAAGTTCCTGGACGCCTTCAAGAGCGCGGTTGCCGAGAAATATGTCATCACCAAAGATGCACACGCACCCAGCTTGTTCGGCCCCGTCTCGAATAAGATGCAGTATGATGTTGTCAAGGATATCTATGATCATTACAAGAAGAATGGCTACAACTTGATTGCGGCAGAGTATCCCCAGGACTCCAAAGGCTTCTGGATACCCCCGACCATCGTTACAAAGCCTCCTGAGGACTCTATCCTGGTCAAGGAAGAACAATTCGGTTAGTCCCCTGACGCCTGTCCGAGTATCTTGCGCTAGAACACATCTCTCTCTGAATATGTGCATGAGCCATCCACGCTGATCCTGTTCCTAGGCCCGATAGTACCCATCTTATCCTGGACAGAGGAGGACGAGCTTTTCCAGCGGGTTAATCTGGATAACGCCGGCCTCGGGGCCTCGGTCTACTGTAGTGATGTAAGCCGAGCCGAGAGCATCGCCAGGAGGGTGGAGGCTGGTACGGTCGCCATCAACCTCCCCGAGATACCGCACCACGGGGGTTTCTTCTCCGGCATGAAGCACAGCGGTCACGGGGGCGAGATGGGCAAGCAGGGCCTTCAGTCATACTGTTACACGCAAAGTCTGCAGATTGCGAAGAGTTGATGAGTCGATCATGAGAATAGACAAGTCCATCTAAAGACTTGCTTGATGGCATGCCAAGCACACTGGTTAGGCACTCGCGCCGATAGTTCATAGCCTCTAGCCAAGACGTAGGACATACAAATGACCCGGCATCATTTCTCAAGCAGCGTCCGCAACCCGATTCTCAAGCTCAACGAACTGCGCCGCGGTGTCCCCCATCCGATCATCCAACGTCATATACTCCATCCCCAGAACCTTTGACGCCAACGACGCATCTACCCCAAACATATCCTCCGACATCCGCACCTGCAAATGCGGCAGCTCTCTTCCCGCTAGATATGCGCCAGCTGCTGGTTCGACGCCCCGCCGGGGCTCATCCTGTCTCTCTTCCCACCGGCATCGGGCGCCATCGCCGCCAGTAGGTGCGCGCGCGCCACGTCCCGCACGTCGACGTACAAATCCAGCATCTCGGGCGGGACCGACGACGCAGAGGTGAGCTCCCGGCCGCATGGGCTCTGGTATAGCATGAAATTACTCTCATTGAGGTCCTGCAGGGACTTTGTTACCGGGGTGCCATGCAGCTGCCCGTAGACCATAGGCCGGCAGACGGTCGTGACGTCAAAGTCCGGGCTTGGTATCGGCGACAAATGCCCACGGCGCCTTCTCCGCAAACGCTTTGCTGGTAATGTATGGTATCGCCGGGTGCTGCGACGCCTCGGCCTTCTCCCGTGAGTCCTGGAGTCGGTCCCGCTCGTCGTAGATCTTGGGCGGCTTGGAGATGTCGATTACGGAGGTCATGGAGCTCGAGACGACGATACTCTTCTTGCTGAGCACCTTTGCGGACCACGCCGCGCAGGATCTCGGTCGTGCCCTTGACGGCCGGGTCGAAGAAGTCGGTGTTGGAGTTGCCCTTGCGGAAGTTGAAGGTCGAGGCCGTGTGGAACGTGTCATCATGGCAAGCATAGCTCCACGACCTGCAATAGCGTTAAACATCACTCACATACTCAAAGTCAGTCTGCCCGTCCACGTGCGGATAGACAAACCGAGGGACTTGGAATTTTCCGACCAAATCCATTCCTTGCTCTTACCTCTTACGTTGCTCGTCAACCGGTATTCGCCATAGAATGTTCTGCAATGAAGGGACCGGCTTGCCTGCCATGGAAAGGCTTGCCGTAAGGGGAAGTCATTCCATGGACGCGTTTTTAAGTGGCCTTGTGGCAACCGAATATCTTAGTACTAATTGTCTTGGTATTCAAAATGGTTCGTTGCACAATCTTTTTAGTTACCAAGCAACCCCAGCCTCGATCAATCAGCTCTACGGAGGAGTCAAATAACATTTGATCCCACCAACATTGTCAAAACTAGGAACATTCCCTAGAGACCTCGCAAGGTACGAGTGAGCTCTCAGCTGCCCCTGCAAAGTCGGACGGAACCCCACCTCCGCTCCCGGCCGATGCAATCGGACGTCACCGATCAATCCCGGGCTGTAACCCCAAAGCTCTGGCCCGGAAGAACCCACTTGACTGGCCCCGCGTCCACAAGCGCCAAAAGTAAAAAAAAATAAAGCAGGCTTAGTTAGTTAGGGTTGAGCAAAAGAGCGTTTCCCTCCCACCTCCTCAAAAGTTTTGACCAGCCTGGGGCTCGAACCCAGAATCTCCTGATAACACACGAATCGTAGTCAGACGCCTTACCATTGGGCCAACCGGCCAAGGTTGTTGATATCCTTGGGTGACTTTGGCAGCCGGAAGCTGACTGAAGTTCCTAGCCTCCAGCGATAGGCACACGATCAGTCGGTCAGAGCAAGCCAGCAACCAGACAAAGGCTCCTCTCGTATGATAATTGTGGTCTTATAAAGTTCCCCCTTGCATGAAAGTATGCATTCAGACGGCCGGCTGGGATCTGAAGAACTCGCTAATGGCGGTTGAGGGCGCCGATAGATTTGTTGGCCTGCCCGTCCATTCTGTCTCTGTTGCTAACCGCAACATCACCTCGTTCGAGCACGCAGATGCCAGGATGAACTGGACCTTTCCGGCGTACACAAAAGCTTAGTATCTATATCCGCTTGGATGCAATACGTACCAATCAGATTATCACACTCTGCGCACCTAGCATGATGACATCAACCGGACAAGTAATTTTAATCGTCTTTCTGAGCCCAGCGTCCCTACTATTTCCTTCCCTATCCCCCGTTGCATGGATTCCAGTGACTGACTTGATGATTGAGATCGGCGGCCCTAGATCGTTCGAAGGTAATGTCCATTGGAGATGAAAGTAGATCTTAAGATTCTTAGGCAAGATTCGTGTCCTTCCAAGTTACAAGCTATTCGTAGTTCCAATATCATCTCAATCTTCATATTACATATCCCGCCTATTTATGAAGGTCGATGACGAAAATGAAACTAAACAATAAGGTGCATGTAACCTCTAGGGTTTAAAAGGATGTGAAGCAAAGGAACTCAAAGGCTACAGAACAACGTAAAGAGATATCCTAGAATGAATAGCAGAACAAATCAAATCAGAGCCTGGCTTGGTCCCGGGTCTACAGGGAAACAGGTTTTTTTTTTTAGAAAAATGTTAGAGTTTAGTTGACATCGAAGAGTGCAGTGTACATAGGAATGAACAGAATTCAGTGCCTGAGATTAGAGAGAGTAAGTACCTTAGGTTGAATATTCTGCTTGCCGTTCTCCTGGTACCCGTATTCTGCAATCGCCGTAGACTTTCTGGTTCCTGGCTATTATTTGACGTGATAATGCCGAGGCTCTCTAAGCGAAGCAACTCAATTGATGTCCCACTAATTGACGTCTCTCAGCACAATCAACAGTCCTGTGTGTGGCATTGTTGCTGTCATCCCCATACTTGTTCTACTCAATTTCCTTGGTTTCGTAGCGGTCTGCTTATTTTAGCTCCTCTTTCTCTTATGTCGAGCCCGGTGGTGCCCCTAATTGGATATGCGTCGTCAATTTCCCGTCCAATTTGGAAACGGCAACGAAATCATAGACTGGAGACTACACAAGCAGTTTCAACTGGGTGACATGTTCCATAGGCGAGAAAATGCTTACCTGTGGTTGGCTCAAGCTCCTTGGTCATGCAGATCGTCGTACCATTCATCAATGTAAGTTTGCGACTTAATTTAGTTACTTGACGACTACGCTGGTTTTTTAGTCGTGAGTGGCTGAGGCAGCGGACTTGGCAATCAATCTCCACCAGGCGATCTTGGCTTTGCCTGCACTCGACGGCTCACACGGGTAGCTGAAGAGGATTTGTGCAGGAAGAGGAACCTAGAAACCCTATATAAAAGGCAAGTTTTTGAGCCCTATGGTTGCGGACAGTTCGTCCTTAGTTTATCCCTCTCATCTCACAGACTTACTCTCATAATTTCGCCAAGCAAAACATTGTCTACTTTTGACACTCCTAATTCTCGTACCTTGCCAATTTCTGAGTGAGTAACTTGAGCCCCAAATTGCCCTAGAGACACAGCTAAGCTTGATTACACTTTAGACATGGCTCGGTCCGTCCTTATTCTTGCTGCTCTTTGTGCTGCGACCGTCCAAGCTCGCCCTCAGTCTACAGGCAAATGCGCATTCCAAATTACCGCTTCCAGTGGAAGTGGAGCCTATGGGTGTCTCAAGGTTGGCGAGACTGGCGGCTTCTCGGCCCCCTCGGGAGCTAATGTAGAGTTCGCCATGGGTAGAGACTGTCAAGTCAGCGTCACCAATGGCCCTATAGAGGGCGTGTCTGTCCAGTCAAAAGGACCATGCTAGGCGATCGAGCTTTGCTCTTCAACTCGGCTGTACGAGATATTCTCAATTTTGACCAAGTCAGTCGGTTAAATCCCTTTTTACAGCGTTGTCATGGTTGAGCAGCATGTTGGAATGGCATGAACAACTTGTGCAGGCAAATCTTGCAAATATATGGATAGCAGTGAAGGTCTAGACAGGTTTGGCTCTGATGAACGATCTTCAATTCAGAAGGCCATTTTTTTTTTCACTGGTAATGATGAATCAGGGCGCCCAAATCTGACTTTAAGATGGCTTATGTAGTCGTCCAAACGCATCAAAAGCACAACGAAAAGATAACCCACCAAAACCTGGCAAAGGCGCCATCTGGAAGCCTGTTTCAAAGAAGTCTTATTCAATACGGTCTTGCTACAGAAGCAAACTACAACAAGCTTGTTCGGCAAATTATATGCCAACTATCTGATTCCATTAAAAGTAAAGATAATGATACCGTATTAGCTACATTTTCTACCTTTCCCGGACCATTTCTGCCGGCTTCAATGACAGTGCTCTATGCCAATTGCGAGACGGTCACAAAATAATGAAGGCGCATCGATGAGTACGAAGATATTCATTGATACATCCTCTCACAGTCTCATTGTTGTATGAGGCTTGAAATAAGTTAACCTCAATGTCTACCCCGTCCTTGAACTCGGCACGGGATCCAGAATTACTTTCTCGATTGTATCCGCAACTATTCTGCGTACAAGCTTCCGGTGTGCGAAGCAAATTTCAGCCACCCATCAATTATTACCTCGCAAATGTCTCCGATGCTATATCTTCAGCGACCTCTATCTGATACGAGAGAACTCATTAAGGGAATCGATACCTGCGCCAGAGACAACTTGAGGAATCACATGTTTAGGAGAGATGAAGCCTATCTGCAAATGATATGAAGTTTGCCTGACTTTCAGCGACTTGCCAGCACTGTTGGTCATTCTTGAAGCCAGCCCTCGATAATTTGGCGGGCTAGAGTGGGAATACCGGACAAAAAATGAATCAAGGCTTAGACAGTCATGAAACAGACCAGCTGAAGATGGAGGTTGCCGCTTTAGATGAAGAGAAAAGTGGAAATGCTAGTACAAGCTGTACGCTACGAGTCTCTCATCCTACCATCAGCATGTGTAAGCAGGTAAAAGGGGTACGAACATGACATTGAAGGCGCGTAGATAAGATATTTCGGGTCTTGCGTAATCCTTTTTTGTCTTCGCAGCTCCATACCTAGGAAATTTCTCGACTGACTCTTGAGGGAGGAAACGACTCTACACGTGCCCTCTTCAAGAAGAGTCGTGTTCGAAGCAGCAAGGAGAACCCAGTACCAAACGACGTTGAAGGGATTGTCACTCGACGCATACAATCCGCAGCAGCATCCACAATCATATATCATTGAATTAATTGCCCCATTCGTTCCTACCTTCTGTTTAGAGATACTGGTCGCCAGGGAGTGCTACCCTTTAGAGCACGTTGCTTGAGTATTCGTGAAAGAGGTCATGCTTGTCAGGTACACACACGGTGCACCATCAAACACTAGTCCTTATTCAAGGATTGTTGTGGGGTTCGGGGCTTGGTTAGCGAGAAAATCTGCTCTCATAAAGACTTTAGCATGGATACGGCCTGTTGGCCATCGACGAAAGCCATACCCGAGCGATTATCCCCGATGTTTTGCCCCATTGACCGCTGATAAGCGTGAGTGGGGAGCGCCACCATCAGAGAGACCACGATTCATTCGCAAAGGATCTAGAGACAGGTACTGTTCATGTTTAGGAGCGATTGGACTTCGGGCCGTTACGATCGAGAACCTTTAGAGATGTAAGAGAAGCTGGCATTCCCTTGCTTAGACGTGACTAACTAGGTCCGCGACCCGCCAAGTCTTTTGGAATCGGAGAACAGCAACTCTATTGCAGCACGGGGCAGGCAACATTGTGCCCGCTGTTGAAGTCACATCGCAAATCAAGAGATCCACTAGAGGGACCTGACAGTGTTGCATTAATTCTTGGTAGGTATTATTCGTACTACTTGGCTCATTCAGATCGGCCCTTTCCGCATGCCGCGATCACGAAAGCCCGAACTGTGCCTCCGTTTCATTTGACACGCCGCGGCGCTTAGTTGCCCGGGTACCACCTGCTGAGGATAGAAGTCACGTTCGACGGCCGGCTAAGGTGAGCGCAGTGGCCACTGGGCTCAGTCTCCTTCTTGGAGCCGGCGGGCAGGACGGCAGACATGCTCGCCTGGTAGCTGGGTGGCAGGGCGTTGTCAAGAGAGGCATAGAGGTAGGCGCAGTCAATGCCGTTGCTCCAGGGCTCGTAGCTTGAGGCACTGGTGAAGGCACCCAGAGCCGTCCAAGTCGTCTCGGACGCCCACTTCTTTTGCTCAGCAGCCGGCAGGTCGTTGAAGGCGACCTCGGGGAGCAGAGTAGCGTTGCCGACAACACGGTCCCCCTATAATGCATGTGTTAGTATCATCGCTGCTTGGCACCCGATGGGAACCGGGGGGGGAGTAGTCTATATACCTCGACAAGCATCCAAGGAAGAGGCTCGCCGCCGAGGAGTTCGAGCAAGCTGGAACCCTTGGGAAGCATGAAAGCACTCGCGTAAACGATGCTCACGACACCACCAGAGGCACCAGCGGCGGAGCGGGTGGCAATGTCGTAGCCCTCGACAGCGTTGCTGGCAACGACACCACCGTAGGAGTGAGAGTAGACGACAATCTCCTTGCCGTCAGCAACAAGCTTATCCAGTTCGGTACGAACGGCGGCAACGTCGTCAGAGAGGGATGCCAGGGGCTCGGTGGTACCACCGACGGTGGGGAGAGCAACGATGGAGGTGTTGAAGTTGGAGCCAGCCAGCTCGGTAGCGAAGGGCTGGAAGGCAGAAGGCAACTGCCAAGCGCCGGGGACGATGAGAATTGAGGGCTTCATTGTGTGGGATATGTGACGTGAGTCGTGCAGTTGGGGAACCACGAGAGATGTGATCTTGGGTCTGTCAGAGATTGACGAGTGGAGGATATGGACAGAGGTGGGCGTGGTATGTGGACTTTGACGAGGGGGACTCTAAAAAGAATGTGTAGCCTGTCTGGTAGCAACAACAAGAGAGGCAAGAGATGAACAGAGGCAGACAGTCTTTCTAAAGTACCACCTCGTATCTGCTCGAGATATCACGGCATAAACATACGTCCTCGGCAAGCAATATTTCCGAAATGACCATGGCCGAAAGCGAAGAACGACTTGTGACAGCGGGATGAGCGCCGGGTACAAACAGACCGTCGGATATTGCCACGAGGCCTTTGGCGTCCGCTAGTGACGTTTGCACGGTCCTCCGAAGTTATCCACAAATGGCCCAACATTGGCGGTGGGTTGCTCCAGTTGTGAGAATCAAAAGGGGTTTGAACGAGGGGGGACATTTGAGGGTTACGACGGAACGGATTATGGCGCAAGTAAATGCCCCCGTTGGATCCAGCGGAGCCCAAAAGACGAGGGGACGGTATCCGTACCTTACAGCTTGGAGAATGCATGTGCCAAGACTCGTTGTTTGTGTAGCATTGGTTGCTGTGCCGTCGTTCTGCATCCTTCCGCATTTCTTCAACGTCAAGAATCTCGCTTAGGAGCTTGCTTTAGTCTCCGAAGCCCTTTGCAACGATCTTCTTCATGCTACCTCGGCAGTCGAGGCGAGCTTCGTGCCATGTCTCTCGATGATATTTCAACCTGCACCCCTGATACCCGAGGCAAAGCAATCAATCCTTCGTGTCAATATTGCCCTAGATCTTTGACGATAATGACGCCCAAGAAGGAATTGTGGTCCACCACGAGAATCAGAAATCGAATACTAATTGCAGGGTTGCTGACTCAAAGCGGCCCCTATCCGCGTATCAGTGAGCTCCCTTCCGGGAGGCTGGAGCTGCGCAGAGGCCACAATTACCGTGATTCGGGCGATGATCTGTCGATGCTATCCCTGCGCCTTCATGGATGTGCTCGGACGTCAAGGGGTATAGCAGGCCGCAGGCGGGCCCTAGTTGCTAGTGGCGGGTCTGGAAGAGGGGATGCTCCTCGACTAGCGCAGGATCAGTTACAACGGTCTTGCGAGTTTGGATGCAAGACCCCAGAGGGAGAGCCGTGCGACGCAATGTCTCCTCCCAATCGTCAAGCCGAGTTCATCGGTCGCCGGTGACGTTGGCTCTGCGGGCCGGCTTAACACGGAGTGAGAAGAGACGAGACTAGGACGAAAACAAATCTACTCCTAGCCTCTTCACGACATCGTACCCTGTCGAGATCCACACATGTCTGAACAACCCCCCATGAGTTTCCCTCTTGGAACTGAGAAAGAGTGACAAGACCTGACAACTCTTCCGGACTTGGCCGGGGGCTCGCTCCCCTTTTCTTTGCTTCTTTCGCTTACAGTTCCACAAATTGGCTCAACTCTACAGTGTACACGGTATGGCCCATAACCGAGGTAGCAGTTGTAATGGGGGCTAATTGACTTGCCAAACATGACATGTCAAAACAGAAGTGATTGGCATTTTGTGAATGCAACAGTGGTTGGGGCAAAACGAACGGGCCCAACAGGCCGAAACCTGCGGCCGTGATGGACGACCACGAGTGGTCACACTTTTTTTTTTCTTCTTTGCTTTTGTGTATCATACGTTTTATGTAAGAAAATCCTGCAGCACAAGAGGCACAAAGTCTGGCATTCCCCGAAGTTCACGTCCAGAATAAAATGTTTCCCCATCCCCACGTGGTGTGGCCGGTTTAGTTCGCCCCTCCTTGCGTCCGTTTACTCGGTAACACCCCCTCCACACATCATCGACGACGACCCGTTTCCCGCAAAGACCGCTGTTCGACAGAGAGCCCCGTGTGGCCATCAAGCCACCAGCCATGGCAGCCACTATGGTAACATACCCGTACGATGACCCGACTATCGATCAACCGGAGAGGGACTATCTGAAGAAGCTGGCCGGCTTTGCTGAAAAACAAAACCTATCCGAGGACCTCCGTGCCTATGTCCGAGGCGTCACGATTGCCTTTACTGCCCTGGCCGCGTTCGTGGTAGGGCTGCGGTTCACGGCCCGTCACCTGCAGGGTGCGAGGTATCTGAAAGATGATTACACGATGTTGTTTGCTCTGGCGTTGTTGATTGGAAACATGATCATGAATCTAATCTGTAAGTGGCAATGAGAGGATTGGATTCGAAGGCTTGCTCACAACCCCATCAAGTGGTCGATGCTGGTATCGGATTACATTCAGGCCGCCTTACACTAGAACAGCTACAATATCTCGACAGGGTATGCATTACGTTTGCTGTGACAAGCCATTACCTTATTATTTCAGCTATGTGGAAGAAACTAATATTGTATCTCTAGACCATGATGGGTGCCGAGATCCTGTACGTCAACGGAGTCAACATATACAAAGTAGCACTGCTGCTACTATACCTGCGCATCTTCCCAACCCGAGAGGTTCGCAGGGGGGCATGGATTTGTGGCAGTTTAACGTCCCTTTGGACGCTCGCCTGCGTTATTGCTGCCTCAATTCAGTGTCTTCCCCTGAACACGCTCTGGGAACCGTGGAAGAATGGCACTTGCATCAATCTGTTCTTGACGCAGCTTGCTATTTCCATTCCGAGCATCATTGTTGATATTGCGATTCTATATCTTCCGATCCCCCACGTCTTGAAACTGCAGATGAATCCGGCGCAACGGGTTTTGATTCTGTTCACGTTCTTGCTTGGAAGCTATGTCGTTTTCTGCAGTGTCTATCGTTTCAAGATTTTCTTAGGGTACACTAAGAACGATGTCCCTTGTGAGTGCTTTGGCCTGGATGAAGCTTCTAGAATCGCTCGTGCTAACGTTATTGTAGGGTCATTGGCGCAAGGTCTGGCTTGGAACATTATAGAAATCAGCAGTGGCATCGTGTCCGCCTGCTTACCGACTCTTGTAAGCTTGATAGCGACGTTATTGATGACTAAATGACTGATGACAAACCCAGGGTCCCATCGTCCGTCTGTTATGGAAGGGTATCCTCGACTCTGCTCATCGAAGTGGTCTGGACAAGTACGGACCGTCCTCCTCCAATAAAAAGTCAACAGCAAGGTCGGTTGGCGTGACCATTGGCGGCGGAAGATCTGGAAACGCCTCCCACGCGAGAGACGGCTCAAAAGACTGGTCCAAGCTCCCCGAAGCCAACGCGAAACCAAACTTCCGGGAAGAGTCCAAGTACGGCATCGGTCTACGGACGATGGGCGCAGGGGACGACGACCGGAGCTCCCGGAGCTCAAATGACGTCGAGCTGGTGCCGCAAAACACGGTCAGTGTGACCATACGGAGCCCGGCCCGAGACAAGTTTCCCCAACATGAAGCGGGCATGAGTGCGAGGGAGCACTACCAAGGGAAGAAGATCTCAAAGGAAAACGATTCAGGATATCCCCACTCTGATAACAGGATATGGCAGCATCGTGAGGTTGAGATAACGACGGAGCCAGTAGAGCCGGAGTCTGTCTTGCCTGAATTTAACAGGAAGAGGAAGTCGGGCATATTATGAGACGAACGCTGGTGGAATACCCAAATGAATACCTTTAATTTCTTTTGTAAATATCCTGTGATAGTAGTTACTGTAATTGATAGAGCAAATGCTTCCAACCTTTCAGACAAGGCCTGGACCTCATGTAGATTTGCCACGTCATTTCTCCAAGACTCATCTTCCATTCCCCTTGCTGACGAGTTACATTCTAGCTGGACCGTTTGACTTTACACAAGTAAGTAGCGTCCGTCAGGAGTTGTTATGAGATACATAATTTGTAGGGATATTTTTGAAGTTGCTACTTGACCCCTGCTCTGGGCAGAAATGGTGCAACAATGAATGCATATGAAGCTAGTGCGAGATGCCGTCTAAGATGACACGGCATGTTCTTGTTCCCTGGCCTTTTTCAAGTCCTCCGGCTCATAGAGGTTTCTCACAGCGAATATCAGCCCGGCCGCAAGCCCAACCATCAACACCCAGATTGCGTAACCGCCGAGAGCCTGGGTTCTGGCACCAACGGCATACAGACTTGTGAACAAGGCCGGACAAAAGGCCCTGATGGCGCTCGATGCGGTAAGCGCCAAAGCGTTGAGCGTTCCGAGAACGCGGGGGCTGGGCGAGATGTCATTCAGCGCCAGCTGAATGGCAGTGAAACTCATGCTCACGCCGGAGCCAATGATGAGAGCAGTGGGCGTAAAGACCCAGAAGAATGTCACCATGGCTGGGTTATGCACGCCGGCTTTGAGGAAGATGTTGCTGAGAGGGCACAAGACGTAGAACCAAGGGTAAGCATAGGCGCAGGCGCGCAGCACACCGTTGGTGCCTATGCGATGCTGCAGCGGCGGGAAGATGACGACAAGCCACAGGACCTGGGCGATGCCGCTGACGGACATCATAATCAAGATCTGCAGGGGAGTGAAGCCGAATCCGCCAAGCTGGACTGGGGTATACCAGAAGACGGGCACGATGGCTGTGTAGGACAAGACGAGGAGCATGAGGTACCCGTATACGATCAGTACGTTTGCGGCGCCTGGGGATCTGATGATCTCCTTGATGGAGCCTCTGTCCTTCTTTGGCGGTGCCGCTGTGTCGTCATTGTCGCTGTGCTTCTCGTTGACAAGCGTTTCCTCAACGAACAGGATGGTAGAAATGGTCGCCGTCAAGCCGATGAAGCCAACGCAGAAGCTGGATAATGCGTAAGGGTAGTCGAGGAAGAATTGGCCCGTAAAAACGCCCGGGTACTGATGCGCCGGATCGGCGAGGGCGCCGCCGAGAATAGGCCCGAAGAAAAGCCCAAGGTTGCCGCTCAGAGAAAACCAGCTGAAAGCCCTGGCTTGGGTCTTCTGAGTGGAATGCTCGGCAATCATGGTGCGCATCGTGACAATGCTTCCTCCAAAGACGCCTGCCAGGCATCGGAAGAGGATCATCTGCCAGATGGTCTTTGCCATGCCGAAGATGGAGGCAGCGAGGGTAACACCGAAGAGGGAGAAGACGAGGACGGGCTTGCGGCCAATTCGGTCGGATAGCCTGCCCCAAAAGATCATGACGAAGGCCTGCGTCAAGGAGAAGAGTGACTCGATGAGACCGGTGTAGAAGCCGACGTCCGTATTGGCGAGGTTGCCATTCTCCTGGACCATTTGGCTGATGTACGGAAAGATGCAGAAGAAGGCCATTGGTTCCACGACTCGAGCGTAGCAGATCCAAAAGACTTGCCATAGCGGCAATGGCTTCTCGTCCAAGGCGTCATCCTCTTGAGAAGGCTCGTTGAGCGTCGTCGCCTTGGAGATGTCTGGATCGGCCGTTGGAGCGAGGTCGCCGGCAATGAGTAAGGGAGTTGTCTCCGTCGCGTCACTGCTGAATGTCTCTGCCGTGCCGGCGTTATCGTTTACCGGTCTTTGATCTATCGCCATTGTGATGGCTTGGGGATGTACAATTGTATTGGTATGAGAAAGGAGACCTGCTGCGACCGATGCGGTCCAACGTCAAAGCTTATGTTACTGGCATGTGCGGGTTGACGAAATCGGTCGCTTCCTCCATATAAGGTACGTAAGCAAGTAAATTAAAACGGCGTCGACATTGTTGTTAAGGGCGCATCACCTCGGTCTTATGTCAGACCGCCCTCATTTTCAGCCTTCCTAATTGGGTTAGGCTGACCAAAGTTCCTAACGTACCCAACAATCAGCTCAACGTTACAGAATTTAAGCATAACCAACTACGGTTTGTTGTGCGGCACATTTGCACTTGCACAACGACTCCACGAGGCTCAGTGAGCGCGAGAGCAATGGTCGCAGTGCCTTTAATCAAGTTCAGACTTTTGCAATGCATCGCATGGGCTAGAAATAAAGAAGATCAGCCCGATGTAACCCAGCTAATCATTAACCTTCCTACCTTCCGCCTCTTGTTGAACCTTGTCTGTTCATTTTCTTCCCTATTGTTACCAGGGAGACTACTTTACTAAAGATTCCCAACCCTTATAAAGAAAATGAAACTGAGCGCTACTGATTATGATTCCAACATTGTTCGATCCGTTGTTATGGACTAGACTCGTTAATAGACGAATTCGATGTGGGCTATTTATAGACTTAGGGTTTCCTATCTGCTGGCACCACTCCCGTAAGCATCTCTGCCCGCAAATAGAAAAATGATTGAAACCAATTGGATGCTGAAAATCGAAGTCTTTGCCGTTGCGATTTCCACCCCAACATCATGCCAAGGTCTTGACATCGATTCAGTCTGTCTTCGCGCCTCAGCTTTTCTGGATCACAGGTTGAGCGGCCACTACCTCGTCCCCTTTGCCTGCGTACTGCGGTGCCGAGCTCTCTCCATCAGGCCTCTCAGAATCAGATCCCTGGACTGAAGAGATTTCCCGAGCTTCTCCTTCGTTTGCAAGTCTCATCTCAAGGTCGGGATGCTTGTGCTTCCATCTCTTCATGTACCACGTGCCAAACATGAGAAAAGCCCACATTGCGACTTCGAACACAGTAGCCGCGGGATATCCGTGTGGATAGCGTGGAGCTTCGACGGTTGGGAAGGTGAAAAGAGGGATCCAAATTTGTCCACAGAATCCGAGAGTCATCATTGAAGAGATGATGAGCCCTCTTTCGCCATAATTCTCACTGAGCGTGGAGTTCAGCCAGGAATACTGGAGATGCTTTGTTAGCTGGCCGATTCTAGTACAGCATTTGCGATGACGCACCAAGATTGGGGATGCCATTCCCGAGAAGCCTCCAAAATAAAATGCGAGGAATTTGAGGATGTCGGGGACATTCCATATCGACAAGACAATGCACGAGAAGAGAACGAATGACTGGGAGATATTAGCATCGCTGCTCACGCCCTTTTGGGTCAGATGTATTCTTACCGCTTGAAAAGACCACAGGCCCCTCAGGCTCAAGCAACCCGCCAACGTAGTTCCAATCCACGAGGATAATGCGCGTAAAAGGTCGATAAAAGTCGGCAAAATATTCACCAATTCAACGGAGTACCCAGTGGCCTTTAGCCACAAAGCCATGTAACCTGTCCAATAGTGTGCTTGGCACAAAAAGCTAGGATAGGTTAGCGTGGAATCAAGGCGGGTTCATGAAGGAAAGTTCAGAATACGAACATGTAGCAGGGAACGCAGATCCACCACATTGGCCTGGAGAGCGTATACTTGAACGTCTTCCATGTGATACCCTCTTGCTCGACAGTCGGCATCCGCTTCACAGCAAGAGAATGTTCCTCCATGGTAAAGTACCACCTCTTAGGTGATGTGGGGAGACCAGGCCAGAATGCGAATCCCAAGAAAGATATGGGCAGGGTAATAATGCCCTGGACGATGAAAAGCCACCGCCAACCCGCACGCCCGTAAACGCCATTGAGATTTCGATAGGCTGCGGCCTGCAGGTAGCCGGAGAACATGGAACCGAGAGAATTGCCCATGAACCACACTCCAGCACGCTTGAAGAGCTCCTCGTTCTTGAACCAACTGCCAACTACTTTTGGTGAGCCTTTCTACACGATAGAACAGTACATATAATTGGAAAAGTAGGCTTACGAATGAGATGAGTGCCACCGAATGAGGAGGCCTCAAGGAACCCTGTGATGGCGCGTAAGATGTACAGATGCCAGCTATGCTTGATTTCAGACTGGGAAAAGGCGATAACTGCCCAGATGATCTGGAGAGAAGGAAGCAAGAAAGGTGCGCTATGATCGATTCCATCTCTGTCAGCAACGTATCGAATCGCTTGAGTAAGCAACAAAATGTCAGACGTACATCTTTGCCTTGGTTTGAAGAGTCATGAGGGGGATTTGTCCAATAACGTATGCGGTGTTGTCTGGAAATGGTCAGTGGTGCTTGTCGTGAGACTCTTTGAAGATGGACTCACAAGCAACGACATAGTAATTCAACTCGTTCCCGTGAGAATGAAGATCCTCGCGCATGCCTGATACATAGGCGTTGGTGACATTTTGCTGGCCAAGGAACTACTGGCGGTTAATTCTGACGCATTTCAAAGCCTGCTCATCAAAAATCTACTGACTCTGCAAAAGACTAAGGGCAGTGAGAAAATCAGTCAGCAGGTACTCAAGATATGGTAGACCAGATGCTAAGAATGTAACTTGCAAGATAAACTTCCAAAGACCAGAATCGCAAGATCTAGTTTTCGTAAAAGTTTACGCTCTTCTGCCGGATAGTGGGAGGCTGTGACAAAAATGTAAGTATCTGGCTTTCCTGTATGAGACACTTCCGAATACTTACGATACCAGTCAAAAACTGATAGTATCACCGCCACGATCTTGTTTTTCTTCACTGCCCGAGTAAAAGACCCCATTCTCAGCAGATTTCACCGGATTCTCGTATGTGATGTGCACCTGTCATATTCGGCGCTTTGCTGTCGGTACAGGTTTACATATAATGTTTGGACAAGCAGGGTATTCGACCCCCTGCTCTATTCTTTTCTTCTTGGTATTATATCGACATGTCAACAAATATTACCATCTCCAAAGCCTGCTTCTACCGTGAGCACCTAACCACCGCGGTGTGTTGTCCGCGATAAGGTCGTCTCGCGCCCAGAATACCACCCGCCGAGACCCGACTACACCTACATGCATCGCACAAGAGTCTTGCCCACTATTCGCCATAGGGACAGGAATGACGAGTGCCCATTCTTACTGGGGAAAGATACAGGTTAGCGGGTAAAGTAAAGACCAATAATCTCCCACGCGGCAACGAGATCGTTAGTCCGGACAGAGTCACGCCCAGCTCCCGCCGAACTCGGTGGTTTGCCGAAGCTCGACAACACGGGTTCACCCCGTAGAAATACTACCGGATGGGATCTGGCGACTGGTGAGACCCATTTCATGCGGTGCAGGCGTCGGATCTATGGTGCAAAAGACCGACGACGTGCGACGGGGGTGGGGATTGCGCCATCCGTTATCAGATGATGACATGTGGCGATCTTGCATCTCCAAGTGCCTCGACCGAATAAATTAGTCTCATTGCTTGGTAAGTGCCGCGGGGTAAGCCGCGAGTGTGACACCATGGAGAGGGATGAAGCCAAATCAGCTTGCTGTTATTGGTCTCCCGACCGTTGAGGATTCGGCGGAGGGGTTACTGCGGAGACGTTGCCATGCCGTGCTGGCTCGACTAATACGGGCAGCGAGATCCGGCGTGAAACCGCCCGGAGTCGCAGTCAAGACTGATAGTTAAATTGGCGAGCTTGGAACCTGGGCCCTGGGGTATTGGTGAGAATCTGCATAGAGATCAACCAGCCTCCCAAGAAAAAATACCCCGCTTCGCCGCCCAAAATGCCGTCTGCTGTGTCAGAGTTGTACCAATACACCCACGTCCCAGAGACGGAGGAGAACCTCGATTGGGCTGACCGTAAGTCTTCGCAGGTTGAAGTTGGAGATAACAGGCTGGGTAATTTGGAAGCTGACATGCATTGGCAGTTCCCACCATTGACCTTGCCAAGTACGGAACACCAGAGGGCAATAAAGAGCTTTCCCAAACCTTGATCGAAGCTATTCGTACAAAGGGCTTCTTCTACGTGATCAACTATGGCATCCCGCAAGAGGCAGTTGATACACAATTTGCTCTGGGTCAGCAGTTTTATGAGCTGCCATTGGATGAGAAATTGAAGTATGAGCCGAACTTGGACTCCGGAGACTATAATGGGTACCGTCCCGCTGGCAGGCGATTTTTGAGTGGCGGACTCAAGGACAAGACGGAAGTTTGGAACATGGCCAGTGAGTATTCGATGAGTAACCCTACTCAGAGTTGAACCGTCGTTGACATAAGACGGCCTATAGCTCGCGCTGGACACATTACTCAACCTCTGCCCAAGCTATTGGAAGATCGCAAAGAAGAGATTGAAGGATTTGCCAAGGTACTTTATGCGACAATGTTCCGCATATAACGTTATTAACGCATATTCCAGAACCTACACGACAAGGTGCTGGACCCTCTCAACCACCTCATCGCTCTGGCTTTGGAGCTTCCAGAGGACTTTTTCACCAGCGTACACAAGTGGGAGACACACGACGAGTCACACCTGCGTTATATGAAGTATTCCAAGTTCACCCCGGAAGAGATCGAAAAGCTCGACGACGGCTTGTGGTCTCGCGGCCACACTGACCTGGGGACGATTACCCTGCTATTCCGTCAACCTGTGGCTGCGCTGCAAATCAGAGATCATGAGACCGGTGACTGGAAATGGGCCAAGCCGCTTGATGGCAGTCTGACCGTCAACACTTGTGATGCCCTCAGCTTCCTGACTGGAGGTTATGTCAAGTCCACCGTTCACCGAGTGAGTCCACATTCCCATTGCAGCCCCTCTCGTTTCTGCCTCTGGTATGCTGATCTACGGACCAGGTATCCGTACCGCCCAAGGACCAGCGCCACGTCGATCGCCTGGGCTTGCTGTACTTTGCCCGCCCTCAAAACGACCTTGTACTCAAGACCATTGACTCGCCGGTACTGAAGCGTGAGGGCTTCACGCAAAATGAGTTTGAAGCTGGTGGCCATCCGGTGCCGACTATGGGAGAGTTCACCACCCTGAAGCAGACTTGGCAGCAAAGAAAGGGTGTCAGCTATCAGAACTCAGAAGGACAGGAGATCCTCCCGGGATTCAAGGGACTGTACTTCAAGTGAGACAAAGGGCATGTAATGACTGCCATATGCCCAATAGAAACCAGGATCTCGACAAGCATGCTTATTTCTAGGATATGAAGTGAATTCAAGATGGAGGCGCCTCCGGAGCAAGCACGTTACAAGCCGTGGAGTATGGTAAGATACAGGAGGACCAGTCTAGCGATCTCAAACATTCCAACAATTACTACACCATGTACTATGTTACCTACTCTAGAGTAATAAAACACAACCTAAACCAAGCCGCCTAGCAGCTTAGTGCAAATCTCAGACAAGATCTCGATCTTGTCTCCCCCCGCGCGCCAATCGTTCTCAGCAGTCTCAAAAGCCCTCCATACTTCGACGAACTTCATGTTGGTGGCCGCGAGCCTCTCAAATACTTCCTTCATCTTTCTGGGATTATCCCTAATCCTGTCATAGTACCTGGCAACGGCAGGAACATCTTCGTCATCCTTATAGTAGCAACTTACTAGCTGAAGGATGTACAGGATGATTCCGGCCAGTCCAGACGCAAATGCCGTGGCGATTGATGAGCCTTCCGAGCTTCGATCTTTGGGCCGCATGCTGGCTGCGGAATCTGCCACCTCTTCGTCCTGCTCCTTTTCTACGACGCGACCAGGGAAGAGAAAATCAACGTCTTTGAGTGACACGTAATGGTACTCTGCCCCCGTAGCCGTAGCAGCACCGATCTTGAACAGGGTACTCTGGGGTCCGCGTGAGTACTGGCCAGGGTAGCTTTTGTCAGCTGTCTTGCCCTGATCGCTGGCAGCGCAGAACATGAGAATATTGTTCTTGTCGGCCAGCATGAGAGAATCTCTCAGGTCAAGCAGCCAGTCCTTGTTAGCATCGGTAGGCTCGACGCTCCAACTCATGTTGATGATGCTAACATTCAGCTTCTTGGCATATTGTACAGCGTCGGCAGCGCTCCGCACACTGAACTGCGAGGTGCCATTGCTCTGTGCGTGCTCGTCCAGCTTGAGGGAGATGATCTCAGCAAATGGAAAGACCCGTGATATCTGGTGGGCCATCGTCGTTCCATGGCCATCCGCTGATACGCAGAAAGACGGGCTTTCGTCTTGAGAGCAGAAGCACTGCCCGCCACTGACACGGCCATGCAGCTTCCGCTCGGTTGTGTCGATCCCATCGTCGATGATGGCAATCCTGATTGGTTTCAGTGACTTTGTTTGAGAGTCACTAAGGCGCACGTTCCTGATGAATCCAGAGAAACTGTCCATGCACTTGAGCCACTTGTGATTGTGTAGGGCGTTCTCTTTTTTCACGAATATTCGTGTGGCTGATACCAGGTTCTCCTGATCGAATAATGTGATTGTGAGTCTCGGCTGTCTAAGTTTGAGCCGGTCCTGGAAGCTTTTGAAGTTCTTAGCATTTCTCTCCATACCCTCTACGCCCTGTGTACATGAATTCTTGTCAGTGGAACATTTTGCCAGCTGTTTAGATCAACTCACCGATCGAAGAAAGACATCAACTTTTTCCAGATATTGTAGACGTGCCAGGCCGTTTCTGGAATCACTCCATCCACGAAGCACGGCATTGTTTCCACTCCAATATAGCATGATGTGGCGAGCCTTAGGCGCGACCTTAGCTATCGTGTCGCAGCAAAGATCGATCTTAACCCAGTTCCAAACCTCAATGTCGAAGGGTTTTGTAGCCTTTTCTATAGCCTCATCGCAATGGGGCGGGTGGTTAGAGTCGTCCACATCTAATTTAATAATCTTTTTTACCTTGGCCTTGTTCTGGAGCCAATCGAAAATGATGCCAAGATCTGTTCTGCCCACGACGGGTTGCCTACGGGAAGGATGCTCTTGCCGGAGTTTTATATCATCGTCTGGCTTGCCGACAGGTTGAATAGGCGGCAAAGGTTTGATGGTGAGGTTAGGTATGCAGACAGACTGAAGTGTGTCTTCAAGCTTAGCACACTGGTAGCCAAGTGTGAAGTCCTCTTCAGATATCTCGCCCTTTTTTCCGTTGAGATTGAAGTCTATCTGCCTGTCTGTAATGTCTTATTAGTTTTTGTGACTTGGAGACTATGGCAAGAGTAATACTCACCTGAAAACCCTCCGTACAAGAAGTCTAGAGCTAGATGTCGGCTTCTCTTGCGTAGATACACGTGCTTGAGAAATGTGGCGATCTCATTGACGCTCTCAGTCGTAGCCCTATCTTGGGTCTGATTGGTCTTGGTCTTTGTGCTGTTCTTCTGCCCGGGAGTCATCTGGGCAGCTGCCATCGTTGTCGAGAACTGCGTTTGTTGTTCTCTGGATAAGACAGAGGTGTTACCATCCAATGATGTCTTCGGTCCATCCATTGTAGGCTTCGTTTGAAGACTCTGCGTGTTATTGCTTCGTTGGCCGGGAGTTTCGCCAGAGTCGGGCTTCTGGAAGTTATTAGAACCTTGGCCACCCTTGACTGGGTAACTCGATAGATTCTCGGATCTTGATCGGTATTGGTTGGTATCCGTAATGGATGAAGGGTGGTCAGAGACTTCCTGGGTCGGGGTAAGTTCACTGCTGTAGACTTGATTGCGTGGCTTCTCTGCAGAATACATCCTTTTTACTCTGCCAATCTGGTCCAGAGGTGATTTTGTGGCCGCCTTCATTCGTCCATCGTCTGTATTCTTTGACTTCAGGTTTGCATTCCGAGTGCTTGAACCGGTACCAACGCCAAGGAGCTCCGGCAACTCTTGATATGTTCTCATAAGATATTGATATGGGGAGAAATATGTGCCGTCCTTGCCTCCTCGCACGTCGAGTGATGCGTCACACCTCTCGACCAGCTTCTTAATGATTATGAGCTGTTGTGGCGTGCACTTTTTGGCCTCGACGGCTAGGTGCAGGGGAGTGAAGCCATGTTCGTTTTTTGTGGTAAGTATTTTGGTGCTCGCGTTGTCGATTAGCTTTATGATGGCTTCAAGCTGACCACTCTGCTTCATTTTGCCTAAGATGGGTGTCATATCTTTCATGGCCAAGTGGAGAGAGTTGTTTTCATGGTAAGTAGCCCCTAGAATGTTTTCGATCCCTGATTCGTCGGCCTTGTGGTATTTTGTGTAGGCATCCAACAGGTACCTCACCAATTTGTGATTCTCGCTCTGTATTGCTAGGTGGAACCCAGTCATTCCTTGCCGGTCATGTTCTGTCAATAGCTGCCAGTGATGCTGGACAACCCAGTATACAAGCAGCTTAAGTTTGGAGATCCTTGGTTCTCGAATGCGGGCCAGGATATGAAATATGTTTTCTAAAAAGTGCGGGGTCTTGCTTCTGATCGTACTCGAGTGCTGACTGAAGAATTTGGATAGCAGTTCCTCACGTTGTTTGCGAGATTGGTCGTCCTTGCGTCCTTGGAAATCCCATATTTTCTCAGCCAGCTCGTTCTCAAGTCTGGCCAGTAAATTCTCTTCGGGCTGATCATCAATGCCGGAGTAATATTCACTTCCTTCAGAGTTGTCGGACTCATAGTCGGCATCTGGGTCGGTACTCGGCAAGGGCACGGAAGCTACCATGGTGGAAGTAAGGAAATCTCAGAGGACCCCTTCAGTGAAAAGAGTGTGATACTTGGAAGGAAAGGGGTAACCTGGGGGAAATCAAACATTCAGCGAAGATGAAAGAGCGTGGCTTGCCGTGCTGGGCAGAGACTCGTCCACTCCAGAGCTGAGAGGGTGTGTAAGGGGAATCTCGGGCGAGGCTGCCTCAATAAGGATTGTGATAAGCACTGCATGATGCATACCTGATGTGAGTGATAAAATAGCTCAATGTGGTGGTGCGGCACCAATATTGTATACAGGGGTCCCATTGATGGAATGGTCACTGCGGCATGACTGGGCGGCGAGTGCAGCGGTTCATCCCTTTCCGTGCGTCTTAATATAGCCAGCGATAAGGCCCAACAGATATCATGTAAAATATCGCCTCAAGTAAGGTAGACTCATCTAGCATCATATGTATAGAAAGGTCACATGTGCAAGGAGTTGCTGAACACTCATGCATTCTACTGTCCATTAGGGGCTACTCGCTTAGTACCACTTTGTTCCTCGGACTTCCAGTTCGTCAGCCAAGACGTCTCATCAGAGTCCTCTCGCTGATACCTCAGTGGCGTGTGATGGCGGCTTCGACTCCTCATAAGTCACACCTGTCTTGATCTTCATGATATTGATGTTCTCAAAGTCTCTGAGGCTGATATTGGCCAGGCTATTTGTCGCGTAGATCATGAGCTTATTGGTAGGCGGTAATCGGGGGTCGAATAGGATGGGGTCGTCCAGTGGTAATGACTTGAAAAAGTTGGCAAAGGCGGTCCATCTGTCTGTCTTCACTGTAATACTGAAGTCACACTGGAAGTGACTAAAGCCGTCTCTCCTCTTCAGTAGGATGGCTCCTGTTAACGCCTCCGGCACTCCGTCACAAGTGATAGGGTTTTCCAGCAGTGTCCATGCAGCTGAATCATCCTCGCCCTCATTTCTGCCAAGGAGTCTTGCCTCGCCAATGACTGTTGTGTACTTCTTCTTCTGTCGAACCCCGACCTCTTGCCACTTCAGCATCCCTTCAGCCCCTGGTCCTCCTACGAGCGGCACAGTGACGCCACCTGATACCTCTCGTGTCACCGTATTCTCCTCGGTCTCGGGCATAAGGCAGAATTTTCCCTGTGGCGCAATTTCTACCACTTCAGGGTCTGGGGCCCCCGCACCCCGACCCTTGAATACGAGTTCGACATCTGCAGAACTGGCCCGGCGGCTGTGCCTCCTAGAAATGAAGGCGCACTTGAAAACGTTTAAGGTGGCGAATGAGGTTGGATTGTCGGGTGACATTGTACCATGTACGACGTCAAGTATCTTGCATCGGATGCTGACGACTCCATCGCGATCTACTACGGTCGTCCTCTGAAAGGGGTCAGCTTTTGAATTCCGGGTCCGATAGTCCGCCTTTCCGTCAGATGGATACAATTGAGTGCTAATCGAGTAAATAGCTTCTTCCTCATCATCGATTAGGTCCGAGTCCTCGGATCGGTCAAGTTGATCGAGTTGGGAGAAGTTCGTGACATGATCCATAACGCTGATAAAGAAGTGAGCAAAGGCTGTGTTATGGTAAGTCTTCGAGTCAGGAAGGTGCTCAGTCTTCCAGGGTATGGAGAAAGTCTAGGTTTTTATACACATTGGAGCCTGGGTCATCGTTCGGTGGCTAGAGACGTTGAGTGAGTGGTGGCAAGGGGGGAGGCAGTCTGCAGATTTCGAGTTTGTGTTTGGTGTGAATGATACCTGGGCTAAACCAATGCAAGGGATTGAGTAACTGGCCTCTAATATTGCTTCCTGTTATCACATACTTTCATGCTGCCAAGTCCCATGCCGAGGCCAACTACGGAGGTACCTGTCGCCTGACCGACTCCAAGAGATTCCCGAAGCTGCATTGCCCTGCTCGCCTCTCTATCACCTGCTTGTCTCTGCTGCACGCATATGCAGACCATCCACGTAAGGATTCATGAGCTTAATATGTATGGTAGGTACCCATAACCCACGCCGCTGGAGGCAATCAAGTTGTGTTCTCCTCTCGACTCATTTCCATCAGCAGCCCCGTCAGCTTTCCCACTTTCGCTATCGCCGCTGTTGCCGACTGCTTCGCCATCATGACCTCCACGTTATTTTTGCGGATTGTTGCATAGCTTCCATATCTTTCCCCTGAGCTGTGTCATGGAGGTAAAGATGTCAAGCCCACTGTTAGAGTGAGTCCTTAGGAGAGGACCTGTACACCCTTTCTCGGATCTTTATCTGATCAGAACTTGTAGTGTGGTCATTGTGAGACCACCGAAAGCTCAGCAAAACTCCGATGCTCGCACTTCAACCCGTTTTGACTGGCTTTTATCAACTCTCGACGGCTGTCTTCCAGCTCAAGCAACTAAAACCTTTGTGGATTTTGAAGTAGACGATGTCATCCAGGGCCGAGGCTCCAGAGATGCCATCAAAGATCAGGCACTCAAGTTGCTGGTCCGGCTTCTACAACGTCGAAAGAACTTGCAGGTCAAGGACCCGTATTCTGTTCATTTGATATTTTAGTCGCCATCAGAACTGACTTCATATCCAGGGTTCCTCGCCCCCTATTGTATGGGTAGGTAATGAGCTAGGCGGGACAATCGTCAAATGTGTAAGCTTTTTCCACCTTTGTCTAAATTTTGGGACTGCTCTAATTGAGGGTTGGTGAAGGCAATTGCGCAGGCTGCCCTCGACAGGGACAAATATCGAGACATCGATTCGTCCACCAGCTTATTCGTAAGTTATTTCCTTTTCAATGGTGGCAGTGAAGAGTGATAACAAAACGAAGATTTTTCTCGATTGTGTTCATCGCGCAACCACTCAGTGTGAGGTCGTGAATCAAGTTGCCCAATGGATTACCCGGAAAGTAGACATCCAGTCACCTGTCCTTCTGCGCTCTATCGATGTATTAGCAGCCGCGGTCACCGAGGTCAACCAAGTATTCCTGGAAACGAAAATTCCTCAATTTTCCAGAGTAGCGAGCATTTACCACACAGAAAGCTCCTCAAACATTGTAAGCTTGCCCGATGGTACATATAGCTTCTGGATCGCTTCTGAAAGTACAAGTAGTCTTTCGCCCAGTTCAGGGGTACCCTAGGCATTTCTCAGGAAAACCTCCTCCGTCTCACCAATGACGAAAGTCATGAGAAAGCTAAGGAGATCATCTGGAAGATGATTGAAACCGTCACAGGTCTGTGCCCTATGGTCTTTGATTTTTTTTTTTTTTTTGAATCACCATAGACTTACACGATCAAGTTTCCCCGAGCGATGCGGCATATGCTATACAGAAGTCGTGGCTTCAAGTCCTGCATTATCTTTCGCCCCCTGTCCAAGCCTTATCCGATCAACCGTGGCCAGAATACAACCGATTCAACTGGATAAAAAAAACTGATGCCTTCTCTGAATGGCACAGGTCTCGTGGCCCCCTGGCGTTGCAGATTTATGGCCCCGAAGCATCCGGCGCTCTTCAAGAGTTTTACGAGGACGAGGAGAACAAATTCAAGACGCAAAAGAAATTCATACTTCACTTCACCTTCGATCAATACGACAGCCGTCGCAATTCTTCTTTGAAAATGGCAACATCTTTCATTGCCCAGATCCTCAGCGCAATCGAGCCACCCGCTTCTACCCAGAAATTATTAAATCAAAGAGAGTTCTTACGTGCCTGGACTCTCTATGACGCTCTCTACATTTTGGAAGATCTCATATACGGCATGGAGGTTGTCTGTCTACTCATCAATCTTGATCAATGCGAAACCAGTTCGCGCGAGCAACTGCTCGACACTTTCCGTGGTCTCATTCTGATGACCGAAAGCAAGCTCAAAATCTTGGCTTTTACCAAGGAGATTCTGCCAGAGTGGCCGGGCAAGTCACTGAATACAGAGCAAACAGATTTCAGCCCTTCATATTCAAGCGAAGTCGAACTTCGAGACTACAACACCACCCACAGCGTTCATAGCGACACCGCGTCAACTCAAGCTAACAAGGTCTCCAATTCTATCCACCACTACACGAGTTTGCATTTCAGGCAGAAAGAAAGAGACCCCCTACGGAAGTTCGTTGAGATGTTGGTCGCAGATGCAAACGCTCCTGAGTCTAGTGTTCAAGATATTGTTCGCCTTGTCCTCAATATTCAGGATGCTGAATTAAGGGATGCCATCATACTTCAATTCATGGGGGCTGCTTCAATAATCCCCGTTGAAACATTGCTATCCCTTGAAGATTACAAAACCCCCGAGGCTTTCTTCCGACACCTTTTGAGTAAGATCCAAGAGTCCGAACGGCGGCTTGTTCGACAAATCTTGTCTCGGGTACTCTTGTCGATTCGACCACTTAGCGTCCAGGAACTGAGCATGGTTGTTTTCTGGATACAACAGCGCGAGATTGTAAACGGTCCAGCCATGACAGAAGAATACGGGCTTCTCCTGCGTTCCTCAATAGCTACTCTTCTTTGGGGTATCCTTGCGATTAACAACAACAACGATGTAGGAATCAGCCATTCCGCTCTTCGCGATTTACTCCTGGGTCAGGGAGTTGAGTGGTTCAGGATGGCTTCAGACAGTCACCGAGATATTGTTGTTTTGTGTCTTGAGCTCTTACATCGAGAAGAATTTTTGACTTGGAAAGACAGGAACAAAGGGGTCACGTGCAGCTTCGACCAAGGCCCCATTCTCATCTCGCGGTCAATGTTTGAGGATCGGACGACGCTGTATGAGTACGTCGTCATGAACTGGCCCGAGCATTACAACAACATTCCGGAATCAAAGAGGCCAAGGGTTGAGGTGATGGAATTCTTCGGAGAAAACTCTATGTCGGCATGGCGAAGCTGGGCAGAATCAAGGTGGACAATGTCTAACCCCATGAATAGAGCCGATCGACTGGAGACCCTGGTCTCATCAGCGTGTCCACTGTCATTAATTGCTGGGATCGGGGACCCTCGATTGGTGAAAGATTGGGCAGATGCTCCCGAAAATCGCAGCTTTGCCGACACAGGCATTGCTCTCGAAGAAGCGTCTCGAGCGGGTATGATGGATGTTGTGAAATACCTACTCGCCCTGGAGCCTGGCCATTTTCGAGAATCACATTTCCAATCTGCACTCATTGCAGCCGCATCATCTGCTGAGAGCCAAGTTCTCGATGTTCTCATTCAGTCAGTCCCAGAAAACCTCGCCTGGCCAGCGTCTCTTCTACTGCGTGTCTCTGAACTCGGGTTCGAGGCGTGTGTGGTTGCTCTCCTCAGTCATGGGTGCTCACCAAACGCTCTTGTCGAGTTTCCCGAAACGACTGCCCTGCTTCGAGCGGTCGGCAATGGTCATGCCTCCATTTGCAAACTCCTCCTTGATCACGACGCTGACGTTGACGACTCTGGTGGTCATGGCGTCATAATGACCGTGGCTGCTGGCGGATCCCCTAGAGGTGCAGATGTCATCAAGACTCTGATTGCGCACAAAATTGATGTCGGAGCAAAAGACGGCCTTGAGAACTCTGCCCTGAACGAAAGCTCTAGGCTCGGTCATTTTGAGGTCTCCCGGACTTTGGCACATATTGCTAGGGACCCTGACAACAACTTCAAACCAGAGCTCCCTGAAATCGAGAAGTGTTTAGATTTGGTGGCAGACCTTGATCTCGTACGGACAGCACTTCCCTTGCTTGATATGCTCAGCATCTCGCCAGGAACACATTCAATCCTAGCTAGGCAGTTGAAAAACGCCGTCAAACATGGACGCGTCGAGTTTGCCCGTGTCTTATTCCAGAGAGAAGCAGTCACTTTATCCGAGGATACCGATACACATTTGTTGTGTGATATTTGCGGCAACCCCGATAGCACCCTGGCGATGTTGATGCTATTGGTAGAGTATGGTGCTAATCCCAACTGGAGAAGTGGGAAACAGACTCCTCTGACGGTAGCAGCGAGGCTAGGGCGCATAGATTTCATTGAATACTTAATCGAAAATGGCGCCGGTATCAACAACACCGAGCCTGACAGCCTGTCTGCACTTTCAGAGGCAGCACGTCAAGGGAGTCTGGAGTGTGTTCGCTACCTCGTCCACAGCGGCGCAGACATCGACTGGAGGGACGGATACGGTGAGTCGGCTCTCTTTGAGGCGGCAGAAGCCCAGCATTTTGAGGTTGTTGGGTTTCTGCTGGATCAAGGGGCGACAGCATCTGGCAGCGGATGGAACGGGAGGACACCTCTTTCGCTCAGTCTGTCGTCCGTGAGCACGATGAGACAGATTCTCGCCCTCTATCCAGAGACGGAAATGAAAGACCATATTGGCCTAGGCCCAATCCACCGGGCAGCAATGTCAGGGCAGGCTGCTGCTATCGACGTGCTGTTGGAGTTCAAGGCTCAAGTCGATCTTGAAGGATCAGAGGGCCTCTACAAGGGGGTCACACCGCTCCTTCTTGCTGTTACTTTGGAAAACTGTGACTTGGCTTCAATCCAAAGTTTGCTCGAAGGTGGCGCCGATGTGGACTTTACTACAAAGACCACCAGCTTCACCGCCATCCAACTCGCCACGAGCCCTGGAGTCATCGAGGCCCTTCTTCAGTATAGTCCAAGCATCAACTCTGCCGACTCTCATGGGAAAACAGCTCTCATACATCGAACCAACGATGAAAAGCCTCAATTAGCTGCTGTCAAGAAGCTCGTTAATGCGCGGGCTGAAGTCAACGCTGTGTGCAAGAACGGCTGTTGTTCACCACTACTGAACCTCATCAGAAGACCGAATTCGTCCGACAACTGGCCTATCATTGAATACTTGATTGGAAAGGGCGCCGATATCAATATGCGAACCTTCCGATCTGGCGGTGTCTTGAATCAAGCCTGCTATTATGGTGATCTGTGGATGGTTAAGCATCTCCATGCTCGTGGTGCAGATGTGAACGCTGGTATTGGAGGCTTGCTTGGCAGCCCCCTGCAGGCCACATGCCTAAGTACTACGGCTGACCACGAAGTACTCGAAATTATGCGATATCTCGTGGTTGAGGCTAAGGCAGATGTCAATCAAAGCTGCGGATATTACGGCTCGGCGCTCGGCGCGGCTTGCATGCGAAGGTCCCCCCACGCTATCAAGCTTCTACTCGACTACGGAGCGGCCGCAAATATTTTGGACAGGATGGGCCGTTTGCCGATTCATTTGGCAGCTGTCACCGCAATCGATAGCTTCCAGCATCTGCTCGACATCAATTGCGATGTTTATGCCGCAGACAACACGGGCCGGACTGTTTTACAATGGGCGGCACAAAGCGGTGATGTCGAGATCGTCCGGCTTGTGCTTTCACTACCAGATATAGAGGTTGATCAAGTCGACAAGGACGGCTGGACAGCACTGTGCTGGGCCGCACGAGGTGTGACCTCAAGGGAACTGTTTGAGAAAGAAAAACCATCCGAAACGCAAACAGAGATTATTGAGCTCCTCCTCGAACGGAAAGCCAGCCAATTGTTGGTCGTTCCGGGCGACGCGGGTCAGAGCTGGAGCCCATTGGATATTGCCACCTTTCACAATAGCGGAGAAAAAATCAGGAAACTGTTGTCCATGAAGAACTCAACTGCAACAAGTCTTGGGAAGAAACGACGTAGCTCAGCCACAGCGGCTTCTTCTCCAAAAAAAGGATATGAACATGCCACTCTGACTTGTGATTGTTGCCAAGCGGTATGTACTTCCTTCATTTTGCATACAGAACTCTGCCGGTTCTGTTTCTAATTTCGGCTTGCTAATACTTGTCTATGCAAGTAGCGGCTGATTGGTACAAGGAATTCCTGCAAGAGCTGCGAAAACTTCGATTTCTGCTTCAAGTGCTATTTTCAGCGTGACAAGCTCCATAGTCCATCTCATGAATTCGAAACCATAGGTCCTGTATTCGATGAGAGAGAGATTTCTGACCTTGATACCAGGTCAGGAGATGAAGAAAGCGATATCTCTGTTGAGTCTATTGAAATTTGATGTTTTTTCGATTCATTTTGGTCCCCAAATACATTAGAATACTGGAATCTTGGGAATTCAGAGGGAGAGGAGATTCTATCTCACAATGATTTTGGAATTACAAAGACAAAATCGCACGAGTATTTCTGTTCAAGCAATATTTCACTGCTATGTGCTTTTCATCGACTGCCTGAACAACATATGAGTGTCCTATGAAGCCATGGGTATTACAAGCGAAGCGGCCGAAGCCTCCAAATGCTGGCGGGTCTTGCGATAGAGCCGAGACAATGAGCTGCAACCCGCAAGTCACAGGCCTGTCCAACGCTTCATTCGCCCTTTGCTCTGCGCGCATCACTATACAAAATTGTATATCTGGGATCAGGCAGGTAATAACAGGGGTTTGCGTAATGCTCACAACAGCCAGGAGTAATGGGTACTGGTAAGTGCTAGTTGTTAATCCTGGAATCCACAGCCATATATAGGTGCATGTAGCTTATCGAAATAGGTTTCTAAGATCAGAGGGAAAGTCCAATATTCATCTATTAGAAGGGCGCAAGGTCCTGGCGCTACGAATTACGTTGTATCGAAAACTGACTTGCTCACCCGCTAGACCTCCACTCATCTCTTTCTCTCCCTGATATATAAAAGTAACCTCAATGAGCCTTTAGCAGCTGAATATTAGCAATTCGATGCAGCATCAGGTGTGGCGCGACCCCATCGTTCTGCCACCTCAGACTACCTTCCCACCGAACGACACGACGTCAACAAAGACGGCCCCTTATGAGGGCTCCTTCCACTTGAAATTAAGCAACTTCTACCACATGGTGTCTTCTACCTGATTCTTAGCTTCGGGATATAAGTAAAAGGTGAGCGACTGGTGCAGGCAGCCGCATATGGATAATTGACTGAAGCGCCCCTTTGAGTGTCCTCTGGAGAAGCACTTCACCTTTGGCTGCACATTTTCGGAGTAGCGATGGACTACTCGGTTAGACCGTCTCACTCTAGCGCTTCAAGTCAAACACGTCCTCACTCATCTCCACCAAACGCCAAACAACCATCAGAAACACCCATGTCGAAAGCGCGACGCTAAGTTTGATCCTCGTCTTCTATCTTTGCCGTCTTCGGAGTCGTGGAACTACAAGACGTGGATATGGCTATGGTTTAATTATCTCATCTTGTCCGAGCCCCTAAGCTGAGTTGTCAACCATCGAAATACTACTTCGTCGCGGAGACTTCAGTTCCCTGGCACATGTGCCTTCGGCCTGAGTCATCCTCAAATAGTTAAAGCATGAATACGGAAGGAGGATCGATTTCAGTAATTTTGGTCATCATTCATAAGTGTGTAGCCGAAATTTATAGGTATAGCGCAGCCAAGTCCCAACGTAAACGCCAAAGGCATCACCCTCCCACACCCCATTAGCCGCGTCTTTACTGCAAGCACCTCAGCGCGCCACCTGGCCGCCAAGACCACTCTTGCAAATGACCGTTCCAGTGTTCGGCTGCCTGATCTTGTTACTATTGAAGTTCCAGAGACCCTTGCCGGCGGAGATCATGGTGAGGCCGGTGGTAGTGCCATCCTTGTTGGTGTAGCTCAACTTCATCGCGACCGAGGTATCGTCGGTACTGTTGGACTGGCAACCGACGGTGAGAGTGCCACTCTGAGATGACACCCAGTTGAAGGTAGGCATGGTCACGACATCCTTGTATTTGACAGCCGCTGCCGAGTTGCTGGCAGCCGTGGCAGAGGTAGTGCCGGTTCCGGCGCCGGTGCCCGTTCCAGTGCCAGTGCCGGTCGTAGGGGTGCTTGCAGCAGGGCACTTGGAGTTGTCGTAGACGGTGGCACCAGTCTGGGGGAAGGGATTGAGCGGGCCCCAAAGGTTACCCTCAGCATCGCGACCCAGTCCCTTGGTCAGGAAAGCGTAGCTTCGGAAGTCGTGCGGACTGGGAGGGCGGCCGGGAACAGAGTCCTCGGGCTGGATCCATTCGGAGACAGGCATGACGTACTGGCCGGCCATGATACCGTTCTTGGTCTTTACGGTGCCGGTGCCGGCTACGACGCGGTACTCACGGGCGTAGTTGTCATTCTGGGTCGCCTTGATGCGGTACTCGAACTTGTTGCGGACCTCGGTGTTGGGAACACTCACGCCTGCAATCTCACGGTCGACAGCCTGGCCGGTGCACGGGTCATACTCAATGGCGTAGATCTTGATGGGGTTGACGTTCGCAGCAGAGTCAGATGTGTAGCCGACGAACTGTGATGCATTAGCTTCAAGAGTACCTTGCCGTGAGCATAGTAATAACTGACTCGAGTCTGTGCGATTTCCTGGTTGGCCGTGTCGGCGGTCCAAACACCAATATTGGCATCCTCCATGCGGATGTACGTCGGAACACCCGTAGTGATTATTTGAACATTGCTCACAACGAGATTGTAGACGATGATCTCGCCATTGGATTGAACACCAGAGTATTCGATAAAATCACCTGCTACAATAGGGGCCATGACAAGAGCATCGGGTGCTTTGCTAGTAATCTGTTAGAAGATGCCTTGAAGAAGGCAATCATCAAGACTTACAAAAGCCCTTGTTTGACGCCCGGAGTGATATCCGGTCTATTGGACTGGGGACAAAGAGCGTCGGTTGCGCTGCGCGGAACACACATGGGAAAACCAGAGAAAGAGCTGATACTGGGGTTGGCGTCGTCAGCAGTGAAAAAAGGCTGGGCAGTATATCCGACGGAGAAGACGGCGTTAGGATCATTGATGCGAATCGTCGTTCCGTCCGTCAGTTTGATTCGACCATCGGTGTTTACGCTTTCGACGAGGCCAGAGGCAGCGTTCAGCAGCGATTGAGCAATGGAGACTTGGGCAGCGATGAGGACCCCATTGATGACGTTGCCGGTGACTTCGCAATTGTAGCCGGAGTAGCCACCACTACTGCCGACGAAGTCCTTGTACGGGATAAAGGCCGCGGGAAACGTGACTTGAAGATTCTGGGGTACAGTGATGGAGTGGCCATTGCATCTAATTATGCCGCCTGAATTAAAGTCCCCCGTGGTGGCAGAAGCGCTGCAGTATTTATGTCAGTCGGAAGTCCTCCAATGGCTGTCTAAAGATTGGAGCAATATACTGACCCCTCAAAAGCTCCGTTGATGTCGAACGGATAGTCGGCAGCCTGTGCTTGAACAGAAGTCAAAGACAGCAATGCGCTTAATGCCTCATAGAAGAGTATCTTTGCCGAAATCATGATGAAGGTACGGCTGAGTCAACCAGTTGACTTTCCTAGATACAAATGTAAAAGATGGGAGTGATGGCCAACTTCTTGTGGGTCAGAATGCCGCGATGAAAGCCAACACTTATGAAGGTTCTCTCAAAGGCCAGTCGGGATCGCGTCCCCCCGCAATACCTCTCGTACTCTCAAGACCTGGCATCGGTTCGTGGGCACCGAGAGGCTTGGCAATTGAGGATGAATGGCCTAGAACGCGGCGTCGTTGTGGACTAGGACCCGAGGTGTGATTCCTTTGACAACTCCATGAGGTTAGGCTGGCTGATTCGAAACGAGAGGATGAACCCAGACCAGACGAATAGTACGGAAGGCACTTATGCAAGTGGTATGCACATGCACGAGCTACGATGCAGCATGCACTATGCAAGAGAGACCGGAATCGCGAGCTCCGGCGAGGCCGCGATGCTGCAGCTTGGTCTGGCTGTATGCCGGTCCTATGCCGGTCCATGCGCGAAGAGCTAGAAAAACGACTTCAATCCAAGAATCCTATGCAGATCTCCACACTTATCACACCAAATTGTGCGGAGATTCGGATCCAAATCGATCAGCTATGGTTTATCAGCCAAATGGCTGGGTAGCTGGTAGGTCACAAGATAAGGAGATGAGGGTCCGCAGAAGCTGAGGCTACCACTTGATAGCAAAACGCCACGAGAAGACCACTACCGCCACCAGGTGGATTTCATAGAGGGTGGAAAGCATTTCGGGCAGTCTTTAGCCAGCTCAGGGTCTTGGCATGAGAGGTTGGTATTCAAAGCACCGGCGAGATGCCATCGGGGATCTGTTCGGCCACGAGGCCCAACCGACAAAGACTGAGCATAGAAGCGAGAGCGCGTCGTGTGCGTGTCCTATGTGAGTTGTCCGAAAAGACTTTCTCTCGTGTACGCAACGGTTGTCGTGAAACCAGAAACGTTGGGGGCTTCGAGACACGGTCATCGGCTCGGGCTTGGTGATTCGGCTTTGAGAAGGACGAGGACCCGTTCGTGTGTCTACTCGTTGTTCGTGGCCCGGCAGCTTGGGTAGCTGAAATCCCTGGCCCCACGGTTGCCGGGAGAATGATTCGCTGACAAGCCCACAAGGTGCAGCCTGGGATATACGAGCACAAAGCGCCGAAGGACGCGGCCAGCTAAAGTCATGCTGCCCAGTTTATCCAGAGGTTTTCGGCGTCGTCTAGCGGCGGCGAAAGAAACGGAGGGACAAAAGGCGCCTGACTAAGATAGACCCTTAAGCCAGATCACGGGAAAGGAGCCAATCATTTGAACGGAATTTAAGCTTCATCTTGGTCCGGGCTGAAGCGCTAATAAGGTTTAGCGACGGTAGCGGCTTGGCGCTAAAATGTGGGGCAACAGGAACCGAAAACTTGGGGAAGGCGCGCGAGTCGCTGACTGCTCGCTCTCTTTCGACTTCCCCCCCTTTTTGCCTCCTCCTCATCGTCCTCACTGCCAATTCCGGCGACTTCAACGCTTTGTCCCACCCTTCGTCTTCTCCATTTCCGGCCGAAACATGGACACTGCCTCCACATATTCACGGTTTCACCCCTGAGATCAGATTGCTAGTAGGCCGTCAGAGTCCAGACGGTGTGCATTGTCCGAACTTCCACGCTTCATCCGATATCAACATGAGGCTTCTCTACTGCGGAGACCTTGGACGAAAAGGCCAACCGAGGCGGGATGGTCGTCGAATTATGGCCGCATCAACGCAACAACAAGCAGTCTGCTGCATCATGCAGCTGCGTCAATGTGGCGTACGATAGTCTCCTCGACTTGGCCTCGCTTTCCAGTTCTAAGGGTAGCCATCTGGCTACCGCATCGCAACGTGCCGCGGAACTGTGTCCGGCTCTCTTGCGACCAGCCTCCACCAAACTTTCAGAGTCGACCGTTGACACCAAATGCCAGGCATTGTCCGCTCGCTGACGCCAATGAGAAAGTTCAACCTGTCACGATGGACATGGGACAGGCATAGGCCAGGGTGTTCCCCTCCACCATGGGAAGGGAAAGGATATACAATCAGGAGCCAATCAGAGTCGGCCGGAGCGTCGACAGAGCCCAATATAGTGCTTGGTGTGGAGGCTCGCAGCATTCGAGTCGCACAGAATGCCTGCTTCGAGGTGTTCAGCTACCACTTAATTGCAGCTGAACCAGATACGATGCATACTTCCCCAACCTCGAAGCCATTGGCTCATGGCAAAATCCCTGCTCCTGTGTTCTTGGAGACGCAAAGTCCTATTCGTCAAGGATACCGTCAAACTTCGATTCTACAAACTACCGACCCAGCACCCTGGAGCCTCTTGCACATCAGCTCCAAGTCACCTTTATCCACTTTCCATTCGATGCGCATCAGCTCTCAAGCTTCCTGCGGCTACCGGCACTGGCGCTCGAGCCTGTACCGTGGTCCCAGAATAGCCTCGTTGGGCCATTTTTGGTGCTCGCTTGGTGGCTCGTTTCAACTCATTAGGCTCGCGCTATCGATATCTCGCATTGTCGAGAGCTCGGAGGCTGAAATCGCCACACAAATTCGGCGGACATGGGATCTAGACTGACTGAACAGCCGCACTAAACCTTTCTTTATGGCTTCGACACCTGGTGCCCATTCCCAGCCCGCTCATATCGTTCATACCAACGTCAAATGTGAATATCGCGCCCGGCCGGCAAACGCTTCTCTTGCAGTTCCATGCATCAGAAATTGCGTGATACGAGAGTGGCGCTGCTCTTGATGGCCTTGGTCATTGACCCAGCCACAAACGGCACTTGAACGTTGTGGGTCTGAATGACTTTGGGTGACGGTCGTTGACTTCTTACTCCACGTCTTTAATCCACGAGACCGCAGATGGGCCCGGCTCGAGGCATCCAATGTATTGCGCTCATGCCGGTGACTAGCTCGGTCATCCCGCAGGCTGCCATGAGCCTGCTGAACCGACATCCTGGGTCCAGACCCACCTCCGCATAGCCGGACAAGATAGTTGCGTCTATCGCGTGTTTTTCGCCGGGCTTTCTTTCTTCACTGTCCGGATATCTGCTCTTAGAGTTGACGCATGTGCAACGACTTGCCCCAACGACATCGAACAGCGCAGTCTAGGTTGAAGGACTGGAAGTCAGCCGGTGAGCTCCGCGGCGCGCCCTCGTCAGCCCGCCCATCCCAAGGGCATACTGGTCGCCAAGGAGAGCGGTACAGACTAGCGATGCTCTTGCTTCAACGGGCTAGCCGACAACTTCTGTTTGGGAAACATTTGCCCTAGGTCTATGCTACACCGATTCACGCCATTGCCAATGCTGTCGTTGTTGCTTTCTATCTGGGATCCGGCGTCGGCACTGTCAGATTGGACTGGATCGCATTAATCCGGTCGGTGGCCTCGCCGCCTCTGCCACCTGGGTTAACCTTCAAGACGCATTGTGAAAGTTGATAAATACCGGGGCTCTATCCCGATACCTGGAAACATTATCCACCATTCTCATAGCCCTCATCTCCTTCCAGCACTTGACAGTTACAAAGGCATTGCTGCCCGTCTTGGCCAGCACGTGTCACTTGCACAGTTTCTCTTGGCTCTGTCCCCTGCATCTTGTCTTCCTTCTCCACCATGGTCTCTCTTACTTTACGCCAATTTGTGGCCATCGTCCTGGCTCTCGCCTCAAATACCCTTGCCAAGGACTGGGAAAGTCCCGCATACACATGGCTTTATGAATTCCCCCTGCCAATCCCCCCTCCCAAAGAAGAGCGATAGCAAGTCCCATCCTGTCCCTCACCCAATTTGCAAAGAATGCCCGTGGCTAACTCACATCAGCCCCAGTCAGCCCATCACCAACCCAGTGACTGGAAATAAGATCAGATACTACGAGGTTGAGGTTAAGGAGTTCACCCAGCTAGTCTACCCCAACCTCAAGCCCGCCAAATTGGTTGGTTATGATGGCATAGCACCAGGACCGACGTTCCTCATGGAGCGTGGCGAGGAGGCAGTTGTCCGCTTTACCAACCACGCCAAGATGGCCAGCTCCGTTCACCTCCACGGCTCCCCTTCGGTTAGGCTCCAGACCATATGCGTTTTAGATGCCATACGCTAATCTTTCTGCTCAGCGCACGCCTTGGGACGGTTGGGCTGAAGACGTCTTCAATCCTGGCCAGTTTAAAGACTACTACTATCCCAACAACCAAAACGCGCGCACTCTCTGGTATCACGACCACGCCATCGACCACACTGCCGAGAACGCCTATTTTGGCCAAGCTGGCGCTTACATTCTTCACGATCCTGCAGAAGACTCTCTTGGCCTTCCCAGCGCTTACGGCATCTACGACATTCCTCTGATTCTCTCTGCGAAGCAATACAATGCTGATGGCACTTTGTATTCTCCCGCCAACGAACAGACCAGCCTGTACGGAGACGTGATCCACGTGAATGGACAGCCTTGGCCGTATCTGAAGGTTGAGCCCCGAAAGTACCGCTTCCGTCTTCTCGATGCCGCCATCTCCCGCACATTCTTTCTCTACCTTGAGGATCTCAAGGCCAACAGAGTCGAGTTCGAAGTCATCTCTTCCGATGCGGGCCTCTTGACGGGTCCACAGAAGGTCAAGGATCTTTACATCTCCATGGCTGAACGCTACGAGATCGTCATCGACTTCTCCAAGTATAAAGGCGAGAACGTCACGATGCGCAACACCAGAGGCTTCGCCGCAGATGTTGACTACCTGCACACCGACAAGGTTATGCGCTTTATTGTCAGCGACGACTCCGTCAATGACAAATCCGAGGTCCCCTCCTCCCTTCGCGCTGTGCCTTTCCCTAAAGACAAGACCGGCGTTGATCAGCATTTCCTCTTCCACCGCACCGGCAGCGACTGGAGGATTAACGGTGTCATTTTTGCCGATGTGAACAACCGCGTTCTGGCCAAGCCCAAGCGAGGTACTGTTGAGGTCTGGGAGCTTGAGAACAGCTCCGGCGGCTGGAGCCACCCCATTCACATCCACCTCGTCGACTTCCGCGTTATCAAGCGTGTCAACGGCCGCAGCAACACTGTCTTCCCGTACGAGTCCCAGGGTCTCAAGGATGTTGTATGGGTTGGACCCGGCGAGACTGTCACCGTCGAGGCTCACTATGCCCCTTGGCCCGGTGTGTACATGTTCCACTGCCACAATCTCATCCACGAGGACCACGAGATGATGGCTGCTTTCAACGTCACCAAGCTCGAGGACCTTGGCTATGATGAGGAAGCCTTTGCCGATCCCATGCAGCTGGAGTGGCGCTCCAAGACCGAGAACTCTGCTGCCTACGACTACTCCGCGATCAAGTCCCGCATCGAGTACATGGCCAAGCTCCAGCCTTATAACAATGAGCAGGAGATCGAGAGCCGCCTGGATGCCTACTGGGCCACAAAGACTAACGCTCCTTCCCCGAGTTCGACCCCCTCGACTCTAGTCGTCAGCACTACGGGCCCTGTGGTCACTTCTTCCGTCACTTCAGCGAGCGCGACCATCACCGCCAAGGCCACCACCACCAGCAAAGCTGGCGACAAGGGCTCCGATGATGACAAGAAGAAGAGCACTTCCACTTCCACCACCACCACTTCGTCCAAGAAGAAACGTGGCCTCCGCTTCCGCGGAGTGGACATGGAGATGCCCAAGCGCACTGCCGCGCCCCAAGCATGAGATTGATTATCAATTATGACCGATTTGGGGATATCTTTTTGCCTTGCCATCCGATTTACGACTTAATGACACGACACGCACTCTCTCCTTATAGATTATAGATATTCCGTTCCTAAGCACATCTAGACATCTTCTTCTTACTACCTAGCACGGGCTGCGGATACATGATATTGCCCTCTCAGTATTTGTAATGTTCCTTACTACTAACAAATAATACAACCAGAATATTTGACCCAATGCATCGCCTGTTGAATGCGTGTATGTGATTGGCAAGTGGGATGTTCCAATTCAAAACAGGTCATCAATAATGTGTTTACCAACGTCTTAGCAACCGATCAAGCGGCGACTGACATGGTCGGAGACTCTCCTCAGGGGCGACAGAATCCTTGTCGAGGCCTCAGCTAAGATCACTTTAATTCGTAGGAAGAAGAATAAACAGGGAACGCCTGCTCTATAGAAAGGAAACCAGAAAAAAATTGGTAGCTTCTCTTTGATTGAGCGTGTCATCCTTAGTGCAGGGGCCATGCTACTGTGCAGAAGTTAGTGGCTGATTCCGGGCTCGAACGTCTGACCTTGAAATTGGTACTTACATCTTCTCTGTATCGTTTCAAATTGACCAAATGCCCGAAGGCAAGCAAAACGGCAATTGGCAGGGTTATATAGGGGTGTGGGTCTTGTATGCGACCCACGCTCTCGACGCCACATGATTGGTGGGACCCTCCTTAGTTCTTTCGGCCCCCTTCCAGCAAACGCATCCGTCTCCATCGGACATGCGCGAGAGCGTACTATTCTGAACGACAGCCATCGCAGAGAAAACGTGCAGGCTTCTTAATCACAACCAAGCTACCAGTCGGGGACTTGTACTTGCGTAACTTTTGGCCCTTCACTAAGGCCACTTCTTTGCTACTCGCCAACAGAGATTGTGAGCGATAGCCCAGAACTAGGGTAGAGCTCGGTGATAGATATTAAATAAGGTAATTAAGTTCGCCTGATTCGCTGAGTATTCCTCTATACGTTAGGAAACGCGGCTTGATCGGGCTATAGACAACATTCCATACAATGTAGTCATTGTATACCCTCAATCTCTGTCAACAATTTGGAATAATGTTGACAACCTCCCATGCTTCAGCAATGGTGCCCAACTGTATTTTTATCTTGTCCGCTAGTAGAAGGCTGTGTAAAGAAGTCGTCAGCATTTTCTTCTCGAGCTGGTGAAGTTGCAAGTGCACCGCGTTTGAATCTGCTTACGTTTTACATGCCAGACGAGCTTACTCTCATCACTGAAACGGCTCAGAACAGTAAGATCTGACTCCTGTCCTCCTCCCAGGAAAAGCTCCGCAAGCGTCGATGACAGCCTGGTCCGACGCCGCAGCAAAGCAAGCTTCTTCAAACTCGTTCCCTCCGAGGAAAGGATGTGGAATCACGGGCCACGCACGTGTGCCGTAGCACTTTCCCTTCTTCTCGCTCCATTTGGATATTGTTGGCGCTGACGGGTCACCTCCTACGACGCCGAAGAACTTGTCCTGAGGATACTTGGCACAGGCGGCCTGGGTCAGGCATGGGTCGGAATCGGGGACTTGGTCGCTATCGCACCAACAAAAGTGATGCCTGTTGCCGAGGGCTTGTGAGGCGAGGGCTCCGAGGAGTAGGGCGGTTGTGTACTTCATGGCGAGTGTGTCTTTAAAAAAAAATTATTCATAAAAAGGCAGAAAGGGAACGAATGACACGGGTTGCTTTGCCTCTGAGACAAATCGTGGCAGCGTTGAATGTCTTTTTTGTTATTTCGACCTTCTGTGTAGATTGTAGGGAATTACGACCATAACAAATTAAAACCTCACGTCTTGATTCTATAGTCACATCTCAGTCTTGGAAAGAGATAGTTATTTGCGAGTAATAGAACGACTAAGGATTTGATTCTATGCCCGAGCCAATTGTCTATCCGGTGGCCATCGCCATAGCGGAGCCAAGTGGTTGAATCAGTGCTCTCAGGTCTATCAATTTCTTTATATTATTACTGATAAAGTTCCCGCAAACTCTGTTGGAGGGATCTACACTAACATCGCCCAGAGGATCGTCTTGATTGATTAAATGGAGAAACATTTACCAAACGGCAACGCCGAACTTGACCCATAGGGATCCAAGCCTAGTGGAAACCTTATCTACGAAGTATTCGTTGCGACGTCGACCGACTCTTTACCCGTACCACTGAGTCTTTTTTCTTCTTCTTTTTCTGCTTTTTTGGAAATTTGGCGCGTGACAAACGATTCGTGCCCCAGTCAGCGCCATCGTAACAAAGGCTTAATAGATGAAAGGATGTGCTTGCTCGATTACACCTTATCACGCAATGATGCTTGCCAAATCCGACGACCAACCAGCCATCCTGGAGAATGGCTTACACGGCGAACATGGGTTCTGATTGTATTGACTCCAAGATGCTTATATGTCTCAGTTGAACGCTAGGAACGTGCATCATATGAACCGTACCATCAAGCGTCATATTCTTGTCTTTAAGTTTCCTTTAAAGAACTGCTTCGCACAGACATCCAGGTAGCTCTTCCTCGGCTTTCCAGAGTAACTGCCGGCAGTTCAACCTCGAGAAACAACAACCCATCATGTATCGACGGTCTTTTCTGGCTCTATGCGCTGGGTTTTTGAGTCTCAGTGTTGACGCGGCTCCGTCGGCCCGTGGCCGTGACTTGCTTACACTGGTGAGACCCTCCGAGGACTGCGAACCTGGCCCACTCTCCAGCGATACGTGGGTGAAGGAGGATGTAGACAGCTTCCTGGACGACGCCTCGAAATATTACACGGCATATCCCACCAATAATATCCAAGCTTTGGGAGCTTACTTGGGGGCTCCCAACTTTTTCTGCGGAGTCAACTTGTGGTGCAGTGCCGGCCAACCATGTTCGCCGGTTACTATGCCCGGCTGGTAAGTCCGACACTCGCCAACCTGCCCCAGTCACTGCTCTGCGTACTAATTGTTCACGTCAGGTATGCCTTGATGGGCATCCAAGGCTGGAACAACTACGTCAATAATCTCAACCTCGCCGTACAATATTCTGCAACAATCCTGAGCCTGAAGCTCGCAAAGGTGGTCAACGACCTTTGGCCTGCAAAGAAGGACAATGTCACCCCCATAAAGCAGCTCATTGCATGGGTAAATGGTATCCTCAACGCCTTCCCGACCACAGCAGTACTCGGCGCCACAGCGGGCAGCGTCGCCAGCACCATTCAAGGCGGCAACATCATTGCGGGCGGCATGATGCTGGCGCCCAGCGCGGGCGGCCAGTTCCTGCGATGGAGCGACTTATCCAGCCAGATGGGCAGCAAGGTCGACGAGTACAAGCAAGCGATTGGCACGTATGCGAAAAATGTCATTGATGCCCCCATCGCCGACCCGACCTGGGGCATCAACAAGGTCCTGCGCGGCGGCGCCTTTCTCACCCGCCAGACGAACCTGACCCAAGACGACGTCGACACGTGGATGTACAAGACTGTCAGCGTCAACGCCATGGCGCTTCTCATGCAGGCGCAGAACGTGTACGTCATCCGCACCTTTAACAAGACAGCGTGCGATGCCTCCTCGCCCGCGATCCTGTGCAGGCAGGAGTCGAATCGCCAGTGGACCGAGTGGCGGTTCCAGAGGCGCGATAGCGATGACGACGTGCCGGAGCACCGGCTGGCGGAGAAGCTCGTCCAGACGTACGGTCTGACCAAGGAGGAGATCTTGAAGGGCCCCGCAGACTGCTTTGACAAGCACGAGTATGAGCAGCTGACGAATCCGTGGGAGACTGTATCGGAGAAGGGCGTCAGCCTGGACCCGGTGCAATTGTGCAATTTCAACGTCAATGTCTGCAACTTTGACGCGGCGGAAGGGAACGAGTTTGGCCCGACTGATGTCTATGAGCCTTATGAAACGGATTGGATGTGTGGGCTGCAAGGAATCACCTGGACCTGATTCGCTACTTGTGAAGAATAAAGGACGTTGTTACTCGTGTTCCACAGACCTGATTGTGAAGCTTGGGGTCATTTGTTTCGGTGAAGCCACGTCAAGGCTGGAATCCAGTTACGCGCCTGACCACCGCCTGTTCCATTGTGGCAGACACCCATTCGATGCCCATAGTAGATCATTTCCCCGTGGTCCCACAATGAGTTGGCTGTCTCAATCTTGATTGCTGCGTCGACCTTGATGCCCAGCTCCTCGCAAGGGCCGACCAAGTCCGCAAGTGACGTGGAGAGGTTCAGAGA